ATTTTCAAAGAGAATGAATGAGCTGCATCTTAATGATGCTGAGTTTGCACTTTTAATAGCCATCAGCATTTTTTCTGCAGGTAACAAGCTGGGAGAAAGATGGATCGAAAATGTAAAAAAAATCTTTAATCAAGAAGAATTGTATATAATACTTAGAGTAGTGTCCTAATGTTGTTTGTAAGGAACGCATTTGTCATGGATAATAATTAAGGTTGTGCTTTAATGTCCTAGTCATGGAGTAATAAGGTTTGGGTTGACCATGTTTGACTCAAAACATACACATTCTGTCAAAACCCAGAATATGTGTATTTAATCCAGGCGCAGGCCCATAACGTGTATATTTTGGGCATAGGTATTATAGGATGGAGAAACTTGGTAGTAGTGCACTGCAGCAGATGAAGGATGGTGCTGGGACCTTCAGAGAGGAGATGTATGGATTAGTTGTGTCATGGTGTACTTATATTCAAGGCTGATGATATCTGCAGGGAGGGATCAGAATAGACAAGATGATGGATCTGGTACATATAAAAGTGCTTGGGCTGCAATCATTTTCTTCAAAGTCATCTGTCTTAGAGCTGTCTTGTTCATAGCTTAATATTCAGCACATTATTGTTGTTTCTATTTCCTTATTTGCTGTTGAACCAGATGCTTGGCTTTTGCTGAACTGTGAAAATTCTTTCTCAATGATGTTTTCTTAAAAAAAAAGATAAATCACAGATGGGGATATTGAATCCTCAAGCACTTTTTCTCTATGCTGTTTCTAAGGTATAAGGTGCTTAGAAGGTGGGGAAACAGACACGACAATAAGATTTTTGAGTTTAGCCAGAGAGCACTTTGGATTCAGTGATGTATATATTTCTTTAAAAACAAACAAACAAATAATTACAAGCTCCTTGGAGGCTTCCATAAGCATGGATTAAAGAAAATCATTAGAAAGATGTTTACATACAGTATAACCAGCATGCAGGCTCCATAATAATATGGAGCCAGCATGTTGGTTATACTGTATGTAAACATCTTACATCTCATAGCTTTGTTCTATCCATGCTTATTGCTTTATTGGGTTTGAAAAATGTTTTAATGTTTGGTTTATTGTATGCCACCCAGAGTTATTTCAGGTTAGATGGGCAGCCATATGAATTTGACAAATAGATTTTTTTTTTTAAAACGATGCTTTGTTTCCTTAACAGACCGGCCAAATGTTCAAGATCAAACTCTGGTAGAAAAGTTGCAGCATACCTATGTAGAAGCCCTTCACTCATATATATGTATTCATAGGCCAAACGTAAGTGTCTTGGCTAGGCTGCGAAAGTGACTGCATTGCTAATGTATGAAAGAATCTGGTTAAAACAGAATCATGGGCTGCATGGTATGGCTGAGTTTTTAACAAATATTTAGCCATATCCTGACGAACAGCTGTACTACACATTTTTCTGAATCTGAAATTTTTTTAGCTGGACATGCTTTACATTTGAAATTTGGACTATGTAGAGCATTAGATTTGAAAGCAAAAGTGATGGGTGTATCTGTAATGCTTTACACCAAATGCATATTTCCCCTGAAGTTGCTGCAGTTGAGCCAGGCTGCTGCAGGACCTCAAAAAATAAAATAAAATAAGCAACTACTTTATTGGGTTGCAAACAGGTGCTATTCCAAATCAGCTTTTTGCTTTTAAATCCAAGCAATGTGCTACTCTTTCTACATTCGGTGTTACTGTTACTTTGTCATTTTACATTTATTCAGTTTTAGGAATAAAAAGAACAGAAAATGTATGTTTTCTCAGAGAATAGACTTATGTCTAGTGCTTTTGATCATTCTGATATCTTTTAGTCAGAGATACTAAGGAGGATAGTGTTGTTCTATTGAAGCAGTGGGGAGGGGTTTTTGTTCTTTTTTTTTTTTTTTTTTTTACAAAAAATGATAGTTGAAGAATTGGAAGTTCATGGAATCTTTGGGGAGCAAATATTAAGATTCAAATACCTAGTACCATGCTTAGCGTATGATTACATTTATTTAGTTATTCTATAGTTGATAGCATAGAAATTTGAGACTGTTGGGCCAGTCCACAATGCTACTTTGCTCCTCTATGCTTTAAAATGTTATTACCCTTATAGTAGGCAAATGGTTTTTAATCTTATTCTACATATAAAAAGTAAAACAGAGGAACAGAATTTTGATCATTCTGATATCTTTGTCTATTTCTGTATGATCTTATAGGATCATCTAATGTTCCCACGGATGTTAATGAAACTGGTCAGCCTTCGGACTTTAAGTAGTGTTCATTCTGAACAAGTGTTTGCTCTTCGGCTACAGGACAAAAAGCTGCCACCACTTCTTTCAGAGATCTGGGATGTCAATGAATGAGTATACTATCTAAGGATAGTGAGCGATTACACTGATTATCTTTTGCCAATAAAAACTATTCTCCTTATCAAAAGCACTGAAGCATTCCAGAAGACTGTGATTTCTTTGCTCTGATGAAATATATACAGTATATAGAAAACAAATGAGAAGGATCACATGACGCTTTGGTCACTATTTTCCAAAAATGGAACTGAAACACCTAACATGGAAGAGTAAAAAAATCCCCCCACTAATAATTTTCCAGGCAGTTTTTCTTTAACCATTTTTTCATATTTAATTTCAAGGCCACCATCCAAACCTATAGAATCTTTTTGGGAATTTTAGAAGCAAGCTTCCTTGTGTATCATTTTTCTCCCCTCTTGGTTATATATAGTTAAAATATGTTGACATTAGAAACAATTGATAGAGAGCTGGATAGACTGTTGACATATGTGGCTTAGGTGCCTTTTTGTGGACTTTTGAGAAGCATCACTTTGGATTGAAAGGATAGCTATACTATACAAAGGACCTTTTGCAATATTTCTGTTCTCCATCCCCTCAACAGGAAATAGGCCATTACCAATATATACTGATACAATATGGAGGAAGACATGATTTTTATTATATGAAACTCGTTTGAAAATGGAAAGGTGCATCATATATATCCATAATCTAGATGACTGCTGCTCACTGTCTTTCTATATAGTACAAAATATACTATATTGGATTATAACATACTGTAATTACATATAAGATTACCACTTTTCTCTTTTATTCATCTGTGCATTAAGAGACAAATCTAAATAGTGGTCATTATGGCTAAACATTTTCTTATCTCCCCTCTACTAGTTCTTTACTTAAAATTTCCCCCTTCTCTGAAAAAACCATTTAGGTGGAAATACAGATTAGTATCTTTGCCAAAAATGATGATGCATGCATTATGTTGCAGTCCTGGCTTTTCATTGTTGGACCCAGTGTTGAATATTAGTATTTAAGTCATAGGTTTTGCATCATGTCATGATGCACATAAGGTAAATTGCCTCCCTGGATGGATGCCTGTAGTGGGAAATTTCTTAAATGTTGCCTTTGGATAACTTCAGGAAGGAAAAGAACCTAATTTGTGTATATCATTAAAAATTATTGTGTAGTGAGGGTGTGAAGGCCAAGTTTATATCTTTCCATCCTTAACTTAAACTTGTTCAGTTTTTTCAAGATGGCCCATATATTCACAAAGAGCTTAGTGTTTACAGCCTAAACCTCAGGAATGAGTGAAGTTTAACTTATTGATGGCAGTGGATTTAGGCATAAATATACTTTCCTAGGAATAGTTGTTAATGGAATAAATAACTTGAAAAGTATACACCAACATACTTGCAAGGATATCTTGATACTAGAAATTATATCGGACATTTCTTGGTACACTAATTAATAGTGCTTGCTTCTTTCAGCATTTAAATTGGCTTTCTTTGCAGATGTGCTAGAACTTAGGCCCTTGAACCAGTATAATTACTATGTAGCAAGTGCCATATCTGTGGTGTCAGCTTTATGACTATTTTGCACATGAAATTGGTCTGCCAGTATTGGCCCTTTACCTGAGAAAGCACATATATAACAATTTACCATGTTGTAATAACCCTTTGCAATTACAGAACTTCTTGGGTTTAATTCTACATTTTTAATTACTATTTCTCAGAAATGTAATTTTATGTAAAAGAATAAAATCTAATAAGAAAAATCTGTCTCATAATGCATCAAAATTTATTCTTCTGCTGAAAATGCACATGTAAACCTTATTGGCTTCCTCAAGACTTATGAATTGACAGAAATTAATTTAAAAGTGAATGACCACTTGCAACTCCCCCCCTTTTTAATTTGTTGTAATTTAAGATCTTAGTTATATACTTCTGTTAACATGGCCTATTTTCAAATGAATGATACCTCGAAATTTGGCTGTGAGAAACAGCTTCATAACTGGAAGCTTTCAAGAAGAGATCGGACTGCCATCTGTCAGAAATGGTGTAGGCCAGGGTCTCCTGCTTGGGCAGGGTGGGGGCTTGGACTAGATCAGGGGTAGGCAACCTTGGCTCTTTTATGACTGGTGGACTTCAGCTCCCAGAATTCCTAAGCCAGCCATACTGGCTCAGGAATTCTGGGAGTTGAGGTCCGCCAGTCATAAAAGAGCCGAGGTTGCCTACCCCTGGCCTAGATGACCTACAAGGACCCTTCCAACTCTGTTATCCTGATTCTGATTCTCCTTTGGAACATGGCGTCCTATTCTTTCGTTGCTTCTGAAAACGTAGGATTCGGCTTTCTCACGTTTATACAACAATTGGACTATTGTTGTAGGGGGGGGGAACACGGCTTATTATTAAGAACATACCTGTGTCAGGGCTGGCGCTTCTGCTCGGCCCTGGGATGCGCTGGCCTTGGTACTCAAGCCCCTGATGGTGACGCCCCTTCCCGCCCCTTCGGGCTTCGCGCCTTCTTCTTGCTCTTCTCTGTCCCCTCAGAATGGCTTAATGGTCCGTTCCCAGCGTCCAACGCCCGCCCTCTTTCCGCCTCTTGGTTTGCTCCTCCCCGTGCTGTTGATGCGGAACTGGCCGGCCGCCTGTCTGTCTGCGTGCGGGGAGGACGAGGCTTCCGCTGACAGGTAAGACGAACAGGCCGCGCTTAATGGCTGCAGGAAGCGTAGCGAGGCCGGCTGCCATCGCCCTCTCTGTGACATATGCGGCGGAGGGCTGAGGACGGCCAGGAAGGACGGCTAGTGTTAGAGTACGAGGAGCCTGTGGGGCGGATGGGCTTGGGAATGGAGGGAGGAGAAGGCGAGCTTGGGGAGGGACCGCGGGAAGCCGGTCCGTGCGGGAAGGGCTCTGCGTGGCTGGGAAGGCGGCGGGGACTTGGGCAGCGAAGGGTTGGTTGGCGTGGTGTTTGGGGTGACGAAGCACGGATGTCGTAGCAGGGAGGCAGGAGAATGGGAATGCAAGTTCAGAGATGGAAGGGGGCGGCTGCAACGGTTGACGCAGGGAAGGATTGCCGCGTGGGGTTGGGAGGTGTGGATAAACGTTGCGGGAGAGCTTGGGGGAACAGGGAGCGAGAGCGCCTGGGCCGTGGAAAACTGCAACAGTAGGTTGCGAGGAGCATGTGCTGTGGAAGGACTGTCTGTGTGTGAAAGAGAGAAAGGGGGGGGGGAGAGAGACTGTTATTCTGTTGTTGTTATTATTATTTATTATTATTAAAATTACCCGCGTGCAAGGTTTATCCGGATTTTGTGTCGTCACACCATACAAACCTTCATGCTGAAATATGCGCAGGACAAACTCCTTCCTTGATCCTGTATCCTTCAAGCTGCGCATCACCGTGGCAATTGTTTTCCTAAATTCTCTCCGTGGTCTTGCGGGAGGCTAAGGTTAAGCCAGGATGAAATTTAATTTGGATAGGGTGTTATATAAAAGCCAGCTAGCGTGGTTAGATAATGATTCGTTTTGTTCTGCAAATTGAAGCAATTGGTTTAATTAAATAAACTATGGCTTGAGTGTTATGTGTGTAAAACTACCTTAATCAGGATTATGGATAAGAGAATTTTACCAAAAATTGCATCTTGAAAATACCATTACGTTTTCAGTAGTTGCAATCTTTGGTCCCACAGCCCCAGCGTATTCTTTTGGAAGGTTTTATGTTATTCTAGAGGCCTCTAGATCTTCTCAAGTTTCATACTTAGGAACTTGAAAAATGTGCTATATATGCAGAAAATTTAGGTGAGTGATCGCACGTGCATTTGGAGGCTGCAGTTGTACAGCTGGAAAATTACAGATTGTTTACTATGGAAAAATAGATTTTATTTCCTCAGAGTTAAAGCAATCTGGAAAAGGAAAAAACATATTTGAAAGTAAATGCTATTGACAAGTTAGCCTGAATTGATGCACAGAGAACTAGGTCTCTAACATGCACAGTTGCATCAGTATATTTTACTTCTCTTGAATGTATCATCATATAAAGTTATCTGCCAAATAGTTATTGAATCTCAAACAATGGTAGGATTTTTTATAGCTATTTTTCAAAATGTTTCATGTTTTCAAAAATGATTCATGTTTTCAATTTTTTTTTCAAAATTTCATTTGAAAACATTTCTACTATATTATTAACTGATTTTTTTAGAATAAAATATTTGATCATTTAAAAATATTTAGATTGTAATGTTTTTAATCAACTTCTGAGTAGACTCTTGGGAGGATTTAGTTATTTAGTTCTTAATCTTGTATCTATGAAGTCTGGAAAATTTAGTATGATAAATATTTATCAAAGTTTATTTTAACTGTATAAAAGGATACTATCTTGTTAAAACATTCACAATTGCTTTTTGATCTGTATCTGTAAAACTTATATTGGTAATTTTCTCTTCTAATTTATTTTCAGTAACAATATTCAGTTATATAATAAATGATGAAATCCTCAAATGTGTATAATATCCATTGTGGAAATTTTTAGATCCTGGAACATTGGTGAATCTTTCATAGATTTTCCACAGTTGTGAGGCAGTCATTTTAAATAGCTTTGAAAATAGCCTTTCTAGAGTATCAATACTTTTAATTTTTACAGGTTCAGATTAAAGCCTTTCATTATTGCATTAAAATAATAAATGATAGCACATAGAAGTTCACTGTTTGCATTCTTAATATTTAGTGTGTGATCTGAATAATTTCCACTGCTATCTTTATAAGTAGACAGGCTATATATCCTGTAAAGAATAATTTTATTTATTACTTATTTACTTGCTTCAACCAAAAGATATATATAGTAGTTTCTGTATAGTTTGAAAATGCTAATTAAGAACACATTAGCTTTTCTTAAAAAAAACCCAATGACATTACTGTATAGAGGATTGTGAAAAGAAGTTATATATATTTTAGAAATGGATTTTCATGTCTTATTTACACTAACTGTGACGATACAAATGCACACTGGTGCTGCTTTGCAACATTTGATTTATTTTACTATCCAGGAATTTGTATGTTTTATCTGCAGTTAAATAGAAGTTGAGATCTGCATTTACATAGTAGGAGAACATTTTGTATCAGGAAACCCATCTTTGTGAATATCATTATATGAACATTTTAGATGTTACATGTTTAATGTTATGCAGAATTACATAAATATGGAAAATGATACATAGAAATATACAAATCTACTGTATAATTCTGATACAAATAGATCTTTGCAATTCCTTTCTCATCAAGAGAGACAGGCAACGGAAAGCATTTTGGCCTACATACTATATAGTTTTTATAATCCTATTTCCAATTATGGGATTAGCTACTCTGGATATTTCCAAACTGCTCTGGATTTGTTTAGTTTGCTTTGGTTAGTCTTATATAGGCTGCTTTTAGCTAGTTTTATATGGTTTTAGTCAGTTGCAGTAGATCATTTCGTTGAAAGAGCTGAGTCAGCTGTTTTAGCTCGTATGCATTCCTTTAATTTAGATAAATATGTTCAAATGAGACAAAACATTTTATATCATCACACACACATATATGATTTTCATCATAAATGTCATGAGAATATATTTTCTTTATAGTATATAATACAAAGAAGTTACAGAGCTTTAAAGTCTTCTGAATAGATCAAAGAATTGTTCCATAAAATCCATGTAAATTAAATGATTGTTCAAAAGACAGTGGTCTGCTGACAAGTCATCACTTCTTAACTCTGATCTGGTTGTATTAAGTAACTGTTTTTATCAGTTACCACTTATATGTCAGCTGATATATCTTTTCCTAGAGACTAATGGATGAATGTATCAGGCTATTATATCCCACCAATGGAATATAATACTTCTGGAACACAATATATCCTTCAGCCTAGCCTTATGTTTTGCCTCACAGTTTTTTTATAATTATTTGGGGAGAGGCAGTTATAATTTTGTATAGCGCCAACAAAGTGTGTTTCAAAGTTACAATATTATTTCATTTCTGAGCTGCAACTTATAGAATATAAGCAAGGAAAATCAAGTGGGAGCATTATGCAGGTGTTAAAAAGGGAATGAACTGACCTTAGTAGATTAAAATAAGGTTAATTGATGAAAATGGCTTCTGCTTCACATCTGAAAGAGCTCCAGTGGGGATCATGCTTAAGGTTATTTCTACTGTAGATATCTTTGTAGATTCCACAATAGTGGGAACTGCTCTTGAAAGATCTGAATTTCATTGTGGGTAAAATGTGGCACTGTTGCACCATACATAAAGAATAACAAGGGAGGATATAAGCCACCCAGAATCTCTGGATAGTGAGACGAGTGGCATATAAATTTAATAATTAAATATAAACATAATATGGCTAATATTAATTAGCTAAATTGGTTACTATTATGCTTCAAATCTAAATTTAGGATCCTGATCATTGCTTTCAAAGTCATCTACAACCTATGGACTAATCCAGTGTTTCTCAACCTTGACAATTTTAAGGCATGTGGACATTGCAATGCTGGCTGTGGAATTCTGGGAGTTGAAGTCCACATGCCTTAAAATTGTCAAGGTTGAGAAACACTGGACTAATCTCTCCAAGTATTAGGAAGAATAAGATTTTAACAAGTCTTCCACAAGCCTTTGTTATTGATTTGTGCTGTCTGAAGCCATCCAGAGAGAACAGATAGCTTACCTTGGTGATAGAGGCAAGGCAAGATAAGAATAATTTGAAGCAGAGTAAGTTGTCTATGTATATGCAATTCTTATCAAAATGGAAGATTGCTCAAAATTTAAGCCATTCTCCAAAAGAAGAATAGAGAGATATTATAAATGCACAACTTACCCAATTTCATGAAGCAAATTTTGTTTGTTTGATTTCCCCCCTCAACAAACATGAGCATTTGGCACACTTGCATATATATCGGCATGTAAGTTTGCATTTAATACACAGAGGAAAATATTACATTCCAAAAAAGAGATTCAGAATGAAAACGGCATTGAATTGAAATTAATTAAAATGAATGAATATTGATTAAAATTAATTGCTTGTGATGTTTAAAAATTAATCAAATCGGTTTCTTATATAAAACTATCTTAACAAATTCACTGAACAAGAGTGCAGAGAAAAAGTGGACTGGACTCCGTAAAAATAAACCTTATTTTGAATTATTGTATATCCTATTGAATTCAGTGGCTTTTACTTCTACTGTAGTATGCATAAACTGGTACCTTTCTGGGAATGGATCTATATAGCTCGGGTGTCAAACTGCCAGCCTATGGGTTGGATGCATCATAGCGAAACCGTGCCCACCCCATTGCCGACAATGGAAAAAAAGTCACAATATGTTGCGACATGTCAGGTGACGTTGCGAGTTTGACACCCCTGATATAGCTTGATTACCCATGTAAATCGGGGTGAAAATTGGGGAAAAGATTCTTGAGTTATTGAATTTTTTTTTGTTTCCAAAAAGTAATGAACCAGAAGATGCGTTTGTGCTGCGATAAAGTACTTGGAAACATTTTCATATTTATTGTATAATAAATCCAACTATATTCAATAATTTTTATTTCTAGGTTAGTATATTTATAAGTGCTATTTGATGAACTTGATAAACCCACCTCCTGTTTGGGAGCATGCTATCCCCACTTTCTTTTCATTTCCTTCCATGTACAAGTTCAAGTCCCGCCTTAGCATGAAAGCCAACTGAGTGACTTTGAGCTAGTCACTCTCTCAGCTCAACCCACCTCACAAGGTTGTTTTGGTGAAAATAGGAGGAGGACGGATGTGAAGGATATATTTGCCGCCTTGGGTTGTTTGCAAAAATAATAAAAGCAGGGTACAAAATAAATACTAAAATATAGGGCAAGTATCTGAAATGAAGACTCATTTCTCTGTTGAGATATCCCGCCAGTTGGTGATCCTGGTTTTCCGGAGTTCTTTTTTTTCTTATGGAGAGCTTTTGTAGACAGAATAAACTTTCCACTGGGACCATACAAAACCTGACATAATATAGAGCAGTGGTGGCGAATCTACGGCACGGGTGCCAGAGGCGGCACTCGGAGCCCTCTCTGTGGGCACATGTGCCGCTGCCCCAGCCTTGCCTCCCCTGTGACACCCTCCTCACCAGCAGCCCTCCTGGAGAAGGGTCGCCCCCCGAGCATAGCCCACGCGGAGCAGTGCAGTAAAGGACATGGCAGCCAGGCAGCGTAGACAAGACTCTGCCCTCACGCCCCATCGCGCACAGTTGATGTGGGGCGCGGGCAGAGGGTGTGGCTGCCATGGCGCTGCTGGGTGATCTGCGGCGGGCCCTGGAGGCGGTGAGTGGCCCTGCAGGCAGGCAGGGTGGGGGCGGAGCGAGGTGGGGCAGGGGGTAGAGTGGGGGGGCAGTTTTTGGGCACTCGGTCTCTAAAAGGTTCGCCATCACTGATATAGAGTGATAAGAGCTGATAAGGGGTGGTGTGCTTTGTCATTCATTTTGGTTCTCCCTTTCTTCCCTTGCAGCCAGTGTGAACATTTTGGCTAATCAATCACTGTCAACATCTTCAACTTTTGCATATTCTCAGTGAATGTAAGTAAACTGCCCTAATTATCACAGATAATTATTTGGGGAGGGCGGAACCTCATGCTTCCTTCAGGTAAATATGGCATGTAATTTCAAAGGCAGGAATCCTAGGAACACAAATGGATATTTCCAAAATATTGCAGAACAAGGACAAATAGGCATTTGGATATAATTGTACAAACTATGATAGTTTCCATAAAATTATTTAATTTTCCTGAATATATTTTAATATGCCCTTTAAAATCTTGATTATCCACCATAAAATTATGTTTCCTTTTTTTCTGCGTGCATCTCCTAGTTAGTAGCTACAGGCAATAAAATACTGGCTCGAAGCATAGGCTTACATAAAATACCATGAGCACTAGGACGAAACCAGGCAATGGTAATACAGTATATCAAATTAAAAATGAATGTTTTGAATATTAGCCTCCGAGAAGGCACAGTAATAAATACTGGAAGAATGTTGAAAAATATAATGAGACTACAGATGTAGCTAATGCAGTTGAAAAAATGTTGACATAACATGTTATATTTTATCAATAAAAGCAGTATATGATGGAAATAAAATGTGCATAAAAATAAATAGAATACTAAATGATTCAGCATTTAATTAAACAAAAATTATCTTGGTTGTTTAATATATATATGGATAAATTGTTTATGGTAATATTAAAGGTATATTGATCTAGTTGATTAATTTATATATCTTGGTAGACTGTTTTTCAAAGAGTAAATGGAGAAGTTTTAAGATGTAAAAATGCTGGTACATCAAGAGTGAGTTGTTTGGTGATAAATGAATAGTTGTCAAATAAAACAAAAATAGTTATTTATAAAGGCATGCTTCTGTCACCTTCATTGTATATTAATAAAAGTTTAGCATATAAGTTATTCAAGGTATGTGTGGCGAAGGAAAAAGATACAGAGTTAAGAATGAATAGGTGCTGAATGAATATGGATTGAAAATAAAAGTGAATTACTGGTATGAAAAAAGTATGGTGATGCATTGTGGTCATATAGACAGAATGAATGATTAAATTGTGAAACATGTATGAAGGGATATTCTCAGTGAAAGAAGAAGACCAAGAAAACCATAATTAGGTAGAGTTGCTGTGACCCTCTAAAAGATAAAGATGAGAAATTTAAAGAAGGGGGTGTGATGGGTCAGTTGTTAAAAACATTGAGCTTGTCAGCTGGAAATCTGACAGCCTGAGTTCGAGACCTGAGTTCTGCATGATGGAGTGAGCTCCCGTTCTTGCCCCAGCTCCTGCCTGTCTAGCAGTTGAAAATGTGAGTAGATAAATAGGTAACACTTTGTGGGTGTCAATGCTGCTAACATCGGATGTTCTTGCTTTGACAACAGATGGAAATGTAGCCATCTTTTCTCTATCGCTTTTAGAGTTCGTTGATGCTGGGAGGGGGAATGTGGATGAGAGTCCAGCTAGTCATAAGAATAATAACTCAGCCGTGGGAACCCAAAGTTAATAGGTCCAGGGTTGATAGAAATTTGGTAGGCAGGAGAGATGGTGAGAAAGCCCGCATTTCAAGTTAATTGGGGAATGTGATTTATGACTGTTAATTGGAGGAGGGAATTGCACTTTGCTACTTTGTGTCAAGGGAGGGGAATTCAGATTTTGACTTCAACTATGTAGTGCCGATACTTTGTTTCTCGAATAAAAGATTCTTTAAGGAAAACAATGCCTCGAAGTTCTTTTGAAGAGATTCATCTATCAGAACCATGACAGTGGGAAGATAACATTGTTGGCGTATAATCATGCTGGCTATATGACCATAGAGATGTTTTCAGACAACAGTGGTTCCCTTGGCCAAGAAACGGAGATGAGCACCATCCCCTACAGTCAGACATGACTGGACTATTTCAAGTCCATGACCCTGTGACAACATTAAGAGTTTCTACCATCAGTCCCTTGTTGAGTAAATGATTTTCTCAGACTCCCATCTCATTAGCTTCAGTTCTTACAATAAGGATTTCCACTTCATGTTAATTGACAATTAACTATTTAAAATGGCCTCATTCACTTTTTATCAATAACCAGTGCTTTTTTTGTAAAAAAAAAAAAAAAAAAAAAGGGGTGCCAGAACTCACACATGTCATACAACCCGCCTTGCCTACCCTACAAAGTTCCATCCCAAAAAGGTGCCGGAACTCTGTTCTGGGCGTTCTATGACAAAAAAAGCCCTGTCAATAACAATTCTTATTTTTCATCAATAAAAATTCTTATGTGACTGTGTTATGCTTAATAACTTTTCAGCCTAGGGAGCCTAACTTTTGCATCTGATTCATTTTTAAAATTTATCTTATTCATTGACTTCAAAAAACTGAAGATTTCCCTTACTAAGGTACCAGAAGTTGAGTGTACGGTCAACAGGGCTATGGGGAAATGGATGGAGCAAATTGAAGCAGAGGCAAGCACAGCCGGGCAGGAGAAGCATGAGGTCCTCACCTAATGACCACGTAGTCCTCCCTTAATGACCATGTGATGCTTCACCTGCTTTGCTTAGTGGTAGAAATTCCGGTCCCAATTAGGATTGTTAAGCCAAGACTACCTGTAACTTAATTATATCCCTGTTTCTCAGGATAACGCAATAACTTATATATTCTATCTACACTTTTAAATAGCAGTAGGCAACCCATGACCCAATGAGTCAATTGTTTCATGGGTATTTTCTTAACTCAGCTGAGAAACAGTATGATCATGGGCAGGAAAAAAGCAGCGGGAACAGGAGCAACTTCCAAATTTCTGCCGGCTTCCCCACTGATTTTCCTTGTAGGAAGCTGGAAGGGAGTGCTGGAAATGATTATATGATTGTAGCTTGTCATAGTAGTGCAGCAGCACAATAGCATGGAAGCAGCCATAAGTTTGCCAAATTTAAATGCCATGTTGCCATGTGGTGAATTGTTTTACCCAATTGAAGAGAAACAGCATGAAAGTTTTAGTATTATACAGATAAACTAATTCTTGTTTTGTTTTTTTGGAAACATCACCTTAGATATTTAAATGAAGTTCCCAGAAATTATTAAGGTACCAGATTTGGCCCTCAGTCTTTTTTGCACATATAGATACAATTAAATTAAGAAGATTCACAATCTGATTTATATATCGTGGTCTGTGCATATGGAATGCTTTGAAGGAAAATTTCTAACTTATATTTAGTAGACAATTTTAAGAAAATTGTATAGACGTATTGAGAGATCAGATTGTATATAGTTGTAGATTGTGGATTAATACAAATTTGATCAAATGTAAAGAAAAGCTGGTAGTGTTTATATATACTGGAAAAGCCCTAATGATTAGGAAGTTACAACACCAAAGAGGAGCCCCCAAAACCATAGTAAATGACTGGCTCAAGGAAGATATTTTACTTCCTAGGGCAGGAGTAGGCAACCTTGGCTCTTTTATGACTCATGGACTTCAACTCCAAGAATTCCTGAGCCAGCACTAGCTCAGGAATTCTAGGAGTTGAAGTCTACGAGTCATAAAAGAGCCAAGGTTGCCTACCCCGTCCTAAAGGAATGTTGTTTGGAGTGCAGGTGAAGTTGATATATTTATGCATGCAAGTGGAGGGAGGAGCTGATGTTCTTCTATAAATAGTTATAATGTGGTATGATCTAGGGACTAGAAGATGAGTTGCTATGGAGACTGATCTGAATCAGATTACCCAAGGTTCCTGTTATCCAGCTTTATATGTATGACATACAATTGTAATTGAAAGACTAGTATTTGTTGACTGATATATTTAATCATATATCAAATTCATCTGTAAGCATGGCTGTTGAGGAATGCAGGAGTGCACAGTATTATCCTGTGGGGTCATTTTAAAATGTATTAAAAATTGGGGCTGATACTCTCAGGAACGTGCATGTATAGATAACATGCTATAAAGGCAGGGCAAGATATTTTAGAAGACATCGATGATGATGATGATGATGAGACATCTATGCTTTTTTTTAAAATCTCCAAAACTTGGTATTTTATACAGTGAGTCCTCAATTTACAACCACAATTGAGCTCAAAGTTTCTGTTGCTAAGTGAAACAGTTGTTAAGTGAGTTTTGCCTCATTTTACAACCTTTCTTGCCAGAACTGTTAAGTGAATCACTGTAGTTGTTAAGTTAGTCACATGGTTGTTAAGTGAATCTGGCTTCTCCATTGACTTTGCTTGTCAGAAAATTGCAAAAGCTGATCACATGACCCCGGCCCAGCCACTCTCCCGCCCCTGGCCAGACCCCTGCAGTCTCGCCTCATGCCTGGAGGTGGAAGACGTGCCTTCAGTGCACCTCCAGCTGTGCGGCCCGATACTGGTGCGCGGATCAGGGGTAGGGGAACTCTATTTTAGAGCGTCGTTGAGGCCATCTGGAGATTTATCCGTGTCGGGGTCACCTGAGTAGTGCAAATGGGTATGGAGCCTTCTTGGAACTGCTGAAAGGACTGTGTTGTAGACTGGAGGGAGATGATATCGCATCCCTCCCCCTCTGTTGAGAGAGGGCTGTTCAGTTTTGACATAGATGGCTTCTTTGACCCCTCTTTCAAACCAGTGATTCTCTCTGTCCAAAATGTTTCCAAAATAATTCAATTCAAAGTAATTGTTAGAGGGCCACAAATTATTGCCAGTACCTCTTCCTCCTAGAGAATTCCATAGCAATATCCATTTTCCCTTCTTTAAGAATAGTTTGATAACTCATAATAATGAAAACAATTAACATTAAACAAAATAAAATTTAAAAGCCAGCCTTGTCCTGGAGCAGTTTTTACCTTGCAATTATCCAGGGGATTAATATTGTTTCAAGGTGTTTTAAACTAAAAAGTGTATTAGATGTGTGTATTTAATACTGAAGTATTTATGCATTCTTTTTTCTTCTTTACTTCCTCTTTTTGTTCTTAACTAGTAAAATATTACCTAAAATTAAGGTAAGGAGGCAGACTTTTGAGTAATATGATTAAATATTTTGCTGTTTGTTTATAATATAATTTTCCATGCCTCCTTCCCATTTTTTCCGTTTCCCTTTAAAATTATTATCAGTATTTTGAGGTTTTATTATAGTAATACTTTTAAGTCTCTGTATTTTTTCTATTATAATAATTTAGCATTATAATATTTTAAAAACTATGAAAATTATGAGCACAAAAATACTAAGCATTAAAACATAATGCTTACAATTTTAACAAATTATAAAAACATCTATAGCTAAATTTTGTAATGAATTGAAGTAATCAAACTTAGGTATATGTTACTATTGAACAATCAAATTGGCTACATTTTATTTAAGAATATAAACATAATTAATATTATTGAGTTCCATCTGTTCTAGTTTTTAGTTGTGTCCTAGTAGATATTTTCAGAAACTTTTGTGAATGTATCGGTAGTGCTCTTATGTCAGAAATTCACAATTCTCTAGGTTGCTTGCTAGATACAAAATATATATTGTCATGAATGTTTACTGCAAGAGTCATTTCAGCCCCTTCTTTACTTCTGGTGGATAGGAAATTTTAAGTCTTTTAAAATACAAAGGCAGAACTAGAGAAAGAAACATCTTTGAACAGAGTATAAATAGTTCTCATAATTGAGCCAGCGATTTTGGTAGTAAGTGGTCACAATCATAAAGCAGGTCACCGCATGACCACTCCCAATTTTATGACTTTTTTTGTGACGGTTGTTAATCAAAATGCAGTGATTGTAAAGCTAACCCATTCGCTATGGGGTGTTTTTTTTCTGGAAACTGAGAGGAAACATTGGTTTCCAGCAAAAATGAACATATGTGACCCTAGGAAGTTGCAAGGAACCGTAAATGTGAACTGGTTGTTGAGTGCCCAAAGAGGGCCCAGGATTGTTGTGATGGAAGGCATGGATGTTTAGACTTTGAATCTGCTTGTTAAGGCCTTTTTGTGTGTGTGTGTGTGGGGGGGGTCATTGTAACTTTGAATAATTGTTAAATGGTTGATTGTAAGGACTACCTGTATTAAGGATTTAGAAATGCTTATTGGATAATGTGCTCCTGAACATAAGCAGAAAGCTGAAATAATTCCTTTTTCATTTAACTAAACATAAGCTAGGTGAGATGCAGACACTTAAGTCAACCCTCTTGTTATTTGCTGTAGAAGACAAAATGGGCTTTTCAGGGCAAAGAAATGAGGAAATCTCCAATGCCAAATTTAGGAAAAGCATGGGATTGCTAGTTATAATTCTGATTAATTTTGGACTTTTCAGAAATTTGGCGAATATGCAGGTAATTGAAAAGATGAAACTTCTGTTTTCAGTCTTGGATGTAGTTTCCCTTGTTATATTTACCAGATAGACATAAAAGAGGTGAAACTCTGAACAGTGTTCGGCATAGGTTGATGTTTGTAATATCTATCACAAATTGCTCAGATGGTTACTTATTATCAAGTCATTACTGTTGATGAATGCAAATCTAATCTTGAATGGAATATTTCTTACTTGTAGGTTCATGTCGCAATTTCCAGAGGCATTCTCTTTAGCACACGTACTGGATATTAGATGGACCAATGACAAAGGAATTCATTGAGATGACATAGTCTAGGAAGCGAGACCATGGTGCAAAAGAAGAAGAGCTGTCCTCGCTTACTTGATTACCTTGTGATTATTGGAGCCAGGTATAGTAAACCGCTAGATGTGTTTGCTTAGAATAAATATACACATATTATCACAATGGTCTGATAAAGGGGTATAGAAAATAGTAAATAGCTGCTGCCATTAATCACCAGCAAGGTGGGAGGGGGAACATTTATGTTTACTAGTGATGCTACAGTGATTAGAATGCAGTACTGCAGGCTAATTCTGGCCACTGTCAGCCGTTTGATTCTCACTGATTCAAGGTTGACTCAGCCTTCCATCCTTCTGAGGTTGGACCCAGATAGTTGAGGCAATTTGCTGACTCTGTAAACCACTTAGAGAGGGCTGTAAAACACTATGGAGCGGTATATAAGTTTACGTGCTATTGCTATAGAGTATCTCTATAAAGTATCCAAAATAATGGGCGGCTCCTACAGTATCATAAATGCAAAACCACATTGAATAAGGAAGAGTGCCTGATGCAGGTGTCCCAGGTCTCCGTTTATTCATTTATTTCTTAGATTTTTATCCTGCCTTTATTATTTTATAAGTAACTCAAGGTGGCGAACATATATATTCCTTCCTCCTTCTTTCCCCACAATAGCAATGCTGTAGGTGGGGTGATCTGGGAGTGAGTGAGTGACTAGCCCAAAGTCAACCAGCTGGCTTTCATGCCTACAGCAGGACTGCCTCCCACATATGTCTGCAAGCTTTGGATATTGCTTGACATCACAAGACTTGATATGAGTGCTAGTATGCCAAGATCTCTGCATTTCTTCTGACAGAAACATTAAAAATAATCTGGAAAAACTTAATTATAAACAACCTTTAGATGATGCAGTATAGACGGTGAACTTAGTCCATTTGATTAATAACAAGTAACCAATGCAACGTATACCTTGGAATAAGAATTAAATAAAATTATCTAAAAAAGGGAAAAGATGTGTGTGAAATATTTCTGAGTTACTGTGGAGTCTATGATTGCAAGCAAGGTACAGAAGAAAAGGTGGTCTGCCACATGCATATCTCTTTTTAATACCCTCATTGGCAATGATAGCAGTGTGCAATAGCATATTGTCCAACTGCTGTGACATAAACTTTCTCTACCTCCCTTATAGGAAAACAATCTGTTTTTCTATCTTATGATGGTGGAGAGAAGGTAGTTAAGTGGGTGTTTTAGGGGGGGAAATGTTGGGAGAGTAAGATCACCCACATTCCATCTGTTCCTCTTTCATTGCTGGTGGCAGGCTCCAACAGTTGCTTTTCACTAAAAAACAAGCCGAGTAAGGAATTTACATAATTTTATAACACGTGGCTTGCTCCCTTATTTACTTTTTAGCAGGATTTTTGTATTGGTAATATTACTTGCTGTAATTTATATATTTATTCATTTGTTCCATTGTCAATTCCAACTGTCTCTGGACAGTTTATAATATAAACCATGATAAACTCTCCCCAAAACCAAGATGGAATTTAGCAATTCTATACAGCATTACAAAAAGTAACAAAAACACAACCGACAAGGGACCCCATCCATTTCAACCCAAGGCATGGGGGAACTACTGGGACTGTAAGGTTTTACAGAAAGTCAATGACATGCATTAAGCTTAAATTGTAGTTTTAATTAGTTGTTCAGTTACTATTTGAAGTTTATAATCTATATGGGTAGTAATTTAAATATTTTCTCAAGCAATTACTGTGGTATAATTAAACGCTTATGTTGTGACCTTTGGTCTCTTTGATTTTGATTTGAATTTCAGTTTATCTATTAATTCAGTTAACTGATTAATGCATCATTCTCTTTTACTGAAAGCTGTCCTTTCCCACTCTGACTTTCTTACGTGAAAGTAAAAATCATGATTATCTTCTTACAATTGAATTGCATATATAAAATTAGTTTATCACACTATCAAGGTAGTCTCACTATTGCCTCTTTTTCCTTGGCAAAAAATAGATCCATTTTGTTACTAATCATAAATTTCTTGTTTCTTGTTTTAAGCATCTAATTTTCCATTTAGGCTCTGCAGTCAGTTATTATAACTGCATCATTTTTTTAGTTATTATGGTGTGATACGTATATCAATCATAAGAGTATATTTTCACTATTCTGTCCAAACCTGTCAGGATTCATAAGCTCTCTTTGACATATTGCTGGTCAGGAAGATTAGTCATTTCTCTTCCTTCTGCAACCCCAGGATGGACTCCAGCCTACAACCTCCATTTGCAGGGAAAAAAAAGTTCCATGGTATTTGTGGTGTTTCCATTGGGAAGGTGTGCATCAGTGTGGCATTTCTACCTTAGTAATATATATTTCAGTATTTCTATATTTGTATTCCTGTAGGCAACCAAGCAGTGATAGTGTGGCACAGACACCTGAACTACTGCGCCGTTACCCCCTGGAAGACCACACTGATTTCCCACTGCCTCCAGATGTAGTCTTTTTCTGCCAGCCAGAAGGATGCTTAAGCGTGCGGCAGAAGCGGATGAGCTTGAGAGATGATACTTCCTTTGTCTTCATGCTCACAGATAAAGATACAGGCATCATCCGCTATGGGATATGCGTTAACTTCTATCGGTCCTTCCAGAAGCGTATTTCCAAGGAGAAGGGTGAAGGTAGTGGTGGACATCGTGTCCGAGATGGACAGAAGGCACCCAAATCTGGGGATGCTTCCACTGTGCAAGAAGAAAGAGCTAATGAAAGTTTAGAGAGCGGTGTCTCTCTGAAGCCACAGAGCACAGAGTCAGTTCCTGATACAAACCGTTCCCCTCGGAGTAAACCATCAGCAAAAGGCACTCATCGTTCTCGTAACAGTACCTTGACCTCCCTCTGCATTCTTAGTCACTATCCCTTTTTTTCTACCTTTCGTGAATGTCTGTACACTCTGAAGAAGCTGGTGGACTGCTGCAGTGAGAGGCTCTTAGGCAAGAAGCTTGCAATCCCTCGAGGAGTGCAGAGGTATAGATGGAATGGGTTTTTTTTTTCTTGATTCCAAATCTAAATGATACAATGGAGTATAAAATCTGCTTCATATAACTGGCCATTTTCCTAACAAAGTAAGAATGACTTAGATTCCCTGCTCTTTTCATGTGAGAATGTGTAGGCTGCATGAAGATCACAGAATCTAGGGAGGGAGTTTGTTGGTATAGTTGTAAAACATTGTTGTACCATAAACTGTCATTTATTTTCTAAAGACACAGTTTCTATTGCTTAAATAGTATGCCAAAATTAAAATCTTGATATATTTTTTCTTCTTTTTTGGGTTGAAGTTGTAAATTAAAATTAATTATTAACAATTATTAATTAAATTAATTATTAAATTAATAATTTAAAAGCCTGATAATATAAGAAAAGGTAAACTAGATAAACAATTTACATGCCTGTTTTCTCCTTTCATTACATTTTTCTCTTCTCTTGGCTAATCTGTAACCTCAAACCTTTCCACAAGATTCATACACAGCTAAAGGAGTAAAACTTCTTCTTCACAGACTTCGATACTCCAAAGACTTTATATAGGACTATAGGCTAGATAAGAAAGTTGAAAAAGAAATCAAGAGGAGAATGTAATGGAAAACCACTTCCATATGGGTTCTAGGAATACCATATGGATATATGTATAACTCAATGTTATAAGGACTCAAGCTTTATCCATGGTCTAGGTAGCTTTCATATATTTCAGACTCAAAAACTATTCAAGACTTTAGAAGTCAAAAGCAGCCCCTTGAATTGGACTTGGACACAAAATGGCAGCCATTGAAGCTGTATAGAATTGTGTGTCATGTTTTGACTTTCTAACTCCAACTGGAATGTCCAAATGCTGCATCTGTTTATTGAAAAGATTCTGAGATTTGATTACAGAGTTAGACATGAGAATTTTTGTGATTCCCCCCAAAATGTTCTGATCTTAGAAACTTGATTTCTTTAAGATACATGCATGAATACCATGTCAAAAATGTATGCATGGCACAGTATTCAATTATTTCCTTCTGTGAGCTTTGATAATACTGTAAATAAGATATACAAGGATAATAATAAGAAAAGAGGCACGAATAGAAGCCTTTTCAAGCAAACTGAAGGGAAATACATAAAATTAGTAGACCTAAACATACAATATTCAGATGATTTTGGACACTGATTTCTGTAATAGGTCTGCCACAATGGCTCTTTTAATTCTACTTTGGATTTCAGTAAAATGATATTGCTTTCTGCTTTTCAGATGCATAAGAATACTGTGTTACTTAAAATGTATTTATAAAATATTATTGTGTGTTATTTATCTAAAGTATTCTGATGGCTGTATAGTAAAAATTCCCGCAGTATGAGTCTGTGAAACCTGGTTGATTCCAAGAGTGATTTCATGCCTTACTAGTTTGAGCCTTGATTGCTTTCATCCTCAATGTAAAAAGATAATATTGCATATGTTACAAGAGAACTATTTATTTATAACTAGCTTATAATTTTGATTTATAAGGTTGCTGAATTAATCAATGACTGAATTTTTAAAAAGTTTATAGAATTATATTTCCAGAATGTTATTAGCATGTCATTTTAGCCCTGTTCTCTGTCTTTTCATAGTCTGAAAACTAAGATTGGGAGAATGTAATATACATAATTTGAAATGTATACTTCCAAGTCTGATCTTCTCCCCCACCACCAACCATGTGTAATATACTCATCTACCCCCTCAACCATGTATATACTTATTGCATGGCACAATGCTACACAATGCCTAAAACTGATAATAAAACAGATTGTACATTTTAAATAATTTTACAGTTGCTTTTTATATAGTAATCTTTTGAGTTTAGAGCAATGTATGAACTGGCCCATTATGGCTCAATGCTATATATGCAGTCTTTTGATTAAATATTATGTGTGTATGTAGTCAAAAAGCATCTTCTGAATCTTTATTGTTCTCTTGGAACAAAGCCTTAGCCTAATGTCTTTTGCAGGATTTTCAGTAGAACTGCTAAAGTATTAATCCTATCATTTTTATAAAGGGACACCATGTGGCGGATTTTCACAGGCTCACTGCTTGTGGAGGAGAAATCTAGTGCTTTGTTACATGATTTGCGTGAAACCGAGGCTTGGATTTATCGACTTCTTCGCTCACCTGTGCCAGTTGCTGGACAGAAGCGTGTGGATGTGGAAGTCTTACCTCATGAATTGCAGCCAGCTTTGACGTTTGCCCTCCCTGACCCTTCCCGCTTTTCTCTGGTGGATTTCCCTTTGCATTTGCCCTTGGAGCTGCTAGGTGTGGATACCTGCTTGCAAGTACTCTCCTGCATTCTTCTGGAACATAAGGTGAGAGGAAAACGCAGCCGATTCATTGTTAGGTAATTTAGCAGTGAGAACTGCATTGCCTTTTCACAATGTTTCAGTAGTGCTTTAGCATGGAGGATTATGTAGATTGGTCACAATCAATAATTTCCTAGTATTGTCCCAGAAGGGATAAAGGGTATGTCCTTCATAATTGTATCTTTTTGTGTAAAGTAGCATTTGATTAAAGAAGCAGCACTGGGATGAAAATAGAACTGAGTAGCATATAAGAAAATGTTAGAATTTTGTTTTATTATTGCACTAATGCAATTTTCTTTGGCTTCAGGTAGTACTGCAGTCTCGCGATTACAATGCTCTATCCATGTCTGTGATGGCATTTGTGTCCATGATCTATCCATTGGAATACATGTTCCCTGTGATTCCTCTCCTTCCTACCTGCATGGCTTCTGCAGAACAGGTATGTCAATGGTTGTGTTAGGACAGCCCAGCCATGACTCAACTAAAGACTTTCCTTAGAGCCCATATGTGTATCTGTTATTTTTTTCCAATGTATTGTTGACCTGTTACTGAAATCTTCAGTGTATTTTTTTTCTTGCCCTTGGGAAGAATTAAAAATGTTTGCAAAGGGTTCTTTTTTTTAAAAAAAAGTTTAAATTCTTTCCTTCTACATATTTATATAGGTTGCTTTAAACAATGAGTGTTTTACATTACATTTACATTACTTCTGATATACCTTCTTCCAAAATATACAGTATATACATTAGTATCTAGGCCTTGCATGGCTTCTCCAGTTTTGTTCTTATCTGACTTTTATTAATATTTTCTGCCCATTACAGCTACTTCTAGCCCCAACACCTTATATTATTGGAGTCCCAGCAAGCTTCTTCCTTTATAAATTAGATTTTAAAATGCCAGATGATGTATGGCTGGTGGATCTAGACACCAACAAGGTAACTAGTTCGTGTTTATGTGTTAAATGTAATTTAGAGAAGTATTTAGGGGCAAAGGTAGTCCTTGAGTTATATGCACAATTGGAACTGGAATTTCAATCACAAAGTGATGTGGTCATTAAGCAAGTCATTATGTGACCCAACCCAATTTTATGACCATTTTTATCATGGTTGTTAAGTGAATCACATTGTTAAGTAAATCACATGGTTGTTGCAAATCCTACTTCCCTGATTGACTTTACTGGTCAGAAGTTGGCTTGGAAGGTTGCAAATCGTGTGACTGCAAAATGCTGCAATTGTCATAAATGCAAATCAATTGTGAACTACCAAACAGCAATCACGGGACTGTGAGGGTAATGTGATGGTTGTAACTTTGAGGACAGGTCGTAAGTCAGTATTATGATTTCTGTAATTCCACATTCCTTTTACTAACACAGACACCTGCTCCCTCCTGCTTCTAAAACCACTTAATTTCCTGATCACCAATATTTGATGGATTATTTGGTTCTCTTTGTCACACTGATTTGGAGCATAGGTTCCTGTACATTAGCTGTTAATTGAGCTTGTTTTATGATACATAAAAGAAATCCACTCAAGCGATTTCCTTGATGCAATGTTATTTTTAAATGTTAATTTCAGGTCATTGTTCCTACAAATGCTGAATTACTGCCTGCTTTGCCAGAACCAGAAGTTTTAGAACTGAAAAAGCATCTGAAGCAGGTAAGTTAATGTTCTGGTGAGTATGGCTAAGAGGAGTTTAAAACTAAACTGTGAGTGTTGGGACAACAGAAACTTGGATCAAAACTTAAGAGGTCCAGGCTCAAAGTTGGTCATAATTCCACAATCATCATTTTACCACTTGTGAAGGAGAATCTCTGTAAGTATCAGAGGTTATTTTGGAGAAAATTGGTATTGAAATATATTGCTATTGTATTAGAACAAGGAGGCTTTGGCTACTTATTGATGTTCCTTCTAATTTCTGATCCCTAAATGAACAGTTACTTCAGAAAATAGCTTGCCTTGAATTGATACTGGAATGTAGAAAATGTATTTAGAGGAGGATATGAGAAACCCTGGTTCTTGTCAGATTTGGAAGAAACATCTTATGTAATGATTTTCTTCCTTCCCTTTAATATCTCCTAATTTTCACAAAATAGCAATAGCCTCCCCCCACCAAGAAGCAGTCATTTGTAGAATGTAACAATCATATTAATAATTAATAATTGATTATTATTTTTTAAAAACTCAGAATTAGATTGGTCAGCTGTAAAACATTTGGTGAGCTAGTAATGTTCCCCCCCCCCCAGTGCTACCCTGGATTGTATTTGGATGAGAAAAAAAAATATAGTTGAAAAAGGGCTGTATGTCCAAAGCACATTGGGTAACCATCATAACATTTTGTTAAGACAGTAAAACAACTTCTGCTTTTTTCAGCTTGTCCAGTTTCTGCCTATTACTTGTCATTTCACCATTCTTTATTAATTTACTCCTATACGTATGGAGCAATCTTATGGATATTTATTTATACAATTGATTTATGATGATGTTTCCAGTAATGGTATATTAAGCTTCAGAGTAAAAAATGTATACCCTAGAAAGGTATAATATATGGACCATAAAGTGAAAATCGTGGTCAAACATATTGTTAAACTACAATTGATCATTAGCCCAATCTTAGAATTGTCTTCTATTTTAGATTGCTTACAGTTTAGCTTGTTATTCAGATTCAAAGTGTGTTTAATAATAAAAATGGTTCATTGAAAAAAGCCACATTTATAAAGTGTGGATTAAATGTAGTTTATTTAAGATTAACCACAATTTTGAGTTTGGTATTATTAGCACTCAACTATACTTTAATATTGTACAGCCCTAATAAGTCATGGTGATAAAAATTGGATTTCTTTACTGAGACTTGGAGTTTTATGAGAGATCTATTCATACACATGACAATCTTGACGTGGTCATGAAGCTTTGAAATCATCTTGAATTGCTATTGTTGAATTGTTATCAATGTGTATGCCTCAAACTGCATTAGAATATGGTTTATCACATCCTTACTCCACCTTCATTTTGATAAGCTACATCTGACGTGTCAAACTCTGTGGACTATTCATATCATTCAGAACCACATAAAAGACTTTGCCATTCTATTTAAAATGGTTTTATAAATCCAACTTTGACTTTAATAATTGCAGAAAGCTTATTCTTTTGTTCCTACCCCTCCCACTCATTGTATGCCTTAAACATTTTAATTTTTCCATGACTTGTTTTCCCATTGTACATCATCAATTTTCTGTTTCTGTTCACATGGTTGCCAATGAAATCCACACTTTTCTTTCCAGTTTTTTTATTATATTTCATAATAGAGGTTTTATGACTTCTGTATTTCTCTTCTCCCCATTGCTCTTTTATTGTTCCTCTTTGCATGTTGCATGCAATATATACAGGTAAAGCGTTACAGCAGCAGGTCAAAAGCTATTGCTTCTGTCTCTCATAGAAGAGCAGGACTATATGTGATTTCTTGTGTAAGCTAATGCAACAAACCAACAGGCAGTAGAATCTGCAATCTCTCTTTCTGATCTGTTTGGTTTTCTGTTTCCACAGTTTAAGGGGCTGTCGGCAACATTCCCACACACCTGAACAAATATGAATAAAGTAAAAATGTGCATTTTTTTCTAGCAGACAGAAAACACAATCTTATTTTTTATGGAATAAGTTAAGGCAAGAAGGAAAAAATGTTTAATGATGGTAAGGAATCTAGGCAACAAACATACGTGAATACTTATGTAAAATTCTTAAAAAGATTTATATAGCCCATTTATAGCAGTCACAACATCAGATGTCAGTGTATTGTTAAAATGCATGTGGCGCATCAATTTAGTAGCCCTCAGTACTTTTTAAGAGAAAATGTTTGCAAACAGGTGTATGGGAGCAAAGTAGCCTGGCCTCCTTCAAGAACTGTGCTTTTTATTTTTATTTATTTTTATTTATTTTCTCATCTGTGGTATTAGTAATAATAGATTTTTCTCCATCTGTCTCTATGTGATCATGTATTCGTCTTTGGCTCTGATTGTCGCTGATGTTGTCATGTGATCTTCCATCTTGCCTCCAGACTCTGATTAGCATGTCTGCAATCATTCGGCAACAACTGCTCACGCCTGAAAAAAAGGTGTCTTTATTTTACCTTTTTCTCCCTCAAGTTGCCATTGGATAATTTTTTTGTTAATCTATTTTGATGTATTGGCTTTTGGAAAGAAAGGGAATTTTGGTGGAAGATATCAGTAGAAGTCGGTGAACTAAAAAAGAAAGATAAATAAAAGAAATTCACATGGCTTGAGGGTAGGCCACCTTCTCCTCCAAAGAAGCTGAAATTGAAAAAAAAAAACTAGTGTACAATCTGGAGAACTAAAATGTTTGGGTTTTTTTGTATGTTCAACATGCTAAACTAAGATAAAGATACTTGTTTTGTGAATATTACAAATGTCGTTATGTGAAGTGCTTCTTCAGAAGCCAGAAGAGTTAATGAAATCAAAACTGTTGAAAACTTAAGTCTTCTAGGAATCTGGGCTTCCATAGTAATTGTATAGTGAAGAATGCATTAATTATGCTCCTTTTATATAGCATAGAGGGCATAATTGGAATCTCAGAACAAATTGGCTGAATTGGGAATTCAGAACAAGAAATAACTACCTAATAATGTGAATCTGTATTAATACTAATGTGTATTAATCTATTTAATGCATTTGTGTATCATCCTTCATAAAAACATGTTCTAAGGTGATTTCTAATGTTTAAAATAAAAATAGTAATAAAATATACATTAATAATACATATATTTGTATCAAAGTCATTAGAGTTTATGCCATTCAAACAAACAATATTTGTTTGTCGAATTTCTAAACTGCCCATCTCATCTAAGTGACTCTTGAATATAGTTAAAATGTTTTGAAAGGAAAAACTTTATAATCAATTAAGCAGAAGAAAGATTAAGTTTATTCTTATTTGCATAAAAAAGCTGAAAGAGATCTCAGATGATCCCAGGGTATATTGGAACATCACACTCAGTTTGTGTTTGCCCATGAGACAGAGCTGTATTAGAAATGCCATTTTCGTTTATTATGTTTGTAACATATTGCTCTTCAGGCTTTGGCCAGCATGAGTTTGAATACCCAGCCTATTCTTAACTTAGAAAAGTTTCATGAAAGTCAAGAAATCCCAGTGCTTCTGGGAAGACCGCAGAATGACCCGCAATCTACACCGTCCACAGAGTTCAACCCATTAATCTATGGCAATGATGTAGATTCAGTGGATGTGGCCACTAGGTGAGATGAAGCATTGTGTTTTTGCCGAATGTAAATAATAAACCTCCAGTTAGGTGGGAAGAGCCAGTGCTCCACTTGGCAACACATGATAAGCAAAATTATATTATTTTTTGACAATATACATTGCTTATCTATGATTATTCAGATAAATTTATTGTAACAGTGTGATATTCTCTTGATGATCTATAATACTAAGGAGTATAGTTAATACATTGCAGATAGACAGACAGACAGACAGACAGACAGACTTCATTTGGGCACAATGGTACACATTAAAAATGAAATTTAGTTGCTTGCTCTCGAAGTGTACACATATATAACACACATTTAAACATACTATATACACATATGTATAGACCTACACCTTTACATATAAGTAAACATATAAATATTAATCACTGTCCATCTTGAATACATAACGGAAGGAGGAAGCTTTAGAGTTCAATAGTTTGTGCATAAGCTGTTATATGACTTCTGTGAAATGTGGCTACCTCGTAAAAGTTTATGAAACTTCCTTCAAATGCCTTGATTTAAGGTATTAAAATAGTATATATTTACAGTATATAGAATATTCTGGGCTCTTCAAAGAAAATTACAAATGATACTGACATTTTAGGACAGCCATATTGCTTATGTTAACCAAAATTCAGGAGTAGTCTAGTAGCACTTTTTCAGACCAGCAAATCTTGCTAAACAATCTAAGCTTTTGTGAACTGCAGCTCACTTCACAATTTTGTTTTAGAAAAAGTGGGCAATATCTTGAATACAGCACGTTGAGGGTTGAGAAGTGCTTCTGATATGCTGATATCCTGGAATCAATTTAGTGATTGTTAGCGTGAACAAATGTATTCATTTGCTTTTTCCTTATGGGGATGCATCATCAGTTATTTTTTGGTGATTCATGAATGCTCTGTGCGTTTTCAGTTTTCATGCTATTTGCTAAATGACTTATCTTTCCATTTTTAAAGGGTTGCTATGGTGAGATTCTTCAATTCACCAAATGTTTTACAAGGATTCCAGATGCATACCCGCACACTTCGTCTCTTCCCCCGGCCTGTGGTTGCATTTCAGGTCAATTCCTTTTTAGCTTCACGACCAAAACAGACACCCTTTGCAGAAAAATTGTCCAAGACACAGGCAGTAGAATACTTTGGGGAGTGGTCTCTCAATCCCACTAATTATGCTTTCCAAAGAATCCACAACAGTAAGTGTGATAATGAATTGTTAACTGTCTTGATTTTAATGTGGGATGTTCCAATACAAAATATTGCTGAGAAATTAACTAACCACTATGTTTTAAGATTTTATCTTAGGAACAAATAAGGTTTGTTCAGTATAAGAGCTTGTTTTCCCAATAAAAATCAGAAATGCTTGCTATTCTCCATATTTTGTCTGAGTTTTTAGACATTAATGTAGCTCCTGTAACTCTATTTTTGTGATTGGCATAAGGCAAATCAATTGTTTCTTGCTGCTTTTATAGATATGTTTGACCCAGCTCTGATTGGTGATAAGCCAAAGTGGTATGCTCATCAGCTGCAGCCAATCCATTATCGTGTTTATGACAGCAATTCTCAGCTAGCTGAATCAATGAATGTCCCAGCTGATAGAGAAACAGATTCAGATCCGACTGATGATAGGTTAGTAAAGAATGGTATGCATGCAACCAATCTTCAGTGAACTTTGTAATTCTTTGTAAGTTTTTTTTTTTTTGGTTTATGTGTGTCAAGCATCAGTTTCCAAGATACATTGCAGATAATTTAAACAAATATCATTAAAAATATAGCTCAAACAACTAAAAAATATCAAATCCAGAACTCTAGAAAAGATTTTTAAAGCTTGGGAAGATTAAAAAATTTGCCTGGCTCCAAAAACATACATCTACTGGAAACTATTACTGTACGCTTTGTGATCATTCTGGCTTCCATTTTTCCCATAATTTTGCTTTTGTTTTGTAAAATGAGTTTTCCAACTATATGACTCATTTATAGGATAAAACGATAAACTCTTGACATGACAGTAAAGCCAATCAGGCACTCTTTGAGGATTGATTACAAGAATTTCCCCACTTTTTGTATTAGTCAATCATAGAGGAGGCAGTGACCACAGTTATGCACTGGAACAAGTATGATTTCAGTAGCCTTATGTTAGTTAAGTGTCAAAACATCAAGAATTTCTCAAGGTTACAAGGTATGAGAACAATTCAAGAAAGTCAGTGCCGAATAGATACTACAAATCTGGAATCAATTGTATTATATTTTTAATGCTTAAAAGAATGACAACATAGAAGCTATAATAAAAAAATTGAAAACCACCATGGACTGTTTTAAGTTTGCTTCTGTAAGGCAGACCCAGAGAAAAGGCTGGTGGCAACGGAAGTTGATTGATTCTTTGGAAAGTGAATAGCTTCGCCAAGAGAGTTAACTATTCAGACAGAAGAGAAAAGTTATTTTTTTACTTTTTGTTTCTGGAGGAATATAGCATGAGGTTATGTGTCCTTTGGAAACAGCTCTTAAAGAGGCAGAAAGCTCCATGGCCATCTATGTCCTTATATGGTTAAGTAGTGAACATGGATATCATGCTCATACTTCCTGAGAATTGCCAATTTGAAAAATGTACTCAAACATCAGTAGTTTTGGCAAATAAGTTCTCCCAAAATGTAGTAGTTGCATATAATAGCTTTCTATTTAGGGGATTCCATCCTTATCTGACACTGCTTGATAAATTGAAGATGCTTTCAGGACACAGGAGAAAATGTTATTTTCTATTCTCTGAGTTGTCCTGGGCATTCCTCTTTTCTCTCTCTTGCTTGCAGAATTGGAATATGTTTTCTACCTGTGCCATACATGTGACAGTGATTTATATTAGGAATTCCTCCACTGTTTCCTTTTAACACTGGGGTTTCTTCTTACTGCCTCTTTATTCCCACACAATTTTTAATTTTGCCATAGAACTTAGTTTTGCTCATCCTTTCAGTGGTTTCCATTGTCATGGGGTTGAGAAAAACCTGCTCTTCAGCTGGTCTGGAAGGCAGGACAGATCCTCCTGTTGCAGTGATAATTCAAGGCTCAAACTTGGCTATTAGTGGCAGGAAGAGGTACCTGGCCAAAGAAAGAGTGCTCTCAGTATAACTAAGGGTATAAAAATTCATGGTAAAAAAATTCTGCTAAATCTCTTACGTAATTATTTTTCTACTTTTTTTTCTCTTTGCAATAGTGGGAGTGATAGTGTGGACTATGACTCCAGCTCTTCTTATTCATCCCTTGGTGACTTTGTTAGTGAAATGATGAAATGTGATATCAATGGTGATACTCCAAGTAAGTACCCTTGATCTGTAATGTGTTTGTTTTGGATATAGTTATAGGGTTTAGACTGATTTCATTGTTTTGGAAGAAACCTTTCACCTCAGCGACCAACTGAAATCTTGCCAGGATTATGGAGAGTATTTTGTTTCTTTGTTGTATTTATTTTCCTTGGAGAAGAATGGAACGGAGTGGAATAATAGAATAACGGAGAGTAAGGATTGGAAGGGATCTTAGAGATTTAGGTTAATTCCCTGCCCACTGCAGAAATCTATTATTATAGCATCACTGACAGATAGCCACTCATGGAGAGTAAGGATTGGAAGGGATCTTAGAGATTTAGGTTAATTCCCTGCCCACTGCAGAAATCTATTATTATAGCATCACTGACAGATAGCCACTCATTGTTTAAATGAACACTTCCAGTGAAAAAGAGCCTTACATATCCCAAGGAGGTCTTTTTCATTACTGAATAGCTTTTATTGTTGCAAAATGTTTCCTAATGTCTAACCAGAATCTGAATCTTTATCATTTAAACCATTGTTCTTTGCTTGTCTTCTGGAGCAACTTTGAAAAAGCCTGCTGTATTTTTTACTTTGCAGTCTTCAGGTACTTGAAGAGAGTTATCACGTCCCCCCACAGTTTTTTCTTCTCCAGACCTCTAACTTATAACATTCTTCTTCTAAAACTCTTATTATCCATACTCCAGTTTGTTAATGTATTTGCTAAAATGTGCCTAGAACTGGAGATAATATTCCAGATGTGGTCTCACCAATACAGAATACAAAGAATTAATGTCTATATGCAAACATGTAACGTCCAAATCAACAAAGTATATCATAGTCATTGTGCTTTAAAAACACAGTATTATTTGGTATGCTGTGTGAATCCAGACAGTTTATTCAGCAAAACTTGATTAAATTAACGTTCATGTTCTATTGATTAGGAATGCCAGTATGTAAGGCCCGCAGTCATTCTTGAAAATAAAAATTATGTGGGAGGCTAATATTACATTCTGCAGTTTATGTGTAGCATCTTTTTTTCCTTAAAAAGCTGAAGTTTGTGACTTGCTTCAAACAATATTTTCTATACTTCTATAGATAATGTTACATCCAGAAGTACCCTTTAGCAACTCTGTCTAAAATCAGTTACCTCAGATTCTGATTAGCTTCTTTATTTATTCATAATCATACTTTCTTAACCCAGATTAAGTTTCATCTCATTCCATTCCAAAATGTTAAGCATACATTTATTTAGGAATTCCACACATTGTGATTCATGGGAAAAAGAATATAAATTATCTACACATTTTTTGTCTACTATTCAGATGGAATCTGTCTTCCTATAATTGTAATAGTTTAATGAGTAATTTTCTTGAATTGCTTATTGACTTGGCCACTGTAGATTTGTGTCTATATATTCTAATGTCTCTTGCAGATGTGGACCCACTAACTCATGCAGCTTTGGGTGATGCAAGTGAAGTGGAGTTTGATGATTTCCAGGAGTACTCAGCAGATATGGATGAACAGGCTCCAGACAGTGAGAATTCCCAAGATAATAACCAACCTCGGTCAAGTTCAAGCACTACAGCCAGCAGTAGTCCTAGCACTGTTATCCATGGGGTGAATCATGTATGTAATGGAGTAGATGGTAAAAGAAATATAAGGCATTTAAAGGAGCAAATAATTATAATTATGAAAGTTTAAGTAGTAGTCAGTGGGATGTCTAGTAACTTTCTGCTGAAATGGGATACTGGAATTTCAGTATTCATCACAGGCTCTTAGAAAACTGTTCCTTGTTTATAATTTCAAGAAATTACTGCCTTTCATCAGTCTGCGATTATTCATAAGTAGCTGGAGCTTTAGAGGAAAAAGCCCTTACTAACTGCCATATCATTAGATATGCAAACAAATATTTTTAAAAATGAAAAAGGGTTTGCAAGCCATAGGAACTGCATAAAAATAAAGAAAAAGCAGGGAATTATCTGGATTCAGTTTTTAAAATCCTAATAGCAGGAGATTGCAGAACATTATGAGATAAGAGAACCGATTTGGTGTAGTGGTTTTGGCATCAGGTTAGAAACTGGGAGACCATAAGCTCTGATCTTGCCTTTTAGGCATGAAGCCAGTTAGATGATCTTGGGCCAGTCATTCTCTCTCAGCACTAGGAAAGAGGGCAAACCACTTCTGAAAATTTTGCCGAGAAAACTAGGCCAGGTGACAGAACAGTCACTTAGGTCAGATGTAAAAATTGGATTAACAAAAGAAATAAATATTAACTTGAAGGCACAATAATAAAAAAATGAAATTTACAGGAATTTATCGTTAGGCATATAGGAAAGATTTCCACGGTACTTCTGATTGGTGGTATGTACCCTTCTTTGCTTGAGGATTGAACTACATGGTCTTAAAATGCAATAAATGATTTTAAAAAATCAAGCTACATGTTTAACTGAAAGGTACAAACTACTTTCAGCATTTGAAAGATTGTAATAATTTTAGTTGGTTTTACTTAAACCACTTTACTTAAAATTCAGGATATCACTAAGCCAGGATAGTGATTAAAAATGAGTAGAAATATTTGAGACAGTGTTAGAAATACTAGAAATTGAATGAACATTGTAATATAGTACCAGCAAAGTTTATTCTTATATGCTCTATTTAGTAAACTCAACAATCACAAACTAAACTGTGGCACAGCTATCCAGAATAGCTCAAGCGTGGCTTTTGTTCATTTGCCTCCAGCCTGCTGCCTGTGGCTCCTGCCTGCAACTGTCATCGTCCATTATTACTGAATCAAACTGAAAATAACCCAGTTTTTTAGTTTTGTTTTTATTGTAAGCAGGAAATATTAGATGTTGTGCTAAGCCCACAATAAACAATTGGATTCAGCAAGCTGTTTGGAGAGGCACAGGAGAGACAAGCTGTTAAGGCAAATTCACAGAGTCATTGTATAGTTAAAATTATATCCAATATATTGCTGATATTACATACTAATTCTTTCTGTAATATTTCAAATATTGTCCTAAAATTTTTTAGTCATGATTTTCTTAATGTATATAGTTAAACTTTTTTATCTGAATATATCCACAGAAAATATTTACAATGAAGCAACTACTTATAATACTATTAAATATAGGCACCAAATGCAAATACATTATCCTAACAGTGTTCCTGTAATAAAACTTAATTTAGCAGAAACAGTGATAGAAGTCAATAGTACGTTTGATGTTAAATTTTAGTTTATCAGTAGTAAAATTATAAACTACTTTTATCATTTTAAACTGTGATAAAATAGTTTATCATCAACTATTGCAGAAATCTTTAGCTGTAAACAGATTTATGTTTTGTTCTCTGTATAGGAATCAGCTGATTCAGCAGAAGTAGAAGAGAAGATGATAGCTGGATTTTCAAATCACCTTTCCAGCTTGCCTTTACAGCCAAATTTTCCCAAGGTGACTGTGGATCATCATGAAAGCGAGAGTCCTTCATTCAGCTTGAGCTCCGCAGAAGGAATGGTGAAGAAACGAGAGTATGATAATCCATACTTTGAACCACAGTATGGATTCCCAGCAGAAGAGGAGGAAGATGAGCAGGAAGAAAGTTATACTCCAAAGTTCAATCAGAATCTCAATGGCAATAGGTGAGAATTGCTATATCCAACACTGGTTTTTAAAATTAATTTGGTCCTTTTTGTGTGGTATCATCCATTGTCTAAGAAATTTTCTGCAATTCAGCTATATTCTTAATACTGGATTAATAGTATTCTTCTTTACCTAAAAGAATATATAGTATATTAAACTCCTATGTCTTTATAGGAATATTTATGTCCCACATAAAAGATGCCAAAACCAGTATGTAGGCTTCTTAGGGTGCAGCCTTTTCTGGGTATGTTCCATGTGATAGTTATTCATTGGGATGGGACAAAAGTAGCGTAAAAAGAAAAAAATTATATAATTGTCCATGGAATTTGTATTAATATGCTTCTGCATATCTACAGTATATGAAAAATATAATAGAGAGGAAAATCCATAGATTACTTTAGTGGACCCTCTGGTACTTAGAATCTGTAGAAGCAGATGAGCCATTTCAGAAGATTTGCACAGTAGGGAAGGCATTATTTCTTTCTCTTGTTTGGTATATTTGGGAGAGAAAATGAAATTAAAGCCTCTTTTTACTTCTGGGTAGCTGCAAAAGATGGGTGAGGGATTTGGGTTTGTGGAATACTGAGAGAGCTGCTGAGGGTTTCTAAGCAGTATGGTTTACCCGTGTGTACTACAATAAATTTGCCTTATTTCTCATAAAATTCTGTATCTATTTTCAATTATTTATTCATTTAACCAAATGAATAATTATTGAATTTAATACCCGTGATAGCTGTGGTCTATAGAACAAATGTTGCTTTGGGTGATGATTTTTCTGACCCTGCCATAGTTAAACACAAAGAAGTTTGTGATAATGATATGTTTCCCAATTTCTACTATGGCCATAGATACAAATAATGTGTTTCTTTTTCCTATTCTTTTCAAGGCCTCCAAAACTTTTGCGTCCCAATAGTTTAAAGCTGGGTAATGACTCTGATGCAGAATCGGATTCGCATGCCAGTTCCCCAAATTCTACAGTCTCCAACAACAGCAGTGAAGGTTTTGGGGGTATTATGTCTTTTGCCAGTAGGTATTCTTATTTCTTGCACACTGATTTAAATAATAGGTGGGAAGACGTGGAAAAGAGATTCAAAGGGGAAAAAACCCTACTGTGGCAAGCATGTTATTAATTCTAGGTACCATGAAAGTCATGGATCTGATTATTGCTGAGTTCGTGGCTTTTATAAAACCAGGAGAGGTGCATAAAAGAATAAAAGGTGACATTATTTTGTGGAAAAGAATAATGATGGAATAATAAAAAAGAATAATGACAGACTTTATCCGAAGGTTAGCTCGGGTAGACTAAAGACTAAAATCAGATCCAAGGTATCAGAAGCAATTTTTAAAGATTAAGCATTTGTTTGAATATGGTAAAAATACAATATGGACTACTCAACCAGAAACTATTGAATGAAATAGAGTTAAAAGATATTTTTTTAATGATATGAGAAATGTAACTGTCTTATCAGATGCAATTTTTAAAGATTAAGTATCTCTTTGAATATGGTTAAAATATAACATGGATTACTTAATTAGTAAATATTGAATGGAATAGAGTTAAAAAATGAAAAAATGGGGGATATAAATGAATTTTAGTTTGAGAGAGATATGTTTTTCTTTTTCTTTCTTATTCTGAGTAGTATTGTATTTTTTTTAATGATATGAGAAATGTAAGGGAAACAGCTTAGATATTTAACTGTAAATTAATTTTGAGAAAATCTTAACAGATAAAAATGATTTCAATTTTGTGGGGAAAAGTCTAAACGAGAATGTTGAAAACAGGACATATAACGCAACCAAAAGGACTAATTAGAAAAGAAGTTCTATATTGATGCTATTACCAATTGGATAAATGTTAGAAAAATGTTTATATTTAACCTCTTTGTTACTAAGACATTAAGAACTGTATTAACCTAATGTTTGCAAACGAGAACAATATGGGAAGAAGAGAAAATAAAGGAAAGCTATTATGTAGAGTATGATATGATAGAAATTGACTATTATTGATTGTTGTGAAATGTGAACCCAGACAACATGCTGTTTGCTAAGCACTAAGATTGTAATTCCATATGTGGGATATTGTCACACGTCTTTGGCCAGCTTTGAAACTGAAATTCTCTGTTAAGATGGCCATCAAGCAATCAGAAATATTCCATTGCTAGTAAACAGTTATTTTCCTTTCCTAATAAGAGCCATTTGGACATGATAATATGTGGGGGAGTAGATAGTACCATTGGCTTGTCCCTCCTCTCCCTAGTGATTCTTAGATGTATTTGCAGTATATCTTGCTCATTTTGATTAGCTGTGTTTTTCAAAGGAAGTTTGCATATTACTTTCTAAGGAGAAGCACAGTCTGATTTGAATTATTGTGTGACTAAAATCAGTGCTACAGTTTTTTTTAGGAGTAGTGGTTTAGCCTGTTTTGGAAGGGATTCGAGAGAGTTCTTGGGCTTGAAGTTGCGACACAATATCCAGTTGGCAATATTAGCCAGCGGGGTTTTTGCCCTGGGTTGGTGTGCCAAGAAGACTGGCAGATTTGAATAAAGAACAGATGTACCTCAGTTATATTAAAGTTGGGTTTACTTATAGTTACATTTACCCTTTGTAAATTGTACAGGAAACATTTATGTTTTTTTTAGTTATGGTTTGTGGTTGTTGATTCAAAATATTTTTGATCAGTTGACGTTATTTTTAGAAAATAGTAATGATTCAAGAAAGGGGCTTTTGAATAGTAGCATCTAGTTGTGGAGTTGCTCAGGCTCCCTCTCAAATATACTCTTAAAAAGTGATTGTTTGTTAAAAAATTACATTACTCCTGTATACATATAAACACCTTTTTAATAAAATGCCACTAAGTTACAACAATTTCTTTTAAATATAACAGTGAGATAGAAATTTAAATAATTTTTTAAAGCAAGTAAATTTCTTTTAACTAACTTTGATCCTGTTTATTGAGTTTTTAATTTTCATCTTATACAAATGATGTACATTTTCTTAAAGAAGAATGTAAAATTCTTTTTCTCAAATTAAAATAGATGATTCATGATTAATTACTATACATCAGATATCTGAAAAATGTGATGCAAACAAAAATGGAATTTTAAAAAATGCAGGTATTTAAAATTATTTTTAATGAGGCAGAGATGTATAGGAGATAAAATAAGTGAGGCATTTATTCTATCCCTCCTCTTCCTATTGTTATGTGCAAAATGTGCCTCAAATTCTTCTGACCAAATAAAAATAAAAATGAAGAGAGAGAATCTGCTATCCTAAGTAATCCTAAGTAAAACAAAAAGGACTTTGCATAACTTTGTGCATTTAACAAGTAGGTTATAAAATTGAAATAGAAAGTATATTCCTGAAATATTCTTCTATGTTTTAGTATTGGTTTTGAGAGCAATGTCCCATTGATGGCCTTCTGTTGATTATAATTTATATTTTTAAAAGATGCATATTAAATATGAAGATGACAGCCAGTTTGCTATAGTAGCTAAGACATCTGGCTAGAAACCAGGAGACAGTGAGTTCTAGTCCTGCCTTAGGGACAAAAGCAGCCGGGTGACCTTGGACCAGTCACTTTTTCCCAGTCTTAGGGAAACCACTTCTTAAAAACCTTGCCAAGAAAACTTCAAGAATCAGACATGATTGAATGGAAGGAAAAAATTGTGAAGATGCATATTGAATTACTTCCTAATCTGAGAAAGACAGAGATGAGCTCACATATAAATAGCTGAATAAATAGCCGAATGAAATAAGGGAATGATTAGATCACTCAATATATTTTCTTTTTATTACAGGTAGCCTGTACAAAAACCACAGCACAAGCTTTAGTCTCTCCAATTTAGCACTTCCAACCAAAGCTGTGAGAGACAAAACCACTCCATTTCCTAGTCTAAAAGGTAATTGTTTTCGTTGCCGGTTAATGCTTTCATAACTGATTGCCAAGTAGTCACAAAATATATCTTCTTCCTCAAATATGTTTTGTGAAACAGGACAATGAGAAAATAAGACTCCCAAATGGTAATGCTTAGGATGTTTTTCCAATATCTATTCATGGAATGTATAGAGTAAACATTGGAATGGCAGTGACCATTGAAATATACTTAGTGGGTCTTTGTTCATATGTCTTTTTACCCTGCGAACATTTTATTAAGTATTATATCAGTCACGTGGAGCACTAATATGGGAGAGATGTTTCAGCAGCCTTCATATAGACTAACTTTTAATGACCTCTACGTATAAATGTTTGCTAGATGGGAAATTAACTTGAAAGTGAATATATTAATAATCTTTCTCTTGGGAGCAGTTGCAGTTAATTAAGTTGGATGCGGAGGTGTCCACAACAAGTCATATTGATGCAAAAATAATGACACACGGCAATACAGGTGATCCTTGACTGATGACCCCAATTGGGACGTGAATTTCTGTTGTAAGTTGTTGCTATCATAAGTCAAGTGAAATCTGAGTTTATGACCATTTTTATGATGGTTGTTAAGTAAATACCACAGTCTTCCAAATGGGTGGTTTTTGCTGGAAGCCAACAAGAAAGCTTACAAATCATGATCACATGACCACAGGACACTGCAGTTGGTCATAAATGCAAACCAGTTGCCAGTGCCTGAACAGTGAGCACATGAACATCGGGGTGGTGCGATGATCATTAGTGTGAGGACTGGACTTTTTTCAGCATGGTCATAACTTTGAAAGGTTGCTAAACCAACAGTTATAAGTCAAGGACTAGCTGTATTGTGTGATAAATTTGATTCTCTTATACTTGCATCCCAATTCGTTGCCAAAATTCTTAGGACACAGTATTTGTGTCATAGCCTTATATTTCCTGTGGATAGTCGTGGCTAAACCTTTCATTAATTTGAAGAGTGAAGAATAAATACAGGTTGTAGAAGTTACTGTTATTTTATATATACTACAGTCAATATTAGTCAGATTTACCAATGAACCTAAGCCTTATCATTTTTTTTTGTACTTGAACTTTTTAGTTGCTCAACTAGAAGGAGGCTTTGTTTGTCTGTTCAGTTCTTGTATATGATTAGAAAAAATATTTTTTTTCTTTGTAATAAGTTGATTTTATTTATTTCTTCCCCTTCTCCATTTTCATCGGTAAAGATTACTTTAATCTGGAAGTGGGAAGGGATATGGATAAAGGTTGGTATAATGTCTTGCTAACATTTGACCTTTTGATGATAAAGGCCAAAAGTTGGTTTTCTGTTGCTGCCTTAAAGTTTGCTTTGGATAGCATAACTTTCTTTCTTGGGTGTGTGTGTTTATGTAAAATATACATCCCCAAATGATTGGGAGCTGCCCAGAGTTTGATATAAGATGGATGGCTATAAAAATGTTTTAAATAAATAAAATAGTAACTGAAAAGGAATGTGAGTACTCTAAAGTTTCTGCATGATATCTTAACAATGTTTCCATCTGCTTACATTCTAATGAGCATATTTTTTTATCGCTCACATTTCTCTGTTAGCTAAATCTAATAATAACACACATTGGAAGAAAACAGTGATGGGTGATTCCATTTCTTTTCATGTTTTTGTCTCATTTTCCGCAGTTTATCATTTTTTGACAATTCCTGTTCAGTGTGATCTCTTGTTCTATGTTATACCAATGATATTTTTAACCTTTGGAATAGACAGTTTCTTTGCATGTACTTCTGCCTTTTTCATAAATAATATATAAATAAGTGTTTCTGCTTTTTTTTGAGTGAATATTAGAATAACATGGGGCTTTTATAAGATAGCCAGATAAATGTTATCATGAAATGCCAGTTTCACAGAAATATAAGTTTACGAGGCTAAAAGTAATTAACCCACAATTTAAATATTAACTCTTTCTTTAAGGTCAGTTTCAAACACTCAGCTTTCTTTCTCTGGATCATCCACTCAAAATGCATACCATATTTATTTATTTATTTATCAAATTTAGAAATGGCCATCTCCCTCACACAGGAACTATGCAATCTATCTTGGGCACAGACTCACACACTCAAATATACAAGGGCTTCTGCAGGGGATATCAGAAAGTCAAGATGGCAGTTGTGACCATGCAAAGAGAACCCCCAACTTTTTTATATATATGCAGGCATGTAAAAAAGGGCAGGGTTTCAATTTTGTGATTACAACCATCATCTTGACTTTTTTGACCAACCCTGCACAAATGTACATGCACGTAGTCAGATGCTTTCTTGCTTTCTCCCACTTCCCTCATTGTCTGTAGCCTTTCCTACTTCCTCCTCAGAACATTCCTCTTCTCGGTCTCCTGCCACGACTCCCCCCCTCTTCTTACAAAGCAATGAATTCCACCTTTTCCCTCTTCATTTTAGACATGGTTGGTGTTTGAACCAGAGGCATTTTAGGAAATAAAAATTGCAAGTGGCTGAAAACCAGCTCTTTACTTTAAATTGTTCCCTTTGTAACTAGATTTTTTTTTTAAAAAAAGCTTAAGAATTAGCAGGGTATTTCACAGGGGGAGATAAAGAGTGAAGTAATGCCTACAGATAGCAGTTTATGAGTAGATGAGTTATGCAGTTAGCAGTTTATGAGTAATGCCTATCCCTCAGTTTAGGAGTAGATGAGTAGATATGAGAGGTATTTTTCTTAATGGTATTGCAGCAAAGTTAACATATATGTATATTGAATTTTTAAAACATATTTAACGAAAAGGAAAACAATCCTGAATTTAAAACATTGGAATATTGGACAGAAGAATATTTATGTGCTTCTGTTCCTTTGCTGAATTTTCAACAAATATCATTCTCCCATTTTAGAAATAAACTATTTGTAGAAATAAAATATGCTTCCTTTCAGGTAAATAAAGTATTTGAAAACTTTGCAGTAGATTTGTTCACTAGGTATAGTATCTTATTAGATTCCATTTCTCAATATTTTATTATTCTTTCCAGCAATTTCTTTTAGATTTGGTTTTTAATGTACCTTCCTTCATTTTCTTAAAGGAAAGTAATTTCATTTTTGGAACAGAAAAAAAATACATTTAATTTTGAATGGAGCACAGAGTTACCTTCTAGATTTCTAATGACTTTAAGATCAGTTTAAGGGCAAGTCTATACTGTAAATGTGAGATAGTTGTATGTTTTTTTAACTTTCAAGAAGGTGCTCAAGGGGCCTTAGAAATTTTGTGGTAAGAGTTGGGGGATTAGGAAATATATAGCTCCAGCGATGAAACACAGTACACTGTTTAGGGAGTTTTATGTGAAAGTAATGATGTTCAACTATTTTATTTTAATTATTGATAATCTGAGACTTGGTTCAGGAGCAGCACCAGTGCAAATGCTGAATAAGAGATAGGGGATACAGTGTTATGGCCTTCTTGCCCTCCCAAGACTACTGATACTTTTGTTTAGTTGTTTTTACCTCCCACTTCTTGATTATTCTTACAGCACTGAGGGAAGCTACTAATTTAATATAGAAATGGTGGTGATTTTACTAGTATACTACTAATTGTTTATTTTGTGTCCCAGTATTTGGGCTAAATACTATAATGGAGATTATTACTGAAGCTGGGCCAGTAAGCAATGAAGGTGGGTCCTTTGCATCATGAGTTGTGCATGACATACCGATTCCCAGTAAGCATTTTGTGCCTGTCTTTGGGCAACTTTACCACTGATAACCAAGATTGTATGATCTCTACTAATCACATTCCCATATCACATTACGCTTTTCCATATGTTGAATCCGAAGATGGTTCTTGTGGCAGAAATGCATGCAGAGCAGCTGAGCTTCTCCTGCTTTTCACCTTCTGCTCTTACTGCCATCTTCTCTTTTGTCTCATTCCCATTACTGTTTTCTGCCGATGTATGATGCAGTAATACAAAATATGCTGCTGCTTTTTCAAGTTTTTTTTTTGTACGTCCTTTTAAACAGAATGTTAGTTAATTCCTGTATGTCTCATTAGTAGCATTTATGGACTTAAAACATCTTTCTCAGTAAACGTTTTCTCATTCTGCCTCTTTACATATGCAGGAAACAGGCGAGCACTGGTCGATCAGAAGTCTTCTGTTATAAAGCACAGCCCAACAGTGAAAAGGGAATCTCCTTCACCACAAGGACGAACCAGTAATTCCAGGTAAAAAATTTAAGGCACAGCTTGGCAAGTAGCTTCTTTTACATTGCCTAATTTCTGAAGCTTCTGCAACTACTACTGTACCTGCCTTCTCTGTTGAAGTCTGTTGCCTGGAAGAGAGAGAAAATAATAAAGGAATGGGATCTTCTGCTTTTAACTTTCTGTCAACAACCACTTGATTTATACTTTATTTATTTATTTGTTATTCTTATAGACTGAGAAGTTCACATTGTCTCGTAGAAGCCATACAAGATAGCCACACAGACAGACAAATGTATGTCCCTAGCCAGTATTTCGAATCTTCTTAATGGTCTACCCATCATACTGTAATCAAGTCTATCTATCTTGCTGCTGGTCATCTTCTTTTTCTCTTTCTTTTTCTCTTTCTTAGCACTGTAGACTTAAAAGAGCTAGGTCTTCTTATAATATGTCCATATATGATAATCTTCAGCCTGGTTATTTGCACCTTGATGAAAACTCTGGGTTGATTTATTTTGTGATCTTTTGTTTTCTTGTCTATCCATGATTTTCTCAAGTTCTCAAAATGAGTTTTCTCATTTTGAACTCAAAGTTCAAAATACTGCTTCTTCAAAATACAACTTACACTGGCCTTGAATATTATAGGAAGAACTATTATCTGTATGATTCTGACTTTTGTAGGAATAGATACATCATGATATCTAAATATCTTTTGCTATCCTACAGAGTGCTAATCTGCAGTATATTTTTTAATTGCTGGTTTCTTTACTGAAATAAAGCACATATTGTCTTTTGAAGGGATATTCTTTTGTTTTCTCAGCTATCCAGTGTACACCTGAACTAATGTCTCTACTTCCTCATTCTTTTCATAAAGCCAGCTTGAATATCAAGCATCTTCTGTTCTGTGAAGGGCTCTTAATTTGTACTCATATGCATTATTTTTCTAGCATGTGAAATATTGTACAATAGTCTGCATAATCCGTTAACTCTCTTTGATATTGGTATGCAGACTGATCTCTTCCAATCTATTGGTCAATATATTGTTCTTCAGATTAACTAGCATAGTTTGATTATAAGCTTGACAGTTTCTTTTTCTGTTACTTGTCATACTCAAAACAATTTCTGTAAGTCTTTGACCTGGTAATGACTGGAATGCTGATCTGATTTCATCTTCTAGCATTAGAGGTTTTTATAAGTAGGGAATATAATATTGTGCAAACAGGTTGGCTTTGTTCATCCACTTTAGCTTGACTTGGAATGTCAGCACGAACAATTTGTGATTGTTTCACAGTTATTGACCACATCTTTACTGTCATTACAGCTCTTTCATTTCCTTGTATCAATGCCATGATTGTTTTGCATTTTGTGTACTTTACCTGGTAATGTCCACATGCATAGGTATTGTTGTGGTTGTTAGAAGACTGTTAGCAGTGAAGAAATCACTACATTGGCAGAAGCCTGTAAGTCATTCTCCTCTTTTATTTCTGTTTCTTAGACTATATAATTGAACTACACTTCTCTACTTAATATTTCCAATTTTAACATTCTATTGTCCAAACACAAGCAGTATATCTTACAAATTTTGCCATTTTCAGATTAAACTTGACTGTAATCCTTGCTATCCTCCTGTTCTTCTGCATCAGTGGTTCAAGCACAAATTTGTATAACGAATTAAAGGGCTGTCCATGAAGTCTAATTGATATTATTCTATCATTAACTACATTGACATGAGTTTTATCTTTTCATATCCTTCTTGACTATAAAAGCAACGCTGTTGCTTTTTTGTTTTTCCTGTCTTGACTATGAAGCAGTGTGATCTTTTGATTGAAAATGCCCATTATCCGATTCATTTCAATTGGCTGAAAATTTCATTATTCAGCTTAATCTCATCTTTCATTGTGTTGAGCTTTCACATATTTATGCTTTTTATGTTCCATATTACACTTCCATTCTTTCTTTGCAGTTTTATATTTTCTTTTCCTGCATGGCAGCATCAGCAAATAGATTTCCTCAAGGCTTTAATCTAGTCATGTTAAAAAAAAACCCATTAATACTGTGAAAGATCTTCAACTGTTCTTCAGTAGAGCATTGAGTGCTATCCAACCTGAGGAGCCTGATTATATGACAATATCTAGTCAGTCATTTTATGTTGTCTATCCATGGGACTTACTTGGTAAAATATAGGGATAGTTTAACATTGCCTTCTGCACGATATGAAATCGTGCCTTTGCTGTTTTCACTAATGTGATCAACATATGCAACATGTTTCTGTATTGCTGCTGTCCGATATAAGCATCTGCTTTCTACAGCTGAATTGAGTTTTATTTCTTAGGTGATTCTTGGCACACATTGCCTCTATTCCAGCTTATCTCTCCTGGGAACACTCTGTGATGATGTAGTATAGTAGGACATGAGGGAGTGAGAATGGCAGCAATATTCCTTGTAGCTTACAATTTTACAGTTAAAATATTAAAAACACAACATCATAAAATACACCATTGCCCTGCAAGACTGGGAGCAGTCTTAAAAATAAAAGTAATACAAAAAAATATCAGTCTTAGATACCTTAACACAGTGGTTCTCAACCTGTGGGTCGGGACCCCATTTGGGGTCGAACGACCATTTCACGGGGGTCGCCAAACAATGCAGTCCGCCATTTTTTCCCCCTTTTCCTTAGCTGTGCTACTCCCTTTTATTCTATTGGCTTTTGAAAGCCAATAGAATAGACTCTCTTGAATAGAGTCTAATTCTATTGGCTTTCAAAAGCCAATAGGAATTGTCCAGGCTGTCTCTGCCCTGCTGAGCCCGCCAAAAGTCCCATTCTGCAAACGGTGCTGCACCAGTTGAGTAGTCCTCGACTTACGACTGGTTGAGTAGTCCTCGACTTATGACCGGTTGGGGGTCGCGGCATTAAAAAGGTTGAGAACCACTGCCTTAACAGAATAACAGAGAAACCTTGAAGGGCTGATACATTTCTAACTCACTAAGATATAAGAGGAAGATAAGAAAAACAATCAGACTTTCAAGATTCTGCTAATATGTCATTGAAGTTTAGTTCTAGTTTTTTGTAGAATCTGTTCCCTTATCTGTACAATATTGAAGGATTGACAATTAAGGTTCCAGGGTGTTGTAGTCCAATACCCTGCTCAGGCAGAAAATCCTATGCCTTCCTAAGCATCATAATATGAAATATGAATTTCTGGATATAGGCTGTTCCAGAAAGATGGAACCTTAATTGTCAACCCTTCAATATTGTACAGATAAGGGAACAGATTCTACAAAAAACTAGAACTAAACTTCATTGACATATTAGCAGAATCTTGAAAGTCTGATTGTTTTTCTTATCTTCCTCTTATATCTTAGTGAGTTAGAAATGAATCAGCCCGAGTCTCTTCTTAATAACTAATTTCTTTCCAGGGCTTAAGAATTTCTATCCTTTTTGTTAATGGCTTCCGAATATTTCCCTCAAAGCCTAATGTTATATTATTGGCTCTCATTAGTAGACATACTGCTGCATTTTGTATTAGGCATAGGCTTCTTCCAACAAATTACCCTCCGAATATGACTATGTTATAGTCCAGCCCTCAGACATAAGAGTCTTTGTACCGCCAAAGTTGCTTCCTACTTATTTAAGGCAACATTTTCTTTTTTCAAAAAACAATATATGTTTATTTTCTTTTTAAAAATGCTGTTTAAAGTTGCTATATAAAGCAACATAATATATAATATGCTTTCAGTTCTTAAGTCTTGCAATCCAAGCATAGTGAGGAATGCTATTTTACATAAAAAATAAAAAAGATCTTTCTTTTAATAATTATAGTGATAGAAAAGCTGTAGAAGTTTTGAGTTGATTCTTTTTTTTTTTACTATATGCCTCCTTGTAGTGAAAATCAGCAGTTCTTGAAAGAGGTGGTGCACAATGTCCTAGATGGACAAGGAATTGGTTGGTTAAACATGAAGAAAGTACGTCGTCTCTTGGAAAGTGAGCAACTCCGTATGTTTGTATTAAGTAAGCTTAATCGCACTATCCAGTCAGAGGAGGATGCTCGACAGGATCTTGTCCAGGATGTGGTTAGTTTTATTTTTACTTTTTTCCCTCATCCATCCATGAATGAATTTTGCTCTGAGTTTCTGTACTGAAGCTTATTTAAGATCGTTCACAAGGAAACTGCTACTACAAGCCTTACAATATAAAGAATAAAATAATACAAAGTAATGGATCAAATGTTGTAGATAAGAAGGAAATTGCTTGCTGAAAAAGGATTAGTACCTTCTAATGAAATGTAGGTAGTACTTGGTCAAATGTTTTTTTCCTCAGAGCTGAACTTCAATATGGTCAGTTTAACTGAGAAATACTACTTCCAACTGACAGTAGAAAATGGAGGCAGAGCTCATTTCCCAGATAAATTCATATGGGCAGAAGAGCGCCCAGTGATATCACAAAGGGTTTAAGAAGCCAGTATTAGAAGTAGGGATTAAAAAATATTAATTATTTAGTTTGATGCACCTTAATTTGCATTCAGAAATTATTTATTACCATAGTTTATTGCCAACTTTTGTAGATTCCCAGTCACTAACGCACGGGTGTCAAACTCGATCACATCATATGACGTATCGTGACGTATTGCAACATTTTTTGCCTTTGCGGAGCCAGGGTGGGCATGGCCTGCACGTGACGCATCCGGCCCATGGGCTGCCAGTTTGACACCCCTGTACTAACAGAATATTATAATATAATATTATGACATATAAAAGCATCCCTAGTACAATAAAAACCTTCTCATAACAGATCTTTTTCATCAGCCATTAAAGTCCAAGTGGAAGATACAGTTAAAGGAAATATTGCGTGGTTTGCTCCAGGTTTATAGTAGCAGATATATTTCAGTAGGTTTACGGACAGTCCCACATAAAGCATAGGACAATGACTAGGATATGGATGATTGAGAAGAGTCAGAATTGTTAAGCTAAATGTAAACATAACATAAAAGATCTGGTAAATTTCCAGAGGCCTGCTGGATCCTTGAGTACTCAGACTAAGAATCTGTTGCTTTAGTGAAAGCATAATTCAATCAAAAGTGAATATGCATCTCTAGGATTCTCAGGTTCATCAGTCAGTAATGTCTCTACCTTAATTATGTCTCAATGTATTCTCTTATGTCTAATCCAAAATTGTCCAAGCACTGGTTTAAAGGTTCACCCTTGGGATCTGAAAATGGAAAGAAGTAGAATTAGAAGCCATTTGACATCCCGAAACTCTACAAGTGGTTCCTTAGAGATGTTAAACAATATGAAAAACAAAAAGCCAAAAATATTTATTTGTGATATTTATATCCCCTGAGCTGAAGGTGACAGAAATATTTTTGACAGTTTTCTCCCCATCAGCCATCTGTGAAAATAGGTTTGGCTAAGGAGATTGGCCCAAAGTCACCCAGTGAGCTACCATGCCCGAGGGTGCACATACATACATATGTATGGATGTGAGAGAATATGTATAAACATCAGCACCATTTTCAGGGATCCATTTTTAAGAGAAATGAATGGAAATATCAGAGGTGTGGGGTTCAGTGGCTTAATGATGATGGAGATGGTTCGAGTCCTAGTACTGCGTGTCGAGATGAGCTCCCGTCACTCACCTCAGCTTCTGTCCATCTAACAGTTCAAAAGCATGTTCTATGCAAAGTAGATAAAATACGTACCACTTTGATGGGGAGATGAGCTGGTACTCCATGCAGGTAATCAGATTCCTGTCCTCTGATCCTTCCTGGTTGCAGCACCCATTTGTGAGGTGGCTCTGGGGAGGGAGGGGCCTTGGAAAAGGCTGCAGTAAGAGCCACTTGTCTTTCTTTCTGGTGTGAAGCCAGCTTGCCCTCTTGCAGCACACCATGGGAAGCACATAAGCGTTTCCTACAACAGGGCTGGTACCTTGGCAGCCAGACTATTACTCTGCAATTCATTGTAGTTTCCTGGCTAATGTAACAATGCCAAATGCTAATAATAATGATGATGATGATGAAGAAGAAGATGATGATGGAAACATCATAAAATAATGCCTAGTCTAAGAGCTTATTGTGTCCTGCAGAGATGCTGTTAAGAAATTTAGAAAATACTGAGTTAAATGGACTAATAATATATGATACTTTTCTTTGTTTTAAATTTCAGACAGCATAACTAAATTATAGAAAATGAATTAAAATGCAAGGAAATTCTGGTTTTTTTTTAATAATATAGAAAGGCTGTGGAATTGGCTTCCGATTAACAAAGCATTCTTACAGATGAGCCTTTTTGTTTTAGGAGATTAACCGAAAGGTTTACAAAGGAATGCTGGATTTACTAAAATGTACAGTATCAAGCCTTGAGCAGTCATATGCAAATGCTGGACTTGGAGGCATGGCAAGTGTATTTGGCTTGCTAGAAATAGTTCACACTCATTACTATAACAAAGGTAAGACAATAATAAAAATTAGTGCATCATAAATACTGTGAAAAGCCTTTTGTGGCAGAACTAAATCTAGTCTGCCAGTCAATAATTTCATGGACTTTATAAGTAGAGGCTATAAAGCAGGGGTTCTCAACCTTGGCAACTTTAAGACTTGTGGACTTCAACTCCCAGAATTCCTCAACGAGCTTTGCTGGCTGAAGAATTCTGGGAGTTGAAGTCCACAAGTCTTAAAGTTGCCAAGGTTGAGAACCCCTGCTATAAAGCAATTGTGCCTAATTATTAAATGTATCAGTTATAAAATATTTATTTGCTTTGTTGGTTTAAAACATATCTGTGTGAATGACTGAGAGAAACAGGCAGGCAAAAACAAACAGATATTATCCTTCCCTCAAGAAGTGAAGTGGGGCCTCTGCAAAAAATATTATTAGATCCCTAAGTTGGTGTTTTTCCTCTTTCATACTTCTGGTTTTCACTCAAGAAGTGTGATGTTAAAGGTGAAGTACAACTGTAGTTAATCTGAGTTAATGCTTCTCAAACCTAGGTAAATTTACCCAAGTTGAGTAAAAATGGTTTTTCTTTTGGTAATGATACCAACCTATTACCCAATCACAACAGGGACATTTAAATCAGGTCTTTATGATAAGTGGTTTTGCGAAACAAAGGAACTTAGCATTTTGGGAAGCACTAAGTTATATGGAACTGCCTGATTGACATTTTGATTTATTTTGTTGGGAATGCCCGGTCCACTAAGTCATTTTATTAGCAAATCAGCATTAAGATAATCACTATCACTAAAATAAGTTTTAAAAAAGTATGTTTCAGTTATATTACTTATGAAGCAGAGTGGTGAAGGATTAAACTGTTATGAATAAGAGACAGGCAGCGAATGCAGTATACTTCCTTCCATCATCAACCTGGCTCATTGCATGAATTGATCAAGGGAAAAATGATAACAAAGCAAGTGGAGTTTGTTGTTTCTTCTCTGTAGTCTGGCTATTTTCAGGGAGATGGGAGGTGACAGGAAAACCAGAGGTATTCTGAGTCAATTGAATTGAATTTATTATATTGAATCAATTCCAATGTGAAATATAGGAATAAAGCATATTTGACTTTCTAGTTAAGTCTTTATTCATTGTCTTTAACCAGTCATTGTCTGGTTAAAGACAATGAATAATCATTTGTTTATTTGTTTATTTATACGTATACATTGGTGGCATCATCAAGAGAAGTTCTGCAGTTACAGAGATTAGAGATTTATTCAAGATAATATGTTCCCAGAAGACTGTGGGTTAGAGTTGTGCATGCATTTGGAAGGGTGCTTTTGCCAACCATATTGTCTGATTGAAGAATAAAAGCATTGGAGCAACCTTATCCTGCAAAATACTTAGCTTGGCTGCTTAAAAAGCTTTTCCAGATGGAACTGTCAGCAGAGCAAGAGATAATCTTCAAAACAGCCATGTAACCCTAGAGCAGGGCTTTTCAATCGGTAATACGCATACTACCAGTAGTACATTGACACCTGGCAGGTGGTACGCAACCCTGCCCAGCCTAGCCAAGTGTAGTGGGGGAGGGAACGAACTAAAGCGGTGCAGCACAGGACTTGCTATGAGAGAGTCCTTAGGATCGGCACTTCTGGTGCACCCGGAAGAGAAAGGAGGAGGGGGGCAGAGACAGGAGAGGCTATAAAAGGAGGCAGTTTTGGTGGGAGAGGGAGAGAAAGACGCAGCCTTGGGAGGAGGAGGAGTCAGCTGAAGCTGAACCAAAGAGAAAAGGAAGAGGAGGGGGAAGAGAGGAAAGGAGATAAAACAGGCCGGCCGGGAGCCAATCTACAACTTTGTGGCAGCCATCTCTGCTGGGCGTGCACAGAGGTGGCAGCAAAAAACGGGGAAGAAATGCAGCGGGGGAGGGGTCACCCTCCATGAGGAATGAAGAAAGGCACCATTGGCTGGAGGTGAGCCACGGAGGGAGGAAGAAAGGAACAAAGGAGATGGGAATGAGAAAAAGGGAGGCAGGGAATGAGGGAGGGAGGGAAAAAGGAAGGAAGGAAGGAGATGGGAATGAGAACAGGGAGGCAAGGAAGGAGGGAGAGGAGGGATGGAGGGAGGGAGGAAGGAGATTGGAATGGGAGGGAGGGAGGGAGGGTCTGAGGGCAGTCCTGCCTTAGCTCTTGGCCACCAGCAGCTCTGCTGCCCTTTTGCCATCCCCTTGCCCCCTCGTCCTGGCCTTTCCTGGTGGTTTCCCATCCTATTGCTGAGGAGGCTTTGGTTACAAAACTGGGTCTCCTCGCATGGAGAGGAGTGGGTCTCCCTCTAACCTTTGCCCTCCTGCACCCACCATGAGCAACGTGGCCGAGGAGAGTAAGTGCAGTAGCAGCAGCCTCGAGGAGGAGGTAAGCGAGGCTGGGTGCCCCCTCAGGCAAGTGGGGCTGGAGTGGGTTGCGCTGCGGGATCCTGGTGCCCTGGGAGCTTGAGGGCCGGGCTGGACACTTGCCCTCTGCTGCCCAGGGCTCCAGGCAGCATGTGCCACTGTCTGGGAGTCCACTGCATGGCCCAAGAGTGATGGCGAGGCTCCTCCGGTAGACCATTCCCCGGCGCCCACCTCAGTCTCATCTCCATCGGAGACCCCAGAATTCCCCCACAGCCCTGCCTGCCCACCCACAAGCACCCCCTGACCTGAGTGACATTGAGCTGGCCACGCCCCCACAGCCATTAACTTTGCTTGTCAAAAGATTACAAAAGGGGATCACATGACCCTGGGACACTGTGACCATCAAAAATATGATCAGTTGCCAAGCATCCAAATATAAATCACATGACCCTGGGGATGCTGCAACAGTCATAAATGTGAAAAATGGTCATAAATCACTAAGCCAGGGGTGTCAAACTCCATTTCATTGAGGGCCACATCAGCATTGCGATTGTCCTCAGGGGGCCGGGTGGGTGTGGCCAGGGTGGGTGCAGCCTACTGGGTGGGCATGGATGGAGTGGGTGTGGCCTACATCGTTTGCGTCAAGAGTGCCTCTGGGGGCCTGGGCAGGAGTGGGACATATCTGGGGGTCTCTGGCAGAAGAAGGTGGGACCAGGGCAAGCGCCAAGGCATAGTCCATTTCTTCATTCCTCAATAAGGGTGACACCTCCCCAGCATGCACCCAGGGGGCGGGGCCGACACGGCAGGGGCTGGTTCCTCACTGTTTCCAGGATGGCTTCGCGGGCCACATGAAACCACTTCGCGGGCTGCATCCGGTCTCCGGGCCTTGTGTTTGACATGTCTACACTAAGTGAACTGTTGTAAGTTGAGGACCACCTGTACTTTATCACTTTTTTCCCTTTTTGGGGGGGATCATCGAGTTTTTGACACCTTGCTAGGCAACTGGTGATACTCGAATATTGCCATATCCTAAAAGTGGTACAATCAGTGAAAAGGTTGAAAAGCCCTGCCCTAGAGGACTCTCCGATCCTTGGATGCAAAAATGCAGTTTTCAGATGGTTTGTTCAGGCCTGCTCCATACTAATTTGAAAAGCTGGAAATTGATAAAAATGTCTGAATTAAACAAACCTATATTTACGTTTCCTGTTTACCTTTTGTGTTAACAGACATCCCATATTTAAATGTCACTTATTTCTGCAAGCAGTTGACACTGGCATATAGAAATCTCTTTTATTATATGAAACAAGACTTCCATCAGTAGGGGTCTGATTGGTAAGGAAGAATGCTATAACAGGGCATTGCTTTAAATAGACTTCCATAACAAAGAACACACAGTATTATTGTATTCTTCTGTATACAAGCCAGCCATGATTTTAAGATATCTAATCTAATTGTAACACAACATGTAAGTTCCAATATATAATCTATGTGCTACTAAAAGTCTCATTGTCATGGCCAACTGGGTAAAATAATGCATCATAAGGCAACAATTTTCAACCCTAGTTGCCTCAAATGGGCTTACTTTCAGAATGTGTTCAAAATCCAGGGTCCATGATAGCTGAGTGAAATTTGAGAAAGTTGTAGGTGCTTCAGTGCTGTAGAATGCTGCTGCTGCTGCGATCATGTGATCTTCACGTTCAACAATCTGTGACAGTTTCCCAGACAGTCTCACAATCCCTCTCTCCCTCATTAGGCTACTTACCAGCCTGCTGGAAAGGGAAGGGAAGAAAGGGAGGGAGGAAGAAACTCCTGCACATCCTTTCTGGCCCACGCCAGCCTCCTGGGCGCTCCTATGACTTGGGCCACCTCTCCTTCCCTGACCAGCACCGACCTCCCATGTGCTTTTCAAACCTCTTGTGTACCTCCACACACCCTCCTTGACTTGCTTAACGGTATTGGCAAATAACATTTCTTGACCTGATACTGAAGATACATTAAGTTTGGCAAGAGTTTTTCACCGTAGGGCCAACGTAAGGTTACCTGTTATAGGGGAAATTTTCTCTAACTGGAAAAAAACCAACACTAAAATAGTTCTCAAGTCACAATTTTGTAGTCAGCTAAATTCATGTTAGAAGGGGCCATCCTTAAAATAACCACGTTTCAATATATTAGTATTTTGTGAATTTCTCTCTAACTGATGATAAGGTCTAGATGTGAAAGTATTTTTTAATGATTGTAAAGAATTAACACCATCTATCGAGCCCTTCTCTCCTTTCTTCTCGTTCTCTCTTCTGATTGTTGTTGGCATATTTACTTGTTTTTGGTTTTCTTTGGCTGCTTATCTCTCTCTATTCCTTTCTTTTAAAGAGCCTGAAAAAAGAAAGCGAAGCCCAACAGATGGAGCAATCACTCCGGTTGGCAAAGATCCTATTTTAGCCAGGAGGGTGGAACCGAAACCCAAGGTGCAACTACAAGTACCTCAGCTCATGCCAAGGGCACCAGGCCTTTCAGGGAAAGGGCCAAGGGAATTTGACACAAGGAGTTTAAAGGAGGAAAATTTTGTAGCTTCTATTGGTGTGTATTTTAATATACGTGGAATGCAGGAAAGTGATTGTGCATTGGCATTAGAATCTACTTGCATCTTTCTCATTAAAACATTATTCCCTTCATTGCTCTAGTAATGCGCTTCACTCTCATGCAGTTTGCAAAGACTGGTCATATATTTTCTTCTCCCATTTTGAACAAGAATCGACTCAACGTTTTGGATGAGTTAATTTCTTTTTTTAAAATTTGGAGACTATTATATGATACTGACATCACAGACTTTAATTACATCCAGTTGAGTTACTATAAACAAATTGGCTGGCTGTCCTTTAAAGGGATGTTTCCTGGAAGTGCATACACAAAGGACTGACTGACTTTTACATAAATGCAAATTTTTTTTACAAAAATCTGTCCATTTTTATTTGTAAGTAAATCCCACTGAGTTCTTGGGAGTTCTTGAAAGTCAGTGCCATGCATGAATGTTATAAATAGGTCACAGTTATGTGTAGTTGGACTCATGGGTATTCCTTTATTATTGTCTTTTTTTCCCAGCAAAATTACATTTAATGCTTTATCCTTTTTTATATTCCTGAGAAACAAACAATTGTTCCAAAATATATATAGTGACATATAGAACTCTGTGAAATATAATTGCATTAGGTTTGGAACTATTGCACTATCCAGGCAGAAAAACACCTAGCCAGTTTTCCGAATGATTGTCTCTTCATTCATTCTGTTAGCTGAATTGTTAGGTTAATGTTTAATTTTTTTTGCCATTCAGGATTTTAAAAAAATCAGGTTTTGAAGGGTTGTAGCAGAAATAACCATCTATGTATAAAGGAAACAGATTATTCAATCTCTGGTCACTATAGAAAGATTATATATTTTTTGCAAATTAGTTTAACTAACTTTTTCATTAACTATTTGTCTGTTCTAATTTGAGGTGAATGATTATGAATCCTATACCAATATGCACATAAAACAATGAAAATAACAGTAAGGAAATACGAACAGCTCTTCTATGTTTGGCCAATACAGGACAAATTAGTGAAGGGGGAGTTCATTTTCAATGTAATATGAATACATACTTTAATAAAAATAGCCATTATAGTAATTATTACATTTTTGTAAAAGCTATACAAATACCAACTGCCACATTTAGACTGATGTTAGTTGTTCTTCTACCAAATAAACTAGGGAGGAATGGGTTTGGTTTTCCAGAAGTTGCAGTTTGTTCTATCACTGTTTCATCACAGAAATCCCATTCTCTTAACCTTCAGTAACTTCTAAATCAATTTCTTCTATTTGTTTTCCCATGTTCTCTTTTTATTGCAAAATAGTAAAAAAAATAATTCAACCCACTAGTTAGAATCTTTTTATTTTTTGGTAAGATATAAGAGATTGGTAAGAGATAGGCCCCTTTATAGGTTTCCTAGCTTCTACTTCCTCCCATAAATTATGTTTTCAAGTTAAATGTTGAATTTAGTTTTCTAGCAAGCTGATTTGATATTATGCCACTAAGCCAGAACCTGACATTTTTTTCAGTGCAGAAATGCAAATCTAAAATCGTTTCTTTGTTTGCCATGTGGATTGAATTTTTACCTAATTCTGAGATGCTTGTATTCTAAACAAATATTGCTCTTTCTATATAAATCTCTCTCAGAATATCCTTTTTAACGCTGCTGAGAGAGTACTGTGAATTGGTTAAATTTGGGGGGAGGGGATGGGGCAGTATTTGAACAGACTAAATATGTATGAAAAAAGTGTATTGACTAGAAGTATTATTTTGGAGACAGAAATAATTTGAATATTGAGCATAAAGAGCTAGCCAAAATCTTTTTGTAATATGTAATTTCTGTGAAGTCAGATGACATCAGGTGGGTGAGTCTCAAGAGTTATTTTATTTTTCTGAGCCAGCAAATTGCATGTGATTCTTTTTTTAAAAAAATATTTCTTTATTAAGATAATGGAGGTCTCTGCTCCTGATTAGCGGAAAAAGAATTATTTCTTCACATGCCAGTTTTCATTAGTCTCTGTTTTGGCAGTGCAGGGTTGGGTGGCTTACTTTTGTTTTTGTTTTTCCCATTTCCACCTCTGATCAGCATCTGATACTTCTGTCTTTCTCTCCTGCTTGCATTGCATCTTGAGTAGAATTGTGGAACAAGCACCAGGAAGTGACAAAACAAAAAGCTTTGGAAAAACTGAGTAAGGAAAATGATAAGAGGACAGAAACATAATACTCCCCATAGCCTCCCCATAACTGCCAACTCCTTAAGCTTTTGATTGAGCACCCATGCCACATGAGCCATAGGACAGACCAAGGAGGTCATTTCATAAAGAAACACAGTGTTGAGTTACCTCAAAGAGCCCTTTCCTATATGAGGAGAGAGACAAATGCTTTAGTTCTTCTGGCTGAGTTTCAAATCCTTCCTTACCACTGAATTTATTTTTTAGAAGGTTCTGACGGGTTTCTCTGTTATGAAGGCATGCTATAACTGCTGCAACATTTTCGTTGAAATAATGCTTGTGTGGAGAGATTGTTGTCCTATTTCTTCAGCAGTAGGCCTTTGTAAGGTCCAATCCATAATCTATCCATAGATTTCCCACCAGTTATTCTGAGGTTAAAATAACTGTGGGGAATTACATGACCAACTGTGATGAACTTTTAATGGAAGACAAGACTTATATATTGTTTTAAAACTCTAGTTCTTTATTACCATGTTTAGGAAACAGCCAACTCCAATTGCAATCTTCTAATATGATTTCTAGATATGAGCTAGATCTATAAGCATGCACAATTATAAAATATATAAATACTCATATACACACCATTGATTTTGAGTAACAATTAAGAACTCTGTTTTCTTCTTCTGCAGAGTGCCCTTTCCTGCCAACATTGCGTAAAAGAGAATACTGATGTTTTGCTGTATGCATCTGTAATATAATGTAGTTTGCCCATGCTATTTCACTAATTAAATTAGGCTTTGGTTAAATCTTGAAAATAATGTCACTGTTTAGTTAGTTACAGAAAATTTAGTCTTTTGGGGTTGAAAATTGCATTTGGTTTTTGTTGTGCACCAAAAGCTACACTTAATAAGTAGATTCAGCTAGCATCAAGAAGATGAGATATCTGATAACATGTAATAAATTAATGATTCAACAAAATAAATGTAGAACAAGACACGAAAGTACTCTCATACAGTTTTGCTGCATTACACACATGCATCTTTAGAAATGAAACTAACATTTTAAATTCACTCAAAGTGGTTTCCGGTTTATTTGCTGCTGAATTTCAATGGCAAACAAGTGGGCTCTGGAACTGAACCAAAACTTCAAAGAAGAACACATCTAGTCCACTGACCGTGGGTTGCTTGAATTATATGAGCTTAATGCAACCTATTATAAATACATATTACGATAGACCAGTGATGGCGAAACTTTTAGAGACCCAGTGCCCAAAAATTGGCCCTGCTAAATCTCCTGGACCACTTAGCAGCTTTTTATGCCACTAGGTTTTATAACCTTTTGGATTGTCTTTCAGGATTGGGACTTATGAGACCAGATTGCAGTGGTTCTTATTCTTCTTTTGGACCTGTAGTTAAAAGGTAGTACTGGGAATTACAGTTTGACATCTGTACCATTAACCTTCAGTGTCTGCAAGCAGTGTTTTATCTTGTCACCTATGCTGTTTATAGCTAGATGAAACCATCTGGAGCTTTAGAGTGGGATGTCAACAGCATTTCTGTTGTTTCCCATTCAACTCCAAGAAAGCAAACAATATCTTTGAACATTCTCTAACTTTATAATAACTGGAACAAAAATAACAAGCTGACATTAAATACAGAGAAGGCAGAGGGATTGTTAATTCCTAGGAAGTTTTTGGGAGTGGAGTTGATTATATTGCTTTAAAAAAAAAACTTGATCCTCACTGTTACTGGATTTGCAGATGGTAGCTGTGGCAAGCAGGATATATTCCAGTTGTGATTATACTGTGTCAGATTTGGCATCAGTTATCCATGCTTTGATTACATCCCACTTTGATTATTACAGTGCACTATAAATGAGGTTAGGAGTGGTCTTTGATGTAAAATATGGCAAATAGGCTGCTAAACAGTGCAATGGCTGGGGATTGTAAGGCTTATGCTGAAAGTTCCTCCCCTGGTTGCCAATTGCTCACTGAGCACAATTTGTAATTAACCTCTGTGGTCATAAATGGCTTACGGATTTGATGTCTGTTGGACTGGTTTGCTCTTTTCAAACTTGTGTGGGCAATAAGAACGGCCAGAGAGGTGCTTCTGAACATCATCCTTCCTATAGTTGAATCAACAGAATTTTAGCATAGCTTATAACAAAAACAGTAGACCTTGCTTACCAACAGTCCCGGATGTAGAATGCTTAAATACACTTTGAAGCTCAACATCAACAGGACATAACTTATACAAAGGCACATATGTAACAAGTGAACCAAACCAACTTTGTACATCTAGACATTGCTTGCATACTGTCTGAAAAGCATTGACAGTATGTATGAAATACAGGAATACATATAGACCCTTTTTCATTACCTAGCTGAAAATTGCGAGAGCATAGCATTCATCTACCACATGAACTTTAGGTACAAAACAGCCATGTTTTGTTCTGAGTCAGAAAGAAAACTTTCGAATATATGCATATTTTGTTTTGTGCTTAAAACACACAAATGGCTGTTTCAGTGACCAAACTTGAGATAAAATAAGTTATGAGAATGCTTGCTATCAATTATGTTTTTCCCCTCTTGATGCTCCCTATTATACATCAGCTTTTTTTTTTTTTTTTTTTTGAGCCAAAAAGCACACTTTGAAGTAAAGCCTGGTACTAGATCAATGAATCGTTTTCATTTTCTAAGTGTTACTGTAGGGTCCACAGGGGCACTAAAAAGACATTTTGTAAATGAAAGCGATGCTGGCATTTTGTTGTATAATTTATTAGCTTTACATCCATTTTAATACACATTTAGAAATAATATTGAAACATATTATTAGAGAGAAATAATATTGAAAAAATTAGAGAAAAATAATATTGAAAAATATTATTAGAGATAAATAATATTGACAAATAAAGAGAAATCAAGAAGCTATATTTCTAGGAAGGTGAGTATTTATTGGCTGCTGGCAAGACAAGTATCACAGACTGATCAGTTTTCATGTTAGGAACACCAGCTAAACAATAATAAAATATCACTACTAAATTCTACCAATGTAGAGCCTGTAAATTCATGTTTGAACAGTAGCATTTAATCACAATATCCATTTGACTCTAAAAAAGCTGAATTATATATATATATATATATATATATATATATATATATATATATATATATATATATATATATATATATATTATAATTTCTGAGGTTTTTCTAAATATATTCCTTCCAAGGAAATCTTAAATTATGTTCTTCCTATCTGAAAATTGTGCTAATTCATCTGATGCAAACATTTGATCTCTCTGATCCTGTTTTTAAAACCATATATTAAAAAGAAAATTAAGAAATATGAGGACTGTTGAGCTTTTTTTTCTTACTCTAATAAACAGGCAAAAAATTATAGAAATGGCTCATGCTCTAAAAAATTTAATTTTCAGTGGGCCATTAGTGTGCAGAGAAATTACTGCATAATTTAAATATTGTATACTGCTTTCATATAACACTATAATACAGTATTCTCTGGATGGATATTCAGGGTTAAATTACTGAGCTTAGAAAGGTTTACTTTAAGCTACATGTATCTAGGACTGCTTGTTTGATTTTTCTAATATATAAGTCTCCTTCTGTTCTCTAAAGTTAATCTTTATTGCCTTCTGTGAATAAATATTTCAAAATATGATCATCCTAATCAAATAGAATTCAATTTACTTTAATTAAAACTTGTTCTCCAGTTGGTGTTTACCTTTGGTTAACCGAGGGCTTAAAGATGTTTTAGTTTTGTTATGTGTGTGCACAATGCACAAATGTACATACAATTAATTGAAGCACAAGTGGTAATATATATTTTAAATCGTTTACAAATAAATTCTCTGCTCATAGCCTTTCATTTCCAGCGGTATTATGGACAGCAAGTACACCACTGGTCAAATGATTTCATTATGATTGGAAATCTACATTTTCTATCATTAGTAATTTATCAACTATTCTATAAATTAATCAATTCATGTTTAGTTTTCTTTTTACACACAAAATTATTTTTGAATGATTAAATGATTTTTAAAAAATTGCTGCAAAACACATGTCAGTCAAGAGTATAATTATCTGAAAGTAGATCATGTGGGTTTTGCTTAGCCATTTTCCTTAATTTCCTATAAAACAACCAGACACATCTATTGGCAACCATGCTTGGAAATATATTTTTAATCACCGAAGCGAACATTTATAAACTTCTGTCAATTGCTTTTTGAGTGCTTCAAAATGTATTCAATTCAAAGCATTTTGATGAAATCTCCTGGGAGTATGTACAACTACATAGCATTTTTGGATTAACTAAATATCTTTGCTGTAGTTTACTATTTTTGAATCATAGATACTGTTTTTGAATAATAGATCATCCTAGAAATCTATACTAAGGGCCCTTCTATTCAAGAACATGTTAGCTATTATTTGTATTTCACATTGTTCCCTATTTCTCTCTCTCTCTCTCTCTCTCTCTCTCTCTCTCTCTCTCTCTCTCTCCTGTTACTAGTAGGTATCTGGTATAACTCCACTCACACTTTTAATTCCCAACTCACACTATTTAGTGGTATGCAAGGTATTTCTTAATTGTGTACCTAGTGTCGCCAGATGACATTTCATGTATTTGTCCTGTAATTCAAAGAAAAAAACCCTCCAAATGCTGGTCATGTGTCCCTGTTAGTTGGCAGATATGGCTATGGCAGAAGCATTGTGCTCAGTCTCTTTCCCCCTCTGAACTCTTAATGGTGAACCTTTGTAGTCTGTAATATATTTTTCTCCTGCCTCCTTACTCCCATTGCACAGTGTTTTCCAAACCCTTCCCAATTCTGTCTCTCCTTTCATCCATTTTCTAACATTTCATCAGAAAAAGAGTTTTTAAAAAGGTGAACTGCATGCATCTCTTCGGCTTCTATATTATTTATAAGAGAATGGGATAATCAGTGCATGTCATGTCAATTGCTTATATGTACACTCTTACTGTTTTATTTTTGTTATTACACACTCTGGAGAGCCATTTATTTCATCCTTTCAGTGCTCTGTAATTTCCCTCTGAACTTCATGTTTTACCTTTCTTTGTGGCATACAAATTATTGATTATTGCTTTTTGGTTGGTTGGTTAGTTTTTCCATTTGCTAGTGAGACAATTGGAATAAAAATCAATGTTTTACATGGTGTAAAAATTGTTGAATAGTAAGAAATATTCCTTTCTAAAAAGCAACAGGCACGGAACCAGTCTTACATACAAAAGGTAAAGGTATGGCTGTCCAGAGTAATGTGATGACTGCCTGGCATGCTTTGTATTCATTTGAATATGTTTGATGCCTGCTTTGTCATCTTCCTTTCCTAGTAATAATTGTTTAAGATAATTTCTCTATTTCTCAGGTACAGTGATATTTGGACAAAATAGTTGGCTGTGAAAAACTGAGCTACATTATTAATCCATGGTATTGAAAAAATAGGGAAGAAGAAGATTTTGTGGGTCCTCTTTGGACTACCCATTCACAGCTCCAGTTTTTTGCCCTATAATTCTTTTATTCTTCCTTCTCATATTAATAGGATTGTTTATTTTGCTTCAATTAGGGTCAGAAGGTACAAAACACTTTTTTGACTTGGGAGAGACAGATGAAAAGAAATCCCAGATTAGTGCTAACAGTGGTCTAAGCTTAACCTCTAGCTCTCAGGTAAGTGTAGCTGTTCAGTTTGGAATGGGTGTGTTATGAGAACTCTTTTGTCACCTTGTAAAAAGAATCCTGTCTTTTAGTGTGGATGTGATAGTCTAGACCAGTGGTTCTCAACCTGTGGGTCGGGACCCCATTTGGGATCGAACGACCCTTTCACGGGGGTCACCAAACAAAGCAGTCCACCATTTTTTCCCCCTTTTCCTTAGCTGTGCTACTCCCTTTTATTCTATTGGCTTTTGAAAGCCAATAGAACAGACTCTCTTGAATAGAGTCTAATTCTATTGGCTTTCAAAAGCCAATAGGAATTGTCCAGGCTGTCTCTGCCCTGCTGAGCCCGCCAAAAGTACCATTCTGCAAACGGTGCTGCACCAGTTGAGTAGTCCTCGACTTACGACCGGTTGAGTAGTCCTCGACTTACGACCTGTTGGGGGTCGCGGCATAAAAAGGTTGAGAACCACTGGTCTAGACAACTATGGATATGCCTTTTTCAATCTTTCTAATCTGGTTGATATTTGGACAGGTGAAAAATTGCTCCAATTATCCCCAATTCCCCAAGATCACTTGGCTAACTTACAAATGGAAACAGGAATGTCTAATGTGTATTATTTTGCTTCCTGTCAATTCATGATTTCAGAAGAGTGATCTGGATTCTGTGGCAAGTGTGGGGCCTGCTGTTATGATCCGAAGCACCAGCCAAGATTCTGAAGTTAGCACAGTGGTAGGGCATACCAAAATGAAATGTCTGGGTTTGATTTTACAGTTATTTTCCAGACTTCCTTGTTTATGTGTATTTTTTTTTCTAATCCTGTAAGTTACAGGTGCTGTGTATATGCTTTTGGTTATGCTTTCTCCTCAACTCTGTATATTTTTTAAAAAAAATAAACGTATTTATTTTTATTGAAATCTGTCCTCTATTTGAGGACATACCCTTTTCCAAAAGGTATGAGTTCCTTATTCATTCTTACAATTTTACAATAAGTTGTCATATATGTTTATATTGATAACTTATGACCTAATACAACTAATATAAAATAATACAAAGTTCAGGAAGAAAAGGAAAAAAAAAGATCTCTCTTTCATTCTCAGCAACTATAGTCAATGTTAACAACTTATTACTATCCATATCTTACTCCTTCTTTATAAACCAGTGTTTAAATCCTCATGTCTGCCTTAATCAGCAAAAATCCATTAAAAGTTATCAGCAATAACAACATCACTGTTACTAAACCATATGTACTAAATTTGAATCATTCATTTTATATCTATCTATCTCCCTTTTTATTTAAACATATTCCCCTTATTTTCTCTCTTTGCACTCATGATGTTACTTAGTTGGGTAATAAAATGTCTCCAAAAAAACAACTAAGCTCAGAAAGTACCAAGGGCTCCTCATTTCACTCCTGAACTATAAATAATTCTCCTTTATTTGTCTTTAAAACATTATTCAGTCCTGATTAGCAAAAATCCATTGAATATTACCAAAAACAACAACCCCTTTATATTAATCGTCCCACAGAAAGGATTCTTTTAAAATTCTGGGCTCTTAATCTGTTTAAAAATTTCTAAAACCAATAGGAATTATCCTTTTGCTCTATTATTCCATTTTTTTTTTTACAAATCTTTAAGCTTGTAGATTGAAGAATACTAACCCAGTGAATTCAGTAAAACTTGCCATTTTGACGGTTCTTAATCTTTAAGAAGCAGTAAAAAAATAAACCTATTTAATTAAAAAGTGCACCTAGGCTACATTAATGGCTATAAGCTTGATGGAATCCTGTGACTCCTAGCTTATCAGAAGTCAATTGCAAAAACTTCATTTCCTGCCATCTATTCAGAAAAGAACACCTGTGCAGATTACATCTTGCAACCTCTCCTTTTTGCAAGAGAGTTTAACAATTTGGATCCAGTATTCAGTTGTAACATTACCCCTCTATTTAGGGACATAAGTTCGCCGTAGCACTCATTAGAAATTTAACAATTCTGACTTTATAGCTTTGTTTGCAGGGGATATGTATTTCTAAGTTAGAGATTATTGAACTAGAGATTTATTAAATTAAATTTATCTCTAATTTATCTCTAAATTAGCCATGGAGTAATTAGAGTTACTCCAATAGTGAGATGGGTGCAAAATAAATGTAATAAATAAATTTAATAATAAATATAAAGGAAAATAAGAATGGGGTTATAGAACAATTCTACTAATCATGCTAGATAGAAGTTTATCTGGACAATGCTTTGATAGGCCTTCAAGATTTTACTTGTTTTCCAATATTCTGCTTCATTATCTTATTAGTACTAAAGATCTTTCCAGAAATCTAGATAGTTTTGTTTCCTGAGTTTGTCAGCCTTGCAGGGCTTCACAGAATCTGATGTATTGTTAAAAATTCAGTGAATATGTTAATAGGTAAAATGAGGCCCAAAATTTGGGAGGGGGGGTGTTGTAGCTTTGAATAAGTAACATTAAGACTTAAACCAAAAGCCCTTTGTCCTTATTCATATTGGATCTGTTTTTACAGTATGGATCCTTTTGTAACATATCCAAGTCACTACCTTCCCATTTTATTTTTAGTTCATATGGTACAATGTTGAGATTTAGTTTATTTTTAATGATGATGTAAATGCATCTTTGTCTTTGCAGTATATTGAGCAATAAGTAGATAGACTGTTTATTTGTTTGTTTCCTTCTTCAGGTGAGCAACAGTTCTGGAGAAACGCTTGGAGCAGATAGTGACCTAAGCAGCAATGCTGGCGATGGCCTTGGTGGAGAGATTAGTGGAAATTTAACAGGATCACGAGGCACTGTCTCAGACAGTGAAATTGAAACAAATTCTGCTACCAGTGCTATATTTGTAAGATATATCCATGTTCTTCAAAATTCACTGCAAGCACTAATCAACAAATGATAACTGCACAAGTGCACCTTCTAGATAGTATAAGCATGTTTAAACAACTATTTTAATTGACGGAATTTGAAAAATGGCTATGCTTGTTCTTATGTCCTTTGCCCTTTGAATGATTTATCTCTTCAGTAACATTACTATTTCATTTTAAGAACCATCTTGTTAATTAACCACCTAATAAGAATTTTCTGTCCTATTTTTGCCTTTTTAAAAGGGCAAATCTCAGAGTATGAAAAAAGCAATAAAAGATAATAAATGCAGCAGCCCTGGAAGAGTTCCAGAAGATGCAAGTCAACGAGTTTATCTCTTTGAGGGTCTACTTGGTAAGAATAAAATTTTAGTTTTGTGCACTCTTTAGTCTTTAGAGCTTTTCAAAATAAAACTGAGTAATGTGAAGCTACCATGAATTCTTATAATGTCTGAATTCTCTGACACATTACCATACAAATTGTAACTTCATTGTATTCTTCAAAGCACTATCATTTGCTTGCAAATATTGGCTTGTTCATTTATTCTATGCTCTGTTCAAGGTGGCTTTAACATTGTAATTAGCTTACATGTTTATCTGATCTGAGCAAATAGGTTATCATATTTATCTGAAAGGAAGAAGACCACAAATTTAAGATAATCACCTACAAAAGAAGAGGAGACAAAAAAGAAAACAAAATACTGTGTGAGGTTTAGAGAAGGTTAAATTTACTAAGCAAAGAACCCTCCCCTCCCGAAGTAGATTAATCTTCAAGCCATCCCTGATGATCAGCAGTAATGTTGTGGCTCCTGCATTTCTTGCTATTCATTTGCTTTTAAAAGATGGACAGTCACTCCTCACTCTTGACTAGGAAGTAAAAAAGATTGCTTTTTAACAACCTGAACTTGACTTGGATGATAGATTACTGTCTAAAAAGGCATAAATGAAGAACTCTATTAGTCTATGGCAGCAAAAAAAAAATAGCTCATGAGAGCTGATTTTTTTTTTTTTTTTGCTGCCATAGACTAATACAGTTCTTCTACAACAGTGATCCCCAACCTATGGTCCGCGGCCCAGTACCGGGCTGTGTCTTGTTGGCCACTGGGCCCTGGGAATACCTGGTGAGCCCCTCCACTCGTGGTAGAACAGCTGCGTGGTCGCTAGTGGCCTCATTTGCCCTTTCACGGGACGCTAGCACCTCCACCAGCGTCATGCAGGCGCCAACGTCCCATTTGCACATGCACATGGATGGCCTGTTTGTGTATGTGTGCGAGTGCCAGTGCACGCTAGCATCGCTGTCATATACGTGTCTGTTTGCGCATGCATGCAAGGGGTCGCGCATATGCACATTTCCCTGCTCCTTTTCTTCCGGGCTGCCAAGCCGGAAAGGTTGGGAGTTCTGTTCTACAGTGTCTAGTGTCCATAAAATTTCATGAAGAAACCTTAATCCTGTAGTTTTATTAATAATAATAACAACAATAACAACAATATATAGTTATGATTTAAACTAATTTTGATTACAGATGTTTAATCTTAGAAACTGTTAAATCCTGAGATGTATATTTAAAAGTACTATCTTGAGATATCATTGCAAAGTCTAGCATTGATCATTTTTAACTCCTTGCTCACTTTAACTATTTTGAAATATTTCTTGTGGAAAAACAGATTGATCTGTCTCACTAATCCATAGCAAATGCTTAGATTTGTCTTTTTTTTTTTTTTTATTCACTCTTGCTGCCATGTTGCTGCTTGCTTGGAATTGTAAAGGGAGGGATAAAGGATCTGTCTGGGACCAGTTAGAGGATGCTGCCATGGAAACCTTCTCTATGAGTAATCATTTCTTCTTTCTGCTTTTCTGTGTGCATTAAAAAGATCATGAGTGTATGGGGCTTTTCCTTGTTTCTGACTTGAATGCAACAGTTTCATTTAGGAATATTTGTAGAACAAGAAAGGAAACGGTGTGCACTTTAGGAATAATTTATGAAGTAAAATCAGAAATAGCATATTTAGTGGCATAGAATAAGAAAATATCTGGCTTAATCACACTGATTTAATCGCACTTTATTATTTGTGGGGAAAATTGTTTATATGATTATGTCTTATAAAAATGATATCTCTGGGTAACAAAAACAATGCTGTCTAGGTAAAGAGCGTTCAACTCTGTGGGATCAGATGCAGTTCTGGGAAGATGCTTTTCTGGATGCTGTGATGTTAGAAAGAGAAGGGATGGGAATGGATCAGGGGCCTCAAGAGATGATTGACAGGTAAAGTATAGTTCTCCATAGTTTGTCTCTGCAATATGTAAGTTATAACTAAACCTGTGTAGGGGTGCAATTTTATTCTGGATAATTTATGATAATAATAATAATAGTAAAGTTGGAAGGGACCTTGGAGGTCATCTAGTCCAACTCCCTGCTCAGGCAGGAAACCTGTAATTTGTAACCTGTACTTGTAATTTGTTTACAAGTATAATTATAAATGTAAATAATTACTACTTACGTGTAAAATTTTCTTCTTCATAAGCTCTTTTCTGCTTTTGCTCATCTTAAATGTAGAGTCTATTGAGGGAAACATCTTTTATGTAGAGTAAATTTTAAGCATGAAACCTTGAGACGAATCTTTAAAACAAAAAAGAAAAATAGAGCAGTATATAGGATTTTGTAATCAGTGATTGAATGCTCATTGGTGGCTTCAGTTAATATATATATTTTTTTCTGTAGATATTTTTCTTTAGGAGAACATGACCGAAAACGTTTAGAAGATGATGAAGACCGTTTGTTGGCTACTTTGCTTCACAATATGATTGCATACATGATTATGATGAAGGTGCTTTTTTTGTTCTTGCATTTTAGATTGGATCTTGTGATTGGTGATGCTATAATATCTTTGCATGATACAGACTGCAGTCTTTGAAGTAATGTTTTAAGGATCAAATTTTCTCATTCTAGTTGCTAAGTGTCAATACACTTAGGGTTCACTTTCTTTTGTGCTAACTGTAATGGGAGGGGGGAAATCTCTGGGAGAGGTGATTCTCCTAGAGAGTTGGTTTGCTGATGCTCCTCTGTCTCTTCCCTTCATCTGAGTATAGTCTGAGGAAAAAGGGTTAGAAAGTAATGTACAAATAACATTGCACTGTTTTCCAGTATGCTTCCGGGGTCAATTCAAAGTGCTGATTATTACTTTTTTAAAAATCAAAACTTTATTAAATTTTAAAAAATATATAAAATGCAAAAAAGCAAATTTAAAACTAAAAAAATGAAATTTTAACTTTGGCATTTCATAATTAGGTCATGATTTTATAGGTTTTTATCTCTATCAAAGTCACAAGTTTTTTTTTCTATATTTATTGTTATTGTAGCTGATGGTAACTTTTGAAGTTTTTCCTTTAGGACAAAACACCCATTCAACTGGCCATTTAGAGAAAGCCTGCTAAGAATACCCCTCCTGAGAGAAGCGCGGTTAGGGATTGAATTAGGTAGCAGTCCTTCCCTGTGGTAGACTTTACTTTTTGGTACATTAACACACACACAAACATGGCTCTTCAAGCTATGTGCAGCTTCTTTTATGTTACCCTTCTAGAAACAACCTAAAGCTGTTCTATTTCAGCATATTTTTGACATTGATTGAGTAGTGGTACCATTATGTAATTTACCTTGGAAATTTATATAGTTGTTTTAGCATTCTACAGGTTTTATATTTGTATAATGCTCAAAATCCTTCAAGATTGTGATAATTGTAAAAATATTGATTAACAGCAAAACAAAAAGATGCTTATCATTTCTATGATTTGATCAACCTGTCTTTGCTCCCAGAACCCCCTTGAAAATGCCCGGTGGAGTACATTTCATTTCTTTGAGTTATTTATAATTGTATTGGAAGGATGATAAGGCAGGCAGATGAGAGGACAGTGTATATGTCAGATGTGGATCACATATTCAGGAACAACCCACTATTAGTGGTGGTATAACAAACTGTCAAGCATTAAAAGTCTTGAAAATTTTGTCTCATTAAAAGTCTTGAAAATTATTAAAACTTGAACTAATGTCTTCTTGCACATATTTATATAGTTTTCTTAATAGCAATATGGAAATGGCTTGTCATTGCATTCTTTCAGGATTTCCCCAAACTTATTTATAAGATTTATCCTACCACGATGGTCAACAATGACAATAATACATCCGAAGATACATTAAAACCCCAACTATATAATGCCTGATGTTAAACCCCCAAAGCCCTCCCAAAAAAGCTCATCTTTGAACTTTTTCCAGAAAGAAGGTAGTTATATTGACAAGCCAACCTCCAAAACTGTGTTTTTTGACATGAGTGCCTTTAAGATGTGTGGATTTCAACTCTCAGAATTTCTGGGATTCTGGGAATTGAAATCCACACATCTTAATGATGTTGGAGGTTGGGAAACATTGCTCCGAAGGAAGGCCATTTCAGTAGCCTAACAATACTTCATGGTTTCAGCCCTCTTGAGATTCCCAAAATGGGGGACAACCAGCTGCTTCTGCCAGCATGATTGAAGTGGTTTAGTCAACTCTAATGGAGGGATGCAGTCCTGCAGGGAACCCAATGCCAGGTCATAAGACATATAGTAAAGACCAGCAGTTTAGATTACATCCAACCTTAATAGGAAGCGAGTACAAGAGTTGCAGGTGTAATGTACGCCCATTGACAAGTATGCATGAATACCCAGGCCACTGCATTTTGTCTGGATTGAAGCTTCCAGGGGGTCATTAAGGTCAGCTCCATGTAGAGTGTGTTGCAGTAGTCTAATTGGATTTCCATAAAAAATGGAAAAGTATCACTAAGTATTGCCTTTTGCTATATAGGTGCAGAAGAATGATATTAGGAAGAAAGTACGCCGTTTGATGGGGAAATCTCATATTGGCTTGGTTCATAGTCAAGAAATAAATGAAACACTTGACAAAATTGCCAACATAGTAAGTTAAACATATATTTGTTTCTTTGCTGTGAGGGGAAGAAATAAAAACATTAAACTTTAGCTTGTACCTCCAATAGCAGTGGTATTACTTGTCAAATATTTGAAAGTATATGAAAGTTATAGAAAAGTTTGCATACTTTCTAATATGCTTAACATGCAATATACAAGATAATAATTCTGTATCAAGACTAGTTCATAGTCATGAAATATATTTTTCTTCTGTTGTATAGCTAATAAGTAATTTATTAGAATATTGTCTTGTTATTCCAGAGAAATATCAGATATTTCAAAAGAAGGTGGGACTGAAACCTGGGCACTAGTACATGTAGATGATATTGACTGACTTAACCGTACTTTATACAAAAAGAATCTCATGATTGGGAAAGGCACTGTTTCTCGGGACTCTAGTAAGAAGCTACTGCAGTTCTTTCATATCATCTGAAACTGATGAGACTGCAAGACTTTTAAAAAGCAGTAGGTATGCCTCTGTGGTCAAATTCTGTTCCATTTGGGGCTTTCTGAAAAAGCCATTGTCTGACTGAATCTTAGACTTTATAAAGATTACAAAAGCATGTTTGCTTTTAAAAGGTTGTTTACGTAGTTCAAATAGGGAGTCACATTTTGCTGCTGAGCAATATCTGTATTTTTATTGAGAGGCCTATAGGATTCTTTCATTGAAAGTTCATTTATTCTTCAGTAGAGTACAGTAGACTGCTTTGCTGATGTATTAGATTACCTTGTAATTTTTCTGCTAAAACAGCTAAAAATAGTTGGTATAGTTTTGTTCTTTTAATGATTAAATTTAAGTACTTTCAGGTCCCATGAGTTATATTAGGCAAGAGTGCTTTTGTATATTTTGACTTTCAATTATGTAATGCATCTCTTTTATTTTATTTTTTTTAATGTTTTATTGATTTTCTAATTTTATATTTAAATATTTAAAAAGCAACATGACAGCTGAGTTAATCGAAAATTCAATGACATACAAACATCTTTAGTACAAGTCTCAAACTACCACATTAAATATTTCCTCTCTTTTCCCCTTAGTATTTATTGACTCATGTTTAAACTAATACAATTTTTATTATATCAATTAAATAAAAATAACATTCTTACATTTATCAATAATTTTTAGCTTATACATATCCTGGTTATTTTAACACTCAGTCTTTATAGACGATCAATGTCCTAATTAGTTTTTCCCAATTTTTAATTTCCCATTAATATTTAAATTTAACATTTAATATTTATAATTTCCAAGTTTTAAGTGACCAAAGTTCCCTTTATCACAATTCATCACAAAGTCTAATATTCAGGATATACATCTTATCTATTTTAATATATTCTATTTCTCACCATCTTATATCATCTAATTAATAATGCAGTGTAACATTCTTGTTTTCTATTAATTTTCAAATGTCTTAAATTTAGTAACCAAAATTTTTCTTGTTTCAACATCAAATACTTCCTCTCTTTTTCTCTTAATGTCTACTATTTCATATTTAAGCTAGTACAGTTCTTATTATATCAGCTAAGTAAAAACATGTTTGTTACATTTATCAGTAGATTTTTAGCTTATATATATCTTAATTACTTTTACATTCAACCTTTATAAACAAATCAATATTCAAATTTAACTTTTGATATTTATACTTCCAAGTTTTAAATGACCAAAGTTTTCTTTATCTCAGTTCATAACAAAATCTAGTATTTGAAGTACACACCTTGTCTATTTGAGTATATTCTATTTTAATCCTCACTAATAAGTAAAAAAACCTATTTTCTTCAGCCTTATTCTAGCTTCCTTTCTTTGTCAACTCGCCTTCCATATCTATGCTTTTAAGTCATCAAATAGTTCTCCCTCTGTTATTATATATGTTGTTTGAGATAAAAGAGGCCATCCAGTCGCCATTTTTTTGGAAGGGCTAACAAATGTCTCTCTATTTTTCCATTTCGACATAATTGTCATAAAATGTTTATCTTCCCTTTGGTTTGTTCTTCTTCTTGATCCTCAGGTTTCTTCTGGTTTATAAAGAAAGTTTTTCCATTTTCAGTGTTGTCAGTCTCTTTTCTGGGTTTTCTGTTAATTGTATTTGTTGATCAGTTGAATCTTCTATCATAGTATTTAATTGTTCCACTTCTATTATATTCTGTGTAGTTGGTTCTTTAGTTGTAATCAAAGTTTGGGTTCGTATATCTAGGCTAACATCTTGTTCTTTTCTGTAGCTTCTTATTTCATCAGTAGCTATAAGAATAGTTTCATAAATTGCTTTCAACATAAAAAGAATCTGTTCCTGATCTTCATCCATGTTCTCTTAGTGGTATGTTAAATTAAAAGCTTTACAATCAGAGAATGAAAATAATTATTTTCTTTCTGTTTTATTTGTCTTTTTCTTTTCTTTAGTCTGGCAGGGAGCTCCCCATCCGACCAAGTGGCAGTAGACATATTAAGAAACAAACATTTGTTGTACATGCTGGCACAGATACAACAGGGGACATATTCTTCATGGAGGTAGAGACCAGATTAAATGTTAATCAAGTTACTGGGCTGAAGTCTGTGAAGTTTTATGCATAAAACTATTTATTTTTGTAGGTATGCGATGACTGCATTGTGTTGAGAAGCAACATTGGCACTGTGTATGAACGTTGGTGGTACGAAAAATTGATTAATATGACATACTGCCCCAAAACAAAGGTGCTTTGTCTTTGGAGAAGGAATGGACAGGAAACACAGCTAAATAAGTTCTACACTAAAAAGGTATGTTTTCTACTATTTTGCCTTCAGAAAAAAAGGGACGATACAAAGACCTATTTTATTATTTTAGTGGACATTTTTGTGAGGCACAAGAAATCAGATCCATACATCAAGGTCTAATTAAAGTGATTTATTGCTAAGGGAATAATTAAAGAGATTTATTGCTCTAATAAATTAATTAGCTTAATTAGATCTATTGATCTAATTAAAGTAATTTATGGCTAATGGATGGAAACTAATCAAGGAGAGAAGCAGCCTAGAACTAAGCAGAAATTTCCTGACAGAACAATTAATCAGTGGAACAACCTGCCTCCAGAAGTTGTAAATGCTCCAACACTGGAAGTTTTAAAGGCGAGACTGGACAATCATTTGTCTGAAAAGGTATAGGGCTTCCTGCCTGAGCAGGGGGTTGAACTAGAAGACCTCCAAGGTCCCTTCCAACTGTGTTATTCTGTATTCTGTATACTAATCTTGCCTATGCACAAGAATCTTCTCAGCTAATTGTTGTACACAGGAATCTTCTCAAATAGTGGTTAACAGCTGCTAGAAGTTAGATAAGGTTCAGTGGAATTCAAGGGAGATTGGACTTAGTTCGCTTCGTGGCTACATAGAGATTTTAGGCTGATCCCTCTTTTAACTCCACCTCAGGATTCTACATTCATTCTCCTGCAATTTTAGAATTTTGTCCCTAACAAGATCCTTTAGTTTCCACTTATTAACCTCCTTGGCAAATCGGATTATTTCCACTGATGCCCAGTCTTAGAAAATAATAAGTGTGGGTAGCTATTGTCTTGTGCTTTGTTTAGAAGTGTGTCCACCAACTAAGAAAAAAACAGATAAGCTGGAGTTAGAAAAGTGGTCCCATTAAGAAATATCCTTTCCAGTTTTCCTTTTTAGTAATTGAATAATGGCCATGTCATTATTTGCCAGATTGTTTGTAATGGAATGTCCTCTTATGTTTGTTTATAAAAGAGGATGTGACTTTCATCCTACTTAATCCTCATTTTAGATCATTCTCATTCAAAATATTAGGTTTTAATTTTAGCAAGAAAAGTTATTTAAATTATTTGTAATCCAAATTCAGTATTATTTACTGTATTCCTCCTTTCCTTTCCTTTCCTTTCCTTTCCTTTCCTTTCCTTTCCTTTCCTTTCCCTAAGAAGCCTTTCTTTTCCCTTACAAGCACTGAAATATTGGGGGACTGTTTCATGTTATTTTCACAGTAATCCTGGATCCTGTGATGTTGTTAGTATGCAAATACAGCATGTTTAAACTGCAACCATCTATTTATATGTAATGCATGGTTGGCTATCAGAGTAAAATTTTATTTTTAGGTTGAAAGAGAAAATGCCTTAAATGTATTAGTTCCCTTTTCTAAAGATGGCATAAGTTAAAATCTGATAGAGTGGATAGAACCTTGAATTACTCTAACTAAACAGTTCTATCCATAAAGGAAAACAGTGTATCTGCACTATAACTGGAGCTAAAGAAAGAAGGTTGTCACAGTCAAACATCTCTAAAATGATAGCAGTGTTCATTCCATAATGTTTGGGTAACCATTATTATGTTTTCTTCTGTTTTAAGTTTTTTTTTCTATTACTACAGTACTGCTTTTGCTCTAAATAGCAATAATGTTATTGACCCTAGATTAAAACTGATGCATTGTGGACACATATTAAGCATTTATAAATTCCTGGGCAATTTGAGTCCAGTAACTATCTCTTAACATTTTGACTAGTTTTTGGAAAGATGCAGTGCATAGGTTTATACTGTGGTTTTAATCTGAATAGGTACTTCAGAAGAACATTGCACTGCCTGGGTCTGATTAAAGCAACTGCATCATTTTCCAAGGTTGTACCTGAATGATATAGAATTCCGTCAAAAATCACATTGTCATATGTCTTTTCTGTCCTTTGCAATTATGCTATTTTGTTAGTTCCGTGCTGTACTTACTATTTTATTTCCTTTTATTTTAATTTGCTATAGTGCCGGGAATTATATTATTGTGTAAAAGATAGTATGGAAAGAGCAGCTGCAAGACAACAGAGCATAAAGCCAGGTAAGATTTTAGTTTTTGGTTTTAAATGACAAGCATTATTAGAGCATTTATGTAACTCTTTTTGTTAAAGATCTGAAAGTATTAAACTTATTATTTTATCCAGTTTAGCAAAATGGAATTATTTCATTTTTGGATGCTATGAATATATGTATATGTATGTATATATTTTTATGTACACACACATATACCTACATATATACAATATATTACTGCATGATTATTGTTTGAGAAAGAAATGAACATATAGCAACTAATTCCAATTAAGGAATAGGGTAGAGAGAAGTATCTCTATTAGATACTTTACTAAGGCTCATTTATGACCTTCACCCCATTGCTTAGTCATGTGATCACCATTAGAGTCAGTATATACCCTGTATCTGATCTATAGGTTTTTTTTCTTTTTTTCCCTCCCTTCTTTGCAGAGCAGATAGATTGAAGGAAAAGGGATTGCAAGAAAGTAAGCTGTTTGGTCTTTTGCACATCAAAAAGAAAGTGATTGTAATGAGAGCCCAGGGCTAGGAGCTGCAGGTGTGCTATACAAGCAGCTTACAGTATGCTTTTGAAATTTCTATCTCTCCATTCTGTAAGGGAAGTGGAGAGGAAAAAAATAGTCAATCTATCCTCCCAAGTTAAAGTGCAACATTCTATTAATGTAGCTTTACAATAAAGTGGAGTTAGCTCATTTGGTTATTATGTCATTCCCACGTGCCATTACAACTAAGACTACCTGTAATTTACTCTACAAGCCTTAATGATCCTTAATTCTTTTATGACTCATTGAAAGATGAGTTAAAGAGATGGATCAGGAGAAAGGCATCCTCTAAAATACTGAAATAAGATCCAAACCTATGTCTGTATCATTTATGCAAGAGTTAGAGAATAAAATTTCCTTTGTCCCCTTCCTATATCTCTGTTATAGTGCTGCATATACCTATTTTTCAAATTGGTAAAATGTACAAAGTCAACCCTTGATTATATTAGGAAAGATGTTTGATATTCTGCAATGGTGGTAGCCTTCACTTTAACATGTTTGCTGCTAAAAGACACTGATGCCTATTCATACTTTCAAGGCATTGCTGGGTCAAAATATGTATAATTTGGAAGCGTGAAAGTGTGAATCTGTTTCACGTGTGTTTATTATATCAGTTGCTTAGATGTAAATGTGATTCTTTGAATAATTCCTCTGTATATAATATCAATTATAAGCCAGTGTGGTATAATAGATAATATGTTGGACTGGCATTGGGACAATCAAAGGCCAGCCTCAGCCACAGAAGCTCAGAGGTAATTTTGGGCCAATCATTCTTTTCTCAGCCCAACTTACTTCAGAGAGTTGTTGGGAGGAAAAATTGGAAGAGGGAGTGCCACGGATACAGTTTTGAACTCCTATAGAAAATGTGGGATATCAGTACAATGCTAACAAAAATTATACAAATGTCAGTGTTGAAAACAGTTGTACAGGAGCCACACAGAGAAAAATATATCTAAAGACTGAAATGCAGAAGGAGAAACACCACAGGGGAAAAAAAAAAAAAAACAGAATAGTTTGACATGTGTTGCTAATGATACCTCAAGCTTTTATAACAACAAAACAAAAGCTTAGCTGCTTGTTAATTGTAGCTTTTGGTCAGTGGCATAATCACATCTGGATTATTTTGTGTAGTTCTGATTGCCACCCTTAAAAAGGATATAAGAGGACCTAGAGAAAGTGCAGAAAAGTGCAACAGAGATGATCAAGGAGCAGCTTTCCCTAGGAGGAAAAGTTGGGATATTTGAGGCTTTTTAATCTAGAAAGGAGGTAAATAAGAGGGGACATGATTGAGGTGCAAAAAGCTATATGTAGTATGGATAAAGTAGACAAGGAAAAGCTGTTTTCTCCTTTACAAAATAATAGAACCAGAGGTTACCTAATAAAATTGGATCCTGGAAGAAACAAAACTGACAAAAGGATTTTTTTTATACAACATGTAATTAAACTTTGAAATTTATTTCTAAAAGATGTGCTGTGGGCTACCAAGTTGATTGGCTTCAAAAAAAAAAAAAAAAGGTTGGATGAATTCATGGAAGCCATGGGGATCAGTTGTTATTGCCCTCATGGGTAATGTGACTGCTGTTGAAGGCCTTCTGCTGAGAAACTAGTTGGTTTCTTGTGCAATTGTTTGGCCACTATGAGAATGCAGAACTGGACTAGATAGGCCAGGGGTCTGATTTAGCAGGACACTGCTTATCTCCTTCTAGCTCCAGCCCCTATCAAAGACACCAGTTTTGTAAGCCAACTGATGATATGGATGATCACATGCAGTCTTAGGCAGTTAAACAACTACTCTGTATTAGCATTATAGTTTTCTGACTCATGTAACATCGCCATACACTAAATAACATGGTAAAGAGCAAATGGTGGAGAGAGACAGGGGCAGCTCCTAGTTAGTTCCTGCACTAAAACTGTAACACGCTCCTCCTTGATGGTGTTAATTGAGGCAAAATATTGCTCAGTGATGAGCCAAGGCAAACTATGCTGCCATATTTCTCTTCCATTTCAAGGGCTAAAGGAATGCACTTTAATGTCCTGAAGAAGAGCCCTATCGCATTATGACTCTGCCTTGAAAAATCTTCTGCATCTTTTGCAATAGAAACCTACATTATCCTGAGATTCTGTTTTGGAAGGAGGATTATATGCTAGAAAATTAGTCCTTTTTGTGTTAATGATTTGGTGTTTATGTGTATTTTTTAATTTTATAGGGCCTGAACTTGGTGGGGAATTTCCCGTACAGGATATGAAAACTGGTGAAGGAGGCCTTCTCCAAGTCACACTGGAAGGAATTAATTTGAAATTCATGCATAGTCAGGTAAGAAATTGCCTGTAACAAGTCTTATAGTAGCATGAATGTTTTTGAAGAACACCAGTAAATGTGTTTCCTCTTCCCTATACCAGAAAAGGGAAAGAGAAATGTCACAGCTATCAATCCTTTTTTTTCCTTTTAAAATGACAGGTTCTTATTGTTAGGTAGAACAGTTAAATTTTTAAATCTGCTTTAGAATTGTTTTTAATAAGGAAAAGCAGATTAATTTTTAAATGAATAAATATGGGAATTTTTGACTGTTTATAAACTTCAGTAAAAATAATAAGAATGGTATTTTCAGAAACACGGGCTTCAGTTTATTTGTAATTAATTTATAGTGAGTTTGTTGATTCATACTTTCTTCGTTCAAATGAAGCAAGTGTTTTATCTGAAAAATAGCTGTTGAGATGATGATGTGCATTTAGCTGTGTTAGATTTCCGCAAAGCACCTCAAGCAACATTTAACAGTATTGGGTATGCTCTGACAGATTACATAAATGTGGCACTGAAATATATTAGCCAAACTTTACAAAGCTGTTTTATTACCACTTATATCTGGTTTATTTATACTGATTCTCATTACATGACAAAAGTGATCTAGAATTGGCAATTGCAAGTTGTTTTTTTTAATAGTTGTCCTGCATTGTATGCTTTTCTTTGTGGTTAAAAGTACTCTGGCCAATGTACCAGGTAGAGAGATTTTCTCACAGTAATACAGATATCTTACTTTGCTCCCTTTATTAATAGAGCTTTATCTCTGGGTATAGAGGAAACACAAATGGAATGACGTGCCATTTTTTCTTTCTTTAGATGTATGTTCTTTTTGCTTCTCTTATTCAATGATTTTATTTTGCTTCATGGTCATGTTTGTTTTGCAAATAATGTACAATCATTTTTAGGGTTTTGTGTGCTTGTGTATCTGTGTAAGAGTGTGTAAGAGTGAGGCAGAGGAGAAAAGTTAAATTTGTCATTCGGTCTTTTGTGCAATTGTCTTTATTTTATTTATTTTGGTAAGTTTAATTGTCTTTGGTGCCTCTGAGAATCCTGGGCTGTGATTCAGGACCTCTGAACATACATGCATTGAAAATATACATGCATGTGAAGATTCCTTTGAAATTTACACTGCAGCTACATGCAGTGCTCAGAAAACAAGTTGCTTTTCAGCTGAAATTACGTGCAACTATTAAAGAGTGCATTCTTCCCTAATTCAGTGGTGCAGTGCCCACATGGGTATATATTCATTCACTGATTCCAAATCCCAGATGAATGAACAACATATATTGTGTCAAACTTCTTAGAATAAAAAATGAAAAATGCATAAACAGAGTTAACAAAATAATATGGCATTGACATTTATAGGGAAGGGAAGCAAAGGAAGAGCAGAGAAAAAGATAAAAATGGGATTGGCAATTTATATCATGTACAAAGCAAGTCTCCCCCAAACTCCATAACCAAACTGTGTAGCTGTCCTCTTCCTTGCTCCTTTCTGAAATCAGTAATAATGAATCCAGAAAGGCAAATGTTGACAGATCACACATATCAACAATACATTAGGTGCAGACCTTAGGTACAGGTTTGTCCTTCAGTGTTATGTATTAATTTTTCATACTCAAATGATCGTTAAAACTGGAAGAAGTGGGTTTTTTTATGGAAATCCATTTTTAAAGCAGTTTTCAAGATGAAATGAAACAGAAGTGAGAAGAGGTGGAGTATGGACAATGTATGTTTTGTTGTTATGTTGAAGATAAATGTTTTGTGAAGAGTCATACTCTCCATAGTAGCCATTTTGAGACTGTGCCACTGATTCCAAATGTCTCTCAAGTCTAAAAATATTGCATTCTGGATCCCTTCTTTCGAATGTGTTGGAGAATTACAGCTATGAATCACAGAAATGAAATAATTCAAAGCCATTATATGAAGCCAATTTCTAACAGTTACTCTATTACAGTGCTTCTTGATCTTGGTAACTTTAAGATGACTGAACTTCAACTCCCAGAGTTGCCCAGCCAGCCATGTTGGCTAGGGAAGTCTGGGAATTAAAGTCTAGATATCTTAAATTTACCAAAATGGAGAAATACTGCTCTAGTTCTGTATTGCTTTGGCAGCTGCTGGTCTAAAGCCTAGTGGGAGACCATGGCAGAGAGTTGATTCCCACCTGTGTTGTGATGATAATGCCTGCTTGCATCCTCAATGAGTTGAATTCTGACAGAAGATAGTGGAGAAAGGGAAACTTCTGTGATGTTTTCTCCTAGGACTTTTCCTGAAAGTTATATTGGAATTGGCGTTACTTTTAAAGAATAACATATTATTGGAACAACGTTTCTCATTCTTGACAGTTTTAAGGCGAATGGATCTCAACTCCTGAATTCCCCAGCCAGCATGGCTTTAAGCATTTCCCAGTCACACATCTTTAAGTTGCTAAGATTGAGAAACACTGCATTGGTGTATAGTATCCTCACTGCAACTACTGGAAGAGCATAATTATAAGAGTTCTAATGCTGGTATGCTGCTTTGGGAAAGAATTTCTAAATTAAAGTAAGCGTTCAGTGATTTACAAGAATGATAAACTATAAGGTTGCAACTCAAAGCATTCTATTAAAGTGATTGATGGCGAAGCTGTAAGAAAATCTTATAAGCATAAGCAGATTTACAAGTTTTCTTTTTAAAATGAATTATGGGCTATTCCATTTCATTTTAATACAGAATTTTGTACCTAAACAACAATAATTCATTCTTTGGAAAGTCTCTCAAGTCTTGCCTTACCCAAATTACCTTTTTGTCAAGAGCATAAAATTAAAATACAATTTATTGGTTTCTGTATTTATCCTGGGGATAGGACTTTAATGACAAGTACATTATCTATTGGTCTATTTATTAATCTTAGATTATTATAAATGTTTGCTTCATTTTTGCTTGTTTGGTTTAGATTTTAATTACTTCCTGTCTGTTGCATCATTTATATGTGTGTATACACATGTATATGTGTATGTGTATATACACCAATACCCACACACCCATACATGCATAAGTTGCTAATTATATGTCATTTATTTATAAATAAAATGATAAATAGAAAATTAATTAGTAATTGGAGAGGACCACGCAATGGATATTAACTGATATACTATTATATTCATTTCAAAATACATTTGTTACTGAAAATTTGTTTTAGTACAGTTTGCTTCTAAGAAAAATATGCCAAGCAAAACATACTAAGAACATTTGCAAAGATGCAGACTTTTCCAAAATAGGGAATGATGATGTGAATCTGTTGGATGAAGTACAGAAAATATTACTGATTGAGACATAGTTGACATTACAAGCATCTAGGCAATTTAATCAATGATTTGAGCCAGAAATTCAAGAAAGACTTGCATAATTGCTTTGTTAAAATGTTTTTAAAAAGATATATCACAGCTTTCAAATAAAGGTACCCCCTCCCAAGCTCCGCTACCTATTGGTGATATATCATACGGGACTCTCATCCATCCCCAATATGTTAAATTATCCCTTTCTTACCAGAGGTTTGCCCATCCCTTTTTTAAAGGTATACCTGCTCTGTTAGCCAACCCTGCTGAATGTTCAATGAACATTCAGATACCATTTTTTAGAATACATCTTCCAGGGAAGGTACCGAAATTTATGAACCTCAAAGCTAGCAGGCAAGAAAACTGCTGATTTATAGATGACTGGTAATTTGATGGATGTTGTTATAACTCATAGAGAATGAAAATCTCTGTGCAGTAAAAAAATATATACTTGGAAAGCTGCTGACAGTATTTTTATTTTTATTACTGCTGGGTGAGTCTCAGTAGGAATAAAATAGAAATCCTATCAAAGGGAAGAGAGATTTTCCTCACAGATGCAGTGGTTGGCTAGTCCATTTATAAATCCTTTAAATAATATATTGTTATAGAAAGATATATTGTTAAATACTAATATTTAATATACTTTTATTAACATGTTATTAATATTAGATGGCAAGAAGTAAATCTACTGTTACAATTTCAGGAGGCAAAATTCTAAAAACAGTGGGAATAGTGTAAAAACAAATCCTATTTCCACAAATTATTATAATTCCTGCATATTTTCTTTTTTCTTTTTTTAAATATTTTATTAGGTTTTATAAGGGTAGGGAAGGGATAGGATTGGTATGGGTAATGGGTGGGGTTGGGGAATAGGGTTGGGATAAGGGTAAGGGTAGATACAATAGTGGGGTTGCTCCCCACAAAAATTCAGCACTTTAGCAAGCAGGCTATCGCCTGGGTACAAATGTTGAATAACAATAGTTAATATAATACTAAACAGTTATAATCACTGATTGTAACAATAATCATAGAAATAAAGCTTAGTCAGTAAATATCACTCGTCCTGTTAAATTTCACAATCCTTTCCACTTTAACGTGATGCTAGCCATTGATAAAATTTTTCTCATGTTTTAAAATACACTGAATCTTCTTTCTCATAATCTCTAAAGTTAGTCTATCCATTTCTGCACATTCTAAGATTTTCATGATTATAATCTAAGAGCAGAGGTGGCGCAGCAGTTAGAGTGCAGTACTGCAGGCCACTTTAGCTGACTGTGTTCAGCAGGTCAGCGGTTCAAATCTCACCGGCTCAAAGTTGACTCAGCCTTCCATCCTTCCGAGGTAGGTAAAATGAGGACCCAGATTGTTGGGGGCAATGTAAATATATATATACATTGCTTACTGGTGTACATCGCTTAGAGAGTGCTTGCACTTAAAGCGGTATATAAGTCTCATAAATAAATAAATAAATAAATAAATAAATCTGGTCAGGTGGTAAATTTTCATTTTTCCAAAATTGGGCAAATGCAATTCTCGCAGCTTTCAATACATGTAATATTAAATATTCATTCTCTTTTCCATAATTAAGTCCTAATATTCCTAAAAAAAACAGTTCTGGATGTTTTCATATACTTATTAACTGCCCCTTCCATTGCTTGATTATTAATTTATTGTAAGTTTGAAAATGGTTACTAAAAAGCCAATGGCTATTATTTAAATTGTTGCAGATCATAGATGCCTATAGACCAGTGGTGGCGAACCTATGGCACACGTGTCAGAGGTGGAACTCGGAGCCCTCTCTGTGGGCACACACACATTGCCTCAGCCCCACCTCCACCTCCTCCCATAGCCCCCTCTTCACCAGCAGCCCCCCCGGAGGAGGGTCGCTCCCAGGTACAGCCCGTGTGGAGCAGGGCAGCCAAGGACAAGGCAGCTGGGCAGTAGGGACAAGACTCTGCCCTCGCGCCCCGTCGCACGCAGATGATGCTGCACGGGGCGGACGGCATGGCTGCGGACGGCAAGGCCACCTGGGCGATTTGTGGCAGGCCGTGGAGGTGGTGGGTGGCCCGGTGGGTGGGGGTGGGGTGGTTTTCGGCACTCGGTCTCTAAAAGGTTCGCCATCACTGCTATAGACTATCTAAATGTATAAAAAAAATTTAAAAAAACAGTATGTTTTCATTGATCAGACCATAGATTGGTGAGCAAAATGGTTTAAAATTATAAAACTGATTAGGATTGTGGTGGAATCTCCAACTAGAGTAGCAAGGTAAGTAAAGAAGCAGGCTAGCTTGGAATCGTTCCATGGGAGGATGGTGTCTAGGAAATTCTCAGTCATCCAGATCATGGTTTTCTCAAAGGTTCTTTTTCAAAAAGTAACTGGACTATGTTTTTTCCTTGAAGAAGAAGACATTTCGCTTCTCATCCAAGAAGTTCATCACTTCTGAGGGTCAGAACTGATGAAGCTTCTTGGGTGAGAAGTGAAACGTCTTCTTCCTCAAGGAAAAAACATAGTTCAGTTGCCTTTTACAAAAGTATCTTTTGAGACATGCAGGAGAGTGACATCCCTGAAGCCTTTATCTGCCCATTCCCAAGAGAATGCACTTAGTCTGGTGAGATTTTTGTAAATAGGAGAAGAACGATAAAGAAACTACTTTGATCTGCTCACATAGTCATTCTGGTCTCTTGCAGCTGGCAGGGTCTAATCCAATGTCTAAAACTAGTAATTAAACTAATGGTAATTGTAGTTTTTGTTTTTTTTTTTACAAAAGATTAAACATTTTACTTATAATTAGCATGGATATATATTATTAAAAATGAACATTTCTCCCTAAAAATTTAGTTTTAGTTTTATTTATTTGAACAGGAAATAAATTTGCCTATATGGTAGTTATAGAAGAACAGGTTTGGCTATAAATGTTCAGTTCTATCGCGTTATTTGCATTCTTGCTCAGGCTGTTGTGTGCCTCCAGGATTATATGAACAAAATTTGGGCGCTTGGCAACCTTCTCATATCTATGACTGGTTGTGGCATCCTATGATCATTTTTGCCAGCTTCCCACATATAAAGTCAATAGGGAAGTCAGAAAGATCACAAGTCACTCAGGTCAGTCTCCCTCAACCTGAGCCTTTTCTTTGCTTGTACCCACAAGGACCCTCCTTTCCTAAACTCTCTGCACTTGTACACATGCACACACCCACTAGGTCCTTCCTTCCCTGGCCTCCCTGCACTCATACACATGCGTGCATGTACCCTGTGCCTCCTTTCCCAGCTTTCTTGTGCTTGCATACATACATTCCACACCCTCTTTCCCCTATCTCATTGAGCACTGGTGCACATGTATACCCATATGCATACACCCATCCCCTCTTTTGCCGGAGTTTCTGCGCTCTCACATACATTCATCCTGAACCTTTTTCCCCCAGCTTCCCTGCACTTGTACTGCTTTCCCTGGTCTCCCTGCAATCATACACATGCATGCAAGCATCTCACACCATGTTTTCCCAGCCATCCTGAACTCGTGCCACAATGTAATACTTCCCCAATTGTGCGTATCCTGCACTGGGCCTGTTAGGGCCTCCCGAGTCCCCCTGTGGCACCTCTATGCTTTTTAACTGGAATTCCCTCTGCTTCCCGTTTAATGACCCATGTGTCTTGGGGTTACAGTGATAACTGGGATTGCCTGGATTGCTACCCCTTAAATGATGCAGTCATGTGACTTCCTGCTTTACAACTGCATCTCTTAGCGATGCAATCCCAGTCCCTATTGCCATCAGAACTTGAGATCTGTATATTGGAATTTGGATGTGTGCCATTATTGTAACTTGATTAAATGTGTTGTTTCTCTATTTATCTTTTAGAATTCTGTATTTCATTTTTGAGAGATGAAAACTAAAAAAGTGTAATTCTGATAGCAAATCAATACAGAGAGGTTCCATCAACATTTATAGTTACTAAAGTTTTCCTATACTCCCTTCACATAATTTCTAAAGAGGCAAGCAAATATTCATTGATGTACATCTGATTAAAACAAAATTATATAACAGTCTGAAAAATGTAGATGACATAAATTATCTGCTCGATCAACTAAAACTATCATAATCAGGATGCAGTAAAATCAAATTTAGCATTTGAATACATTTATGAATGCCTCTTTTTGCATCACTAAAATATAAAGCATACTCAAAAGATGATCAGATATAAAATATATATATTTTGTTAAGACTATTTGCAGAAGAAATTTTAAAAAGAGATTGCACGTGCCAACTCCATCTCATGTTTAGTGTTGCACATCCGAAAAATTTGTGAGTACTTCATGACATGGTCCAATCTTATTTCAATAGAAATTTTGGGTTGTCCTGTTCATTGAGGTTTTAAATACCTTTTCTTATAAACATCTATTCTGTTCCTAGCCTCGTTTAACTGTTGTTCCAATTCAATAAGAGTAAAGTTTGTTGTAAGAATTTCAAGCACCTGTAAAGGCTCTCACGCCTCCAAAGTTTGTATCAAGTGGTTGTTTAAGCAGGATTGTGTGTGGTGTAGGGGGTAGTAGAAAAAGGGAAAAATTCTTCCATTTCTACAAAGATTCTATTTTCCCCTGGATCAGCATTATGATTTGTGATTCTTGCTCTATTAGTTTGGAAGATTTTCTCCAAAGACAATCTTATTTTTCCCCATTATCCAGTATAATATTTTGTTACCAAAGAGAGAATCCCTATTGCTAGCAGTTAGCTAATTGTAATGGTGGTCTGAAATACATTTATAAAAATGTCATTAATACTTGTTTGGTAGTATGAGAGGAATATAACCTTTTCTAATTTCTGAAATTATAGAAAACTCTTACAGTAATTATAGTATTTTTTCATTTGTACTAAAATAATTGTACAAATGTTTACCATTTTATGAGCTTTGTGTTTTTTTTTTAAAGAAAATACTATCGTCTGGTTCTGGATATTTTTAAGTGGCATTTGAGGTGTTTAAACAAAACTGGTTATCATCTTAAGATAAATTTCCATGTCACATTTATTTTCTCCACCCACCCCATCACAATAAAAAGACTATCTTCTGTTTTTATTCTTTGGAGTTGATATCAGTTCCATTCTGAGAAATACTTGGGAATTTCAATTATTGGTAAAAACAAGTGTAAATATTCTTTTGTATAGATTTTCTTTCTGCATCCCTTCCTTGTAAATGATCAGTTGCTCCTCAATTCTGACTGAGGTAATGGCGTTACATTTTGGAGGATGTGGGTGGTAAACGATGCTGTGGCCATTAAAAGTCGCATAACAATCAGAACTCTTGCACATTTGACAGATTTCATTTCTGATTCAGACAGAAATAAAAATCTGTCGCGTTTTTCATAACCTCTCTTTTCTTGGCCACTTTGTGTCAAGGTAAGAGTCCATAAATCCTGAAAGGAAGCTTTATCCAGTATGGAAACATAGCCGGCAACCGGTTGGGGTGGGATGCATGGCACCTCTTGCCTGCCCTCTGTGCTGGAGGAGGATGCATGGAGCGGTAGATATTGGATGGGATGGGACAAGATTACAAACGAGAGACCAAAATTGGGAATATTCTTTGTCCCTTCTTTTGTTGTATTTTGAGGTGTGTGGTTTTCCCTTTCTTTCTTTACTGAGTGCCTGAAGGGAGTAGCAATGTTGAATTATGTCAGAGTTACTAACTCCTTCGTTTCTCTTCCATGCTTTCTCCTCCTGCAAGGAGCGGAAGGTACTTCATCTTCTGCTGTCTTAGCTTCTTAGCCTTTTAAGTTGTTTGTTGATTTCTAGCATTGTGGCAAGTTTTCAGTCTTTACTTTAAAACTCCTCTTTCTTTTGGTTTACATAATTGTAGCTTGATTAATAGTATGAACTACAACATCCCAAACATTTCAAGTTATACCTGCTGTGGTGTGCATTTTTATGTTTGTATTATTTAGAAATGATTTCCTGGTTTAGCCTAATCGTGTCTTTTCCCCTCCTGTTTTCTTTCAGGTTTTCATAGAGCTGAATCACATTAAAAAGTGCAATACAGTGCGTGGCGTCTTTGTCCTGGAAGAATTTGGTAATTACATTATTTTGATATTAGGTTTGTACCTGCATGGCAGTAACTCAAATTTCTCGTCCTCTCAGAGAGGCAGAGCTGTAGCTCTTTTAGATAGTGGGCTTTGTTTTGTTTGCTAAGATGGCAGAGGAACTAAAGATCAAATGAAGAAATGTTGGAAAATAAAGGTGAAATTAGTAAGTTTGTGGCATTCTTCAGTGAAATGACAAAGGAATAGTAGTGATTTCAAAGAAGCATTGATCTCTAAGTACTTTAGCAGCCCGAAAATCATACTATTTATTTAAATAAAACTGTTTCCACGTGTCATATGAAATATCATGTTATGGGAACGCTCTGTTTGATAAATTCATAGTCACTCTAAATTTGCTAGTTTTAGATGCTATGGAACTTTTGTCACATCTGCTATTAGCATGTCTACTATTCTTGAATTTGTGAACCAAATCTTCCTTTTGGCTGCTTGAAACATTTTTAATGAATTAAGTAATTGCAATGTGATCATTTATCATGGGGATAAAGAAAAAAAGAAGGTGAAAGGAGAATAGATGAAGAATTTATGCCACAAGAAGTACAGAATTTTTAGATTGAATAGAGATATTCCCATCATGCATACCTTTCAGGGATAAACGATTATGCAGAGCACATAGAAAAGGATTTTGAAATATCCAGCCGTAGAAATTAAAAAAAATAAGAAACAGAAACATAACTAAAATTCACACCATCACCATATCCTTCATTTTCTGTAATGTGAACCATCCTTTTTTCCACCTTATCCATGAATGCTTTATGCATTGTCTTTTGTTATTTTATTGTGAGTAAAGAAAGTAGATTGATTGATATGAATTATTAGTCCAGATGATGTTTTCTCTCAATATAATTTATGTTGCAAGATTATCCTGAACTCCACCTCCAATAATATAGAAACATATTCTATTGTCATCATCTGCTGCTGTCCATTATTCTCCCATTGGAATTGTTTACAGGTGTCTTTTTAATACTGCAACTATTGGGAAATCCTTTTCCCATTAGTTTTTCCTCCAAAATAGATGCTTGATTATGCTTGGTTTTAGATTCCCTTAAAATTGGGAACACTAGCATTACATGGAGAATTCCCCCCAGCAGTCCTACTACTTCATCTTCTCAACTGTGCCTTTCCTATTGATAAGCATCAAATCAAGGGCAGATGGTTATTTGTGTTTTCTTTTCCTCTTCTGAAAGAGAAAGTTGTCAAAAGTCAGATCTGGAATTTCCTTAAAGAATAAGGCTTGACATGGCTTCTCCCAATTTGTCACTATAATTCTTTTCTCTTTTAAAGATCTATAGTTTGCTTTTGAAAGACTTCATCTACATCTTCTCCTTACCCAAGCAGTCAATAATTAATACAAATAGCAGTATGATTTTGTTCTTTTTAATTCTACTTTTAAATAAATAAATTTTACCCTGCTTTTCACAATACTGTTCATTAACTTGCTTTTATGAGGAGGAATGGATCTTTTTAATATATAGAGCATATGGGAGCATTTGACATAATGCATTATGATATCAAAATACAAGCCCCATGGCTTATGAAATTGTCAGATATTAGGCTACAAATATATAACACAGGTTCCTAGTGTGTCACTATTGTGCACATATCATTCTCCATCACTGAGTGCGAATATTTGTAGATATCTGTGACAATGAAATTCCTATTCCCATTTGTCTTTGGAAATTCTCAATCATCCAGGTCATGGTTGTCTAAACATTTTTTGAAAAGGCAATTGGACTATGTTTTTTGCTTGAGGAAGAAGATGTTTTGCTTCTCATATGACTGGGTGGTGGTGGTAGTGATGGTGGTGGAAACATTTATTCTAACTAATTAGGGGACTGGAGGCTAAAATGATTAGGGGACTGACGGCTAAAACATATAAGGCATGGTTGCTGGAATTGGGTATGTCTAGTTTAATGAAGAGAAGGACGAGGGGGGGACATGATAGCAGTGTTCCAATATCTCAGGGGCTGCCACAAAGAAGAGGGACTCAATCTATTCTCCAAAGCGCCTGAAGATAGGACAAGAAGCAACGGATGGAAACTAACCAAAGAGAGAAGCAGCCTAGAACTAAGGAGAAATTTTCTGACAGTTAGAACAATTAATTAGTGGCACAACTTGCCTTCAGAAGCTGTGAATGCTCCAACACTGGAAGTTTTTAAGAAGAGACTGGACAGCCATTTGGTTTCCTGCCTGAGCAGGGGGTTGGACTAGATGACCTCCAAGGTCCCTTCCAATTATTATTATTATTATTATTATTATTATTATTATTATTATTATTATTATTATTAAAAAACCAATCCTTCCAAATTCTGATTAGTTTTTTAATTCCTTCTTTCTTTTTGAACAAACTGTACTTTTGTATTCCACTCCTAAGAATAATCCCATTAGTCTCTGTTATATCTAACAATAGCACTTAGACTTATATACCGCTTCATACTGCTTTACAGCCCTCTTTAAGCTGTTTACAGAGTCAGCATATGGCCCCCAACAATCTGGGTCCTCATTTTACTGACCTCAGAAGGATGGAAGGCTGAGTCAACCTTGAGCCGGTGAGAATCCATCTGCTGGCAGTCGACAGAAGTAGCCTGCAATACAACATTCTAACCACTGTGCCACCATGGCTCCTTAATAATCTATTAAATTATATATGCCCTTCTGTACTAGGTTCTCAAACTTGTCTTTGCCTCCCCCCTGCCCAACAACAACATTAGTGTATAAAGAGTAAAGGTCTTGAACTTTGTCAGCCAATAATCCTTTTTATTTTTCTGTAATTGGTTCCACTTCAGCAAAATTCCAACTTTCTACAGTTCCTACAGTGGCCTTATCTGAAGCCATTACTTCAGGAGGTTTTTTTCCCCCTACTCTCCACATGTTCCATTTAAGACCTTCCTAATCAAACTTACTGTGCTTTGATTGAACACAGTTTTTACAAGTCCTTATGTGATATAGTCCTCCTTGTATCAATAGTTCATCACTGGGATAATTTAGACCCTAGCAGAAACCACATGTCTGCAGTCCATATCATCACATAATAGATAGCTAGACAGACAGACAGATAAACCTTTATTGTCAGTTTTTCTGTGAATACACTGGCACACATTAAAAAATGAAATCCTGATGCCTACTCTCAAAAAAGAATGAACTTATACATATACATGTGCATATATATACATGTGCATACGTATACATGTACATATATACACATGCAACACACACGTGCATATATATGTTAATCACAGACCATTTAGTATACATAGCGGAAAAAAAGAGTCCTGAGAGTTAACAAGATTGATACTATATGGTACAAAGCTATTACAGAATCTAGTTTTTCTGCTTCAGATACTGCAAAGCCTCCTCCCAGAAGGTAACAAAGAAAACCGGTCATGGAGAGAATGTGTAGCGTCTTAGACAATATGCATAACCTGGTCAAGCATCGCTTATATAGTATGCTATGTCCTGGATAGAAGGAAGTGAACTTCCAATAATCTTTTCTGCCATCCTCACCACTCTCTGCACAGCCTTCCTGTCCAAAATAGTAATATCTCCAAGCCACAGAGTAATACGCTACCTCGGGATGCTTTCACTCCTTCTATAGAAAGTGGTAAGGACAGGGGAAAGAAGATGTGCTCCCCTCATACGAAGGAAGGTGTGCTCTTCTCACAAGAACATAATAGTTTGTAATTGGTTTTAAAGTATTTCCCCTTTCCTATTGAATTTCCTTGGCAGACTCCTGTTAGTCCTCTCTATTTGCTTGCTCAGTGAGTTTGCGCCCTTGAACCTGGCTGCGTTATATTCTTCCTGCTGTCTTTGATTACTCAGAGGAAAGGTCATTCTGACAACCATTCAGTTAACAACTCTTGGTAGCTTTTTGGTCATTAGCTATTAGGTTGACTATCACCTAATAGCTACAAAATATGCAATTTCTGGCTTGTTTCTGGCTACACAACTTTCTTGTTTCTGGCAATTGTCCTTGTAACTCAGCTGGATTCAATTAAGTCCAATATTCTCAGTTATGATAATGTCAGTTTGGTTACATTATGCGCCTCTGTGTGAAGTTAGAATGCAGCTTCTCTATGTCATATCTAACAGATAGACCTTGAAAAATTATTGTGCATCTTATAATTGATATAAAGTCTCATGTTGTTTGAAATAATTTAATTGATATATGTCTGAGTTGGAGTGCTCTGTTGCGACGAATCTTTCCTAAAAAGTAGGAAGCATCACATCCTTGGCTCTGAAATTTGAGTTACTGCTATGTACTTCTGCTTTAGTTTTATTGTGGCCCCTTCACAATCGCTGCTATGAAAACCTTCAATTCTCCAGCAGGTAATGTGGTCCCCTGATCCCTATCCTTTGCTAGTACTGTGTATACTCATTAACAGGGCAAGAGACTGCAAGATGTACTTTTATTTATTTATTTTCTTTTAATCTGTTTAATTTGAGCAGCATCAAAAATCAAATGCAATTCTGGGGGAAGGGGGAAGAGGGCAATCCTTTTTCTGAGCTTCACTGTTAAACTCTTGTATGATAGAGCAGAGGTCCCCAACCTTTTGAGCATCAGGGATCAGTTCCGTGGAGAGAGGTTTTTCTGTGGACTGGAGGGGGGCTGGTTTCATGTACTGCCTGCATCATGCAGATGGGGCTTTACTTGTTTGCGTGAACTGGTTTCTGGCATGCTGTGGCCTGGTACCAGTCCATGGACCGGGGGCTGGGGACCCCTGTAATAGAGATATATTATTTTTATTCTATACAACACTTCAGAATTCTTTTTCAACCTTATTTCTAATTTTTTTCTTTATAGAGAGGTCATAGCAGGTAGATGTAGTCACTGTGATGGCACCCTTCTAAATTAATATTTAAATGTCAGATTTTGCTTTTTTTATTCTGACTTGTCTTTCCCTCTTAAGACCACTTCTGTCTGATTTACCTGTTTGCCTTTTGAAGTCACATACTAACTGCAAAGAAATATTTGTGTGGTTCTTTTTGTAATCATTTATGGGTAATATAGAGTTAGTCTCAGAATTATGTGATACTAATAGTTTCAGAAGATTTTTTTTTACAGTTTTCTGAATTTTGCATCCTTGATCATGTACAGACTTAATATTAACTAATGGATTTTTTTTAGCTTTCTAAAATATTGATTTCATATAATATCAACTTATTGTCTCATTCTTCTTTAATAGAGTCCTGTCATCCTTAGTATGTATTGCTTAATCTTTATTATGTTCCATTAAATTTCTCTGGTAGCACTTTTTTCTCTTACATAAAAAGGATATGTCTGGATTTTGTTTGCATTTTCCACCCACATAAATTAAGGTCAATTGTTTATAGATTGACTGCTATTTTTTTCTCTTAGTAGGTAATATCATGATATTTATTCTACTCATCCTTCCCCATGTAGCCCTATATGATCCAGTTTCCTGTTGGGTGTTAAATGATGAAGCAACAAAGCTAACGAAGTTAACATTATTTAGCAAAGAAAGGATTCAGAATTCTGCTCCTGTTTTGGCTTTGGAATATAGATCTTTTTGAATATTTTTCAACTGTTGGCCAAAATGCACAGGAAGACCAACTCTTCCTTAGAGACAGTTTTCTTACACTAAGGGCATTTAGAAGTTGATTTTTCATTGGTAATATGATAGGATCTTTATAAACCTAAGTACTATCTTCCAGTTTGTTTGGGGATGTATTTCATTGATATTGGGATATAGTTGCTAAAACTGTTTTCTAGTATAAGTGGGACAGACAAGAGCCAGAGGTTTTTGGAACTTGGTAATGTATTATATACCAGAATTATCTATAGAAGAATTACTAGGACACGTACATAAAAGAAAATCACATATCATTCAGAGGAAGCCCAAATGAATCTTAAAGTATTTGTCACTTTAAATTACCTGTATTTCCATGGACTTTGGTGAATTGTCACAATCTAAGAATATAGAATTAGTTAAAAATGCCTTTTTCCTGCAGCTGTTCTATGTTTCCCTTGGATCTTTTGTTACTTTTGGGAACATTATACTATTTCTTTCATTTTTTCCTCTCGTTTTTTGAACTCTTTGTTTTGTCTCTTGCCCGTCCGGTTTTAGTTCCTGAAACTAAAGAAGTGGTGAGCCACAAGTACAAGACACCAATGGTAAGTTACTTACTATGATTTTTGGTTATTTGGTTATTTTTCAAAGGTTTTTTTTCATGCCTAGCATTCAAGCCTCTCATCTAGATTTTGAGATAATACATACATGACCAATTTCAACAAAAATATATTCGAAATGTAAGAACTGCAAGAAATACAGTAGAGAGTTCAACAGAATTTGATAGCTTAATTTTTCATTAGATTGCTTGTATTATTAAGCAAGATTTATGCCTATGATATAGCTTAAATATTGATCTCTTTAACTTAATTAACATGGCAGTAGAACTACCAATGATTAAAAAAATACTTTTCTATCTCCTTTTTCAAAGTAAAAGTAGTTTTTTGTAAACTAGCAATGTAAATGTAACTTAATTTGTGTATTTTTAAAATAACACTTCCTTTAAACATTACATTGCAATGCAAAAGTATAAAGTCATACAAAGTTACACATCATGGATTCATTTGAAGCATAAATATATTAATAATTCTCACCCAAAGTCCTATGAATTAAGGTTAGAATGCTGGTTTTTATTCTACAGACTTGTTGGGCCATAGTATATGGAATAAGATATTTTAATTGTTTTGAAATTATTTATGGTACCTGTGAAAGGATACCAGAAAACTGAAATACCAGCAGAATATTTGGATTATTATCAAATGTAAGAAAGACACTTTTCACTTAACATTTAGAACATATGTACAATACTGCATGCATAGGTAAAATTTAAATAACACTTCCTTTAAACATTACATTGCTATGCAAAAGTATAAAGTCATACAAAGTTACACATCTTACTCTACAAAGGATTTGGGGAACAGGCGGAAGGCAAACAGTAAGATTGAATAGGGATTAGGGATTCTTGGTGCTCTCTGAACTTGGCTGTTTTCTTGCAGATGTTTCATTATCCAAACTAATTATTGCCAGTGCAGTGAATAGAGATTAGGAGAGTATTTATTAACTAACTTTTATAAAGTCATTTAGTTAGGAGAAGAAAACTGTCATATAAAAAGAGGATCCTGAACTGAGGAATGAAAATATCTTTCCCCAATTTTAGAGATGAAACTATGGGTACATACCAGCAAACTCCATGAGAGTTCATATCTCACCTTCTCATCATTCCTCTCTATATTTGCTCCTATATTTGGGATTTTAGAATTTAATCTTAGAAATTAAATTCTATTTGGATTTAGTACAGGTGAAGGTATTTCCAAACTGATTCAACTGTAAACAAAATTTACAATTCATTGGACCATTGGACTTTATTTATACAAACATAAAATGCTGTGTGCTGCTTATTCCTGTCAGTGGTGGAGATGGATGAATTGTCCACATCAAGACGTTATGTCTCATCATTGCATTTCATTTTATACTTGCTCTAGAAGTAAGGAAACTATACATCTACATAGACCCTGCTACCCAGCAATTGATTATCTTATTTTTTAATGTCTTCTAGGCTCATGAGATCTGCTATTCGGTATTGTGTCTCTTCTCCTATGTGGCAGCAGTGCGTGGGAAAGAGGTAGAAGGCAAAAGCAAACCACCTCGTCCGGTGTCCAGCTGATCAACGTTATTGTTGGGAAAGGCATTGCCATGCAATTGTCTCCTTTCTTTTGCAGTTATACAGGCTCACACGAAAACTGTTTGTATATGGCCCCATTCATTTGAGTATATTAGTCTGCAAATCCACTTTATGGAAATCAAACTTTCATAAGCATATTCAGGCCTGTGCTTAAGGTATTCTTCTAAGCAGTTGCATTCTGTTTATCACTTTCTCTTTTGCATCTAGTTTGTCGAGATGGCTCACATGACATTCCCTTACTTTTATTGGCAGTTATATATGATAACTGCCAATTGATAAGCATATGTCTTCTGTTTCAGATTTTTTATTATGTGCATTGTGCAAGCCACTGACTCTTGCTTGGATCACCCACTGGTGCTGTTGTTCAGATGCTTACTTTTATTTCCTTTCTTGCTTTCCATGCTTAAGTTGTCATTAGAGAATCCTGGCCAATATCCCTTTTGTAGACTTCTTCAACCCTAACCCCATCAAGGGTTGGAATATATGTATATTTTCTGTCATTGTGTCATCAAAGGAATGGCTAAAGATCATAATGCAGGAGTGATTAAATAGTGATCTAATGATCAGCATGCATGTACTGTACATACTATTTTAAACAGAAGACAACAATTTTGCTGACATTCCAGTTCAGTTCACTAGTATATACTCATAGACATAAATAGATTTCTTTATGATAAGTGTATAGAATTAAATGAGGACAGGAGAAAAGCCACCAAAACCAAGACAGTATGATTGGCTTGAATGTATGAGATATTCATGTGAAGCCTGAGTGTGTGCAATGTACTGTTAGAGACACATCCAGTTATTTAAAAGTTGTAAGCATGCACAAATGTATCAGTAGCGCTGTATCTTCTCATTTTATGTCTCCCTTTAGCCACGGCTTTTGTCAGTCTATTAATGTTTATTTTAAAAAAGCAAAAAAAAAATGTCACTGTGTAATGAATTTTCCTTTTCTGGTAAATTTCCATTTGACAATTATTGAGTAGGATGAAAAATAAATGAATTGTCTTTCTACTTTTCATGGACTACACTGGATTCTAATGCAAAAATACACCAAGGTACTTGAAGGAGAAAATTTACAATAGGGAAGAAACTGCAGAACATCTGGCAGACTTCTCTGGCTGATGTTAAAGTACCACAGAAGTGATAACATTTCTTGGTAACATGCTTTTAGGAATGTTCAGCTTGTTCTGCACAGTTTAATCTGTATGACTGCACTATAAAGGGTGGGAGGGGGGAAGAAATGTACATATTTCAGTACCACATATATTTATAGAAAAGTGTACAGTTGTCTGAATGTTAAAATAAAATGCAATTAAACCACTGTTGCCTCTTGTGAAATCTTATTAGTCTTGTGTACCATATGCATGACTTCAAACTGAAGGAGTCATCTCTAAAATACACAATTAACCCTCATTTGAACAATCTAGGAAAGGGGGGCATTTATGATTCACAGATTTTGATTAAATATGAAAGCACCTCAATATAGCTTTATGATGTCTTTATAAAAAAGACAACTGATGCAGAAAATTCAAACTTGGTGTCATTCAAACTTGGTGTCAGACTTATAATGAAATGAAGTAGATATTTATTCTTACATTTTTCACCCTATCTGGTAAATTTTGAACAGCACGGAGTTCAACAGGTTGCAATTTTGTATCTGTGATCCACTATGAAATACTATGCAAATCAATTATTTGCTCCAAAATCGTAGTGTGGTAAAAAAATATTTAAGATTGCAAAATGTTGCATTATTTTCACTAAGTTCATTTTAAAAGTGAAATTATGTATTCTCACTAGTTTTTTGCCAGTGCTTAAGCCTATCTTAGCCAATGTGCAGAAATTGAAAGGGATGTGTGATTCAGTTTATAGTCTAGTGCGATGTTTCTTAACCTTTGGTTTTTTTATACTGCATAAGGAAAACAGAGCAAGGCTTCCATCTGTAAGCTCATTTTATTTTTTAGCCTTATGTTATAACTTTGTAACACTTCAACATGAAGTAAGTTACATAGTCAACTGAAATGCAATATAAAAATAAAAGCCATTTTCCTTAGACTGCCTTGATAAACATTGTACTGGTACATAACTCATATTATTTTTCATTTTAAGATCATTGTTGATCATAATGAAGAAAATACTTAGTTTCTTTGCTTGAATTACTATTTTTTTCTCTTTCAGCATAGTGGATTCTGGTTGTCTTTGTTTTGTCTTCCCATACTGTATGTTATTTTTAGCAAATACTTAGTTACTCACTGGTAGGTTATCTTAAGTTATTAGTTGTTTTTAGACCAAATATTTCAGTTTGCTTCTTGTCATTCCTTTAAATCGAAGAATAATTGCAAAAGTGGATGCAAAATAGCTTACCACTTCATTACTACATGCCATTTTAGGTTGTGATGTGTCCTCAAAAGTAAGGACTTCTAAGTTGCTTTGTTGTCCTAAAAAAATGTCTGACCTTTGATTAGCTTCTGGAAAATATCAGTAGTTGGACTTTGATGTCTCTGGATTCTCCTCTTAAAATGGAGTAGATTGTAACTTTAAAATAATTTCAGCATAGCTATGTATTATTTTAGATTTATACTTGGACAGGAAAATAATAGATCATTATAGTAATGCATATTGTATTTTTATTTTAGAGACTGCTTCTTATGCTAGGATTTTACTTTATTTATTTTAGCTCACCCATTTGATTATACTTCTGGGTAGTATATTTTCAAATGTTTCCGTTCATTGACCAAATAAATATTATTTTATTTAAAGTCTTCTTGGTTTTGCTGTTGCCACCCTCTTGGATATATAGATGGGAGACTGGAAGCAACTGTGTTCAGGCTGCGATATTATGTTTTGCATTAATTTTTACTGTTCTGTGATTATAATACTTTCTTATAATGAAAGGGGAACAACATATTGTAAGGATTTTCTTCTGTTTTGATTTTGCAATTACAATCCTAAGATAAAGGATGGAAGTGGTGGGGGTGAGCGGCAGTGAGGAGGGATCGACACCAGCTGAGGCCACACATTATGTTTGACATGAAGTTTATTATCTTCAATGATACCCTTGATGGACATATAGAACTCGAGCCATTGTTTCATGTAGCCTTTGGAAGCTCAAAAAAATTGCACTCCCTTATTGACTTATTCTCAGGCAGGGGTCTGCGACTTTCCATGAACTATGGATGTGAGGTAGTCCTATTTTATGATTTGTAGACAAAGAAATCACAAACAACCTAGGAGAATAACTATTCTGAAAACCAAACGGAAAAGGAGAAGTTTCTATTGTATTTATTTCTTTATGCAGAAGCAATGCGGTTTCATTATGGATACAGTGTTGTGTTTGGAAAATGGAACAAACATTTTTGGTACTTTATATACCAGTATTTATATCACTGTTTATAAACGTACATTTTTTTCTAAATATGCAGGGAATATATTCTCTATCTGTTAAAACGGGACAGCTTTCTTAAAAGTTTCTGATGCTGTTGTAAAATAATTTTTGAATTGACTTTGAAAAATGGAATAATAGCCATAAGATAATGTTACACTTAGTTTTCAAATTATAGTTATGAATGGAAGACTAAGGATCAATTGCTTTACAGCAGAATTCCATACATGTTTATCCATAACTGAAAAACTGTGATCATTGAGGCTTTCTTTCAGACTAGTATGTATCTGATTGTGTGCCTAATGTAGTACCAGATGTGGCTTCGGATCCACACAAGGATTACTTGAACTCAAAATCTCTAGGTACTTTTTCTTGTGTCAGGTCTTTAATGTCTCCTATGACTGGCAAAGTTTTGTGCCAGGCATTGCAGCAGGCAGAGGTTGGGACCTGGTAAGATAAAAAGTGCCCAGTCATGTTGGCTGATCCAAGAAGTGGGGTAGGATCTTAATTTGCTTCCTGAAAGTATTGAGGACCATGTCTGATAACAGCCCCAGGATTCCCATACATCTTTCTCTAAAAATCTATTCAAATTAATCTAGCAGTATTTAAAACTCCCTAATTTTTAAATTTAAATATTTGCATTGCAATTAAATCTTCAGTTTTCATTATCTCCCACAGTTTGTTATTGAATAAGTGATTTTCCTAAAGGAATGTGTCTGTGCAGTTTAGCTATAATGCAGAAACCCGCTATTGCTGAATTCAAACTATACGCTCAGAAAAATAAAACCCATTTGTTTGATTAAAAAGTGAAATCTATGCTGGCAAAATCCATGTGTAAATAGACTACATTAAGGGTGTTTAACAAACAATAAAAATAAACGCAACAGATTGTCTTGCCCCGATCATTTTTTTTTCAGTTCAACTCTTAGATAACAATTTTTAAAGGCAGGCAGAAAATTGTTTCTTGGAGAGCTGCACAAAGTCATCAAAGGAGGTGCTTCCCAAGGAATGTGGAACACCTCTAGTTGAATTCTTAAAACAGCCACATCCTTTAGAAGGCTTTCATAGCTGCTTCCAAAGTTATCTGCCATAAATATTGTAAGAACAAGAGTTTGAAAAATTACACCCCAGTTGTTTGCATGTGAGGCCTAAGCATATGCACTAAGTCACAACGTAATGATACAAGTGGTCTCATTCCCAAATAGACTTGTTTTTTTTAAAAAACAACAACAACTGATGAATGCATTTGGTGTGGATTTCCTTTCTATAGATCTCACATATCCCACTTGTTGTCAAACAGGGTCTACTGTTGTAAAACCATTGTAACCGAATATTGCTAGGTTGGCATGATTATAACTGGGGGTATGTGAAGCTCTTATCAAGAACAACAGTCTTACTCATTGGGAGCAAAGCAGCACAAGAGACTGAAACTGCATCAAGAAATGAATTAAGTTCATTCTGTAATTTCCCTGGCAGGAGGAGTGATGACCATTTCTGACATCAGAAGCTATTTAGGGCTTTGAGGGGCTGACACATCTTTCTGGTTTTTTTCCATGTTGCTGGACTCTTCCAATTTTTCCCAGATGTTCAAGTTTATTTTTGTTTGATAAAACAATTCAGCTTTGTATCTGGGCTTGTTGATATTCAGTTCTTTAGAATTTCACTGTGGTGCTGTAGATACCAAAATAAGAAATAAGCAATGAGAAACATTAATACATGTATTCATGTGTGCTAACAATTCATATTAACTATTTATTATAAAATACTGAGAATGAATTCCCAGTTGATGTCACACTTCTATTTTTAGGCTAAGTTTTGTTTGGAGTTTGGAAGATAAATTGGTCTGCTGTCCCTTACTATGTCACAGTCATATGCTTTGCTTGTGGTCAAAGTCTTGCATATTCAGCTTCTCCTGATCTGTTCTGTCCTGATGCCTTTAATCAGTTTCCTTACACAGAAATGGGATACAGTAATGTAAATTCAGCAGCAACTCTGTTGCTGCAGATCTGTACAGGAAGTCATTGTACCCGTAATAAAAAAGGTTCATTTGCTGTACACAGGGAACACAACAAGTGCCACTTTATGAGATTCTGCTAGTGTAATGTAGTACATGTGGCATAAGTTATGATGCCATGTTGTTCCTCATCTGCAGCTTGTGGAAGAAAAGATATGAAATGCATATTGGCACATAAAAAGACAGGGCAGACATAAAGTGTGAGTGTTTCCTTACCTTAAAATTCCTTTCTCTCTGCATTGGAGTTGGAATACAAAACCGCTATGAACCATTGCTAAAAAAAGCTTTGCAAACAAAGGTATGCAATGAGTAAATCACTTGCCCAGTTTGCATGCAGATAGGTCTTCATAAGTCCATAATTTTTTAGCATCCAAAAGGACAATGAAACTGCACAGTTAACCTTTAAAGGATACAAATTCAAAGCCTTCTCTTTTAGGAAGTAATAGATCTATTAAATCCTCTTTAGTACCTCTAACATCGAATCGACACTCTATTTCTGCTTCACCGCATTCATTCACCGCCTTGCAGGTATAAATGCCTCCATCAAAGGGGCTGGGCTTGCGGATTTCCAAAGTCAACACTCCATGCTTACTGAACATGCGATACTTGGCATCTCCAGAAAGGTCCACATTGTTTTTGAACCAAAAGATTTTGGGCTGTGTTTATGAAAACAGAAACAATAAGTTTGAAGCAGAAGTGGGTCATTTTTGAAGAGGAAAGGACATCTACTTTGCTATTTAGAAATTACATTAGACATTTAAGCGGGTCAAAATGCATTTTTAACCCAAACATGTTTGCTTCAAGAAGTATTTCATCCATGTTAGGTCCTTGAAACTTTTAAAAATGTGTTATTTGCTAAAGATGAGAAGTATACATGTAGTCCTCAACTTACTGTACAATTGAAATCGAGCCCAGAATTTCCATTGCT